CATGACAATCCGTGGACACAAAAATGCGTGATGTGCCCGATTATATTTTGTTTTGATTCGTATTTTTGTGAATTCAACAAATCTGAGCTGTTCGTACAACACTTACGGCGCTCCAGTACTGTACGTACCAATGTGGAGGCCTAAGGGAAAATGCCCTGGCACATATACTACAGTATCACCCGAAATTTTGCGATTTGCAATGTCTAAAGAAACGTTTTTAATCGGTCGCGTACAATCATAAAACAAAAGTTATGGTGTTCTACGTTTTATTTTCAGTTTTTTTGTATTGCCGCTTCTTAATTTAGAAAATTTGTGTTGCCACCATTGGGACCAACTAAAAAAAAATTATTTCTCGTTCGAACTCGCGAGAAACACCACGCATGTGCTCGGGTTTCCGTCGGAAATTCGCAAGTGAGTTGTGAAATCCAATCGTTTTGACCTGTCGCGTCACCTGTTACCAAATTTTCGAATATAGTGAATTGCTATTCTAATAGTTGAATATTCGAATATATGCCCAGCCATACGCAGTAACAAGTAATAATTGACTTGATTTATGATATGTGAATAAACTTGCTTTTTATGTTTTATGTGAATTTTAACGTAAATCGTAACTTGGCCGATAGTTAACTTTCGCAAAGACGTTTGCGGCCCGCAGTGAATTTCTGGCTCGTTGTGGACTCATTCAAACGCTTCGCGGACTCATTTGAGACCGCGGACTCGGGTTGGGAAACACTGCTCTAAAGTGTGATCCATATGAAATATCCGGTGTGTTACGACTGGGAAACGCTGTAATCGTAGGGAAACACACATTTGAGGTCGAAACTCGTTTGATGAAACACATTTGATGAAACTCGTCGCTACATCGTGCAATTGTCGCGTGTTATCTGAATTTTCATCTTTTTAAAAATAGAATCAAGCCGTTTTTTTTAATTGCTTCGATTCGAAATTCTGATGCGGCTAAAATAGTGTTACCATATCTGGAAAGACAAAATCCCTGACAAAATTTTAATGAGCCACTTTGGCCAATTTTGCAACCAATACTTGTATACTGCACAGTATTATGGTATAAATTTACGATGTATGCAAGGCACAGGCTGTCGTCGCTTTATCGTGATAATAGAATAAAAAATTGTTGCGTAATCTTTAGCACTAGTGACTAAACCCTAGCATGAAATAAAGTACAGCTAAAGTGCAACCAAAATACCGATTACAGAATGCTGACAATTCAGATCATATATATATATATATATATATATATATGTGACATCACAATTATCTGAATGCGACGCAATCCGTGACGCAAAATGCTAGAATGTAGCATATCTCTGAAAAAATAAGAATTCGTGAACGACTGAAAACTTGAGGATTTGTAGCAGGAATTCACTGTATTCGAAAATCCCTGATATTTAAGCACTTTTCAACATTTCTCCCTGACGAAAATTTGACCACTAAAATCCCGGACATGTCAGGGGAAAATATGGCACATGGCAACCCTAACCTAGAATGAATGTGATCTGCTGTGATTTAAGGATTTCTTTCAAAATGTTTTCATTCTATCGAGAAGCTCTGGGTTTGGCTGACAAAATTTAGATAAAGAATGGCGAATATCTTATTGCCGTTGTTGGTCAGATATTCCTGAATGCTGAGCACTGGCTCCTGATGCACACCATTAGGTTCTAAATTTCCCTATACAGATATAGCTTGGTCCTTTCTCTGTGCCAGACTAATGAATGTTGTGGAACAGTAGTTTCCAAACAGTTGGCAATTCAGACATTCATTGAATTGTCAATTTTTTTTGGTAATTCCCGTACTTTTCACTAGTCTGCGGAAAAGCTGGGCGTGTAGTGTTCGCAACTGTCGCGCGGTTAGTAGGGACATAATAACAATCCTTCGCTGTATTTAAGTTATTGTTGATATAAATTTGATAATTTGTTCGCTGGAAATATTATTTTTATGAAAGGGGTAATTGAGCTTTTGGTACAATTTAGAGATAACAATATTAAAAAGATTGGGAACCACTCGCATAGAAGCTTCAATGTCCTGTCTTTTCTTTGTTTTCAACGATGGGAAGTTATTGTGAGCGCTTATTTATTTCCAATCAGCAGTTACATCGTAATGGAAGCACAACGCGTAGTTTTTACTATATGCTATTTCTTTATTTTTGTTAAAATCAATACTGTAGCCTACACACAACAACTTTGAGCCCAACGTCTGTGTACTCATGAGTTCTGGCAGAGATGGGTTCGTTTCTCATGTGCATATGACATCGAGTTTACAAGATACATAACTACTGAATGAAGTTATTAATTAAAAGTCTATAATCCAAAGTAGGAATATTATATCAATAATTTTTGAACTACATATAATCTTTGTAAACGCCTGACACATTTTGAACCGGGACTCTCTCGAATATCTCGATCATATTATTAATAATAATAATAACTATGGTTGGTAGAAGGTAGGTGGTTTTAATATTGAGACTAAGTCCAATTTCATGCCCGTTTGCTGTTTTTTTAATTAATTGGTATCGGGATATCCAACACGATTTTATTTACTTCAACTCAACTATAGAATCAGCGAGGCGTACCCAGTGGGACCATTAATGATATTGGCTCTGTTTTATTAAAGTCCGATATTTTCAATATCAATAAACTAAAGACTAAAATATTTTTGCGAGTAGCTATCCATCGAGGTCTGTCACGAGCCGAGAATTGTCGTTGGCAGTAGTACTGTATCGCGAGTAATGGGATTACTCAATAATACAATTTTGTTCTAATAGCGCAGTCCAAAAACGCTAGGTAGGCTAAATGATATAAAGTGGAAGCCATTCCCAATTAAGAACAACAGTGTATAGTTCAGATGGTATAAATAAGGTTATTTCGAAAATATATATATATGAACAGTTGCATCTATATGGTAAGATTGTAATTTGTACATATTCAAGTGGACTCAATTCATTTTTATGTTTAAGTTAATCAAACAGTGAAATTTTAATTGTAGATCATGACTCGATACTAAAATCTAGACGAATTAAGTAGATGACAAAAAGCTTTCATAACTTTATTTAAAAACCTGAATAGTTTTAAATACGAGTATAAAACTATTTACATACCGTTAGTGTCACCGCTTTCTTTGAGTCACATTAAATATGAGTTTATCAAAATATTGTTTGCAATTTAGTTCATGGGCTGTCGAACATGATTGTAACACGAATACACTTTCTGTCTCGTGAACTGAGTTGTTTGAGATATATCGCGTTAAATCATCTCGCATTCAGTTTTACTGAAATCATAAAAGTACAGTATGCACGTGATACCAGATAACAGTATGCCGGATGACAACTGAAACAATGTTTGACACCAGTTTTGATAAATCCTGGCCGGAATGTAGTGCAGGATATAGGGAAATTCTTTCACCTGTAATATTCATGCCTATCGATCTTTCGAACAGTATCATACACAGGCAGTAGTTTACACACAGGTGATGTCCCTGGTGTACAATCGTACCACCAGTGAAGCAACACCAAGGTGTTTTTCAAAATCTAGATTAAATGAGGAAGCTTAATATTTTACGAAATACCGTATACATATGCTTGACATTAGTCGTACAAAATTTATTGGTTTATATATTTTCTGACGCAATCACATTTCCCTTAAAAGTAATAAAACGTATGAAATATCTGTACAGTACTATGAGAAGCATAGTGCCATAATTTAGTATACATATTTGTTGTGTGGATTGCGATCGCATACATTGAATGGACACTTCATAAAAATTGAATAACTTTATTTGAGGTATTGTGCTGACGTGTATTAAACGCAGTGTTTAGAATACTCAACATTCAGTCTACAAGAGTAATATTAAAGCGCAATCGAATGCAAGCAAGGCTATTCCTATAAGACAATCAGTATAGCCAGAGAAAAAATATGCGATGGGCGGATAACATACTTGATTCAGTAGTCTTCCACCAGAACCAGAACTTTGTTTTTTAAAGAGTACTATATCATGTTCAACACAGCAGACATATTTGTTTTTTTAGAATCAAATTTGTATAAGTAATATTTTGTACAATGTCATAAATGTCTGTCACATTTTATTCTAACTTGCAAGCGTCGCGGATAAATATCGAACCATCGCACTCATTTCTCTCTCTGCTTCAGTGCGCGAAAAAAGAGAAAAGCAGATAAACTGCGAGGCGTGTATAGTACTTTGTCGTTATAACACTGACAAATATCTGCTTCATTTATTCTGTTGGATTTGTAAGTATGGATCTTAAAAGGCTCCAAGAAGAACTGAAGAGCGATATTATACACCATCAGGTAGTATCATATTTACTCATATCAAAAATAATAACTAATAAATTTATTTTGACCACGGGCACAGCTACGTCGTAGTCTATTTTAGTGACGGCAGCATTGGGTAAATATTGATCTGGTTGAATAGTTCCTAGCGATAAAGTACGGGTGTATTACTTATAGTTTTTTGGAATTTTAATTGGTAATTTTTACCTACCTGTGTAAAAATTTGAATCACATATAACCTACCTCGGAATTGTTTTCAATTAACGTTAATTCACCACATTTAGATGCGCAATTTGACGCGAGTAGACTTTGGGCAATGTGCTTAACTCTTTTTGCTTGTCGCTTTTCTTTTCTCGACCCTTGACCCCATACCACTTTATAAAAAATAGTGATTTTAATCGGAGGATAAGCGGGCGAATAATAGGCAATTAATTATGAATATCCTCCATCGCCAAAATAAAATTTACGCATCAATTAGGAATCAGTTGAAGGTTAGTTAACTCGCGTATTACTACCAAAAGTCCAACATGACTCTTTTGCTCGTCATGAACGTTAATTTAAGTATATGACATTGCTGATGTTCAATTGCATTTATCATTGCTTTTATCGTTCTATCTGTTAACCAAAAAGTAATTTTCAACTATCACTATGCCCTACTGCGATCATCGGCGTCTAGGTCTTGCGCACGTAATGCGTAAACTTTGCTTTGGGGGTTCCCCTGTTCTCAAGCACAGCGTGCGGTATCTCAATACTGCAATAGCTTGAAGGAAAAGTTTCTTCTGCATTGCAAACAGATGATTTAAATAATAAAATATGATATTGTCTGATACTTTGTTTGATGGATCTTAACTGGGGTGTGTATATTTGATATTTAATTGTTAGACATCATTAATAAGACATATTGTTGTAATGGGTGAAGTCAACCATTACTGCAATATGTCATTATGATAGCATCTGACTTCACTGACAGACTAGGGAGGATAAATTATAAAATGATTCATTTTTTAGAGTTTTATCATTTTGCCAACTTGAAATGCAAAAGCTTATTTAATAATAGCTAAATATAGAGGTATATAAAGGACACAGTAGTAAGCCTACAAACAATAGGCAGGTAATTAAAAACCATTGATTAGTTAAATTTTAATAAACATGTCAAAACACAGAAACAAACATATATATTGTTGGGTCGTCAGTGTGAAACCAAGTGTATGCAAGATTGCTTGAAGCTGCAAAGACTCATTCTTTTATTATTGGCAAAAGTGGTCAAAGTAAGAGACATAAATAGGATAGGATTCAAATAATTATTCCAGGGGAGAGGAACTTAGCTGTATGTCATCTGAATATGCTATTATTGTAATATTCTTTTTTGCAGGCTCTAATGCAAATGCTGAAGAAGAATCCAGCGGTATGTTTTCTATATTTCCAGCAGTTTTAATATTCTTCGACTTGGGGAATTTGATTCAATGAAATATTAATTTTGTTATTTTGTCAGCAATACGCATGCTGATTTATGTGATAAGGGGTAAAAAATTGTTATGATGTAGACCTACGTTTAATAATGCACATAACATGCACTAAATTGAAATAATAACCGCTGTTTTCCATTTACAGGATCAAGCTATAAGATTGAAGCTTAAAGCAGTGCAGAAGCATATTGCCGAACTTGGTTCCCAGCAGAAAAAAATTGCCTCAGCTTCAAGATCATCACCATCTACTAGTGGTATGAGGAAGTGATATAAATACCTACCTTTATATGCAAAGTTAACTTACAACTGTGTTTCTCCATTCATATCATTGGTATATATTAATATCTTTTATCCGTTCTTCCGAAAACAAATAACTGGCTAACTAATCCCATTCCCGACATGGACTGGTAACCAGACGAGAGGCCATGGTGCGCCATATGATTGAACCGTCTTATCGGTTTTCCTCTCCCCTGGGATAAATCTGTAAATTCTATCCTATCATTTTGATAAAGGGAATTGGTTCTGAACTTCTGGCCATCAGAATCACTTTTAGATCCCATGTTCAGAAATAATTTTCAATGCCTCCAAGTTCTGACTGTTGATTCTTTCATTTTAGAAACAGAAGCTTCTTCTTCACACACGTCTCCACTCAAAACAGAGAATGCATCAAATATCAAGTCAAAGCAATCATATACTTTAATTACAATTAAGAATGGTTCTCAGCCAGTGTACACATCAAACAATCAAACAATTTCTGGTCCATCCTATATTGGAAATAGTAATAGGCCAGTAAATCTCAGCAAATTGCCAGGAAAATCATTGAATGCAGGTATTGTATTATCAACTTATGTCCTCTCAATTCGTTTCAAAATCTTGAGGTTACTTTATTAATTGAGATATTTGGTCAAACTTTTGAGCAAATCTTGTAAGAAAATAATGTAAACTGACAATAATTGTGACCTTTTTTTGTGCAAAGCATAAATTGTCTTTGGTCAGCTTTGTTACTCACAACTCACAAGTATTATTTTTATACTAATTTCCATTTTTTGAATTGTATCATAGATACAGAATTAGGATTAATTGTTTATATAGTCAAAAATTGTGCATATATTTTCAAAGGAATTTTTTTTGCTCACCTTACTTGGACCCAAATTAGTTTTTGTGAACTCTCAACTTATCTTATTTAAACATAGATGGTTCATTAATTTAAAAAACTTTGACTGTGACTAATATTATGTCCCAAGGGCAATAAGTTTTGACTTTTTAATGGCTGAAGCTATTAGTTTGATTTCTGATATTTCGGATTAAAATATTCAACAAAACTTTCAATTTGCTCCTATTGCATTTTCAAATAGCTTGTCATTCAATATTGTGATGAAAATATTACTGAATACCTATATTTCAAGAATTTTATTGTTGCATCAGAAATTGCCAATTATCTATACATGTTCCATATCCAGAATACTTCCATATCATTATCATACCTTGTTAATTTAGTTGTATGATTTATGATAATATGAAGATTTCCTTCATTCTTTTTCATTTTTTCAGTTGACAAACCATTTGTTCCTCAGTCAGCTGTATTGGTTGTTACAACACCAAGCCAAATTTCAGTGAACAAACCAGCAATTAAAGCCACTGTTCCTGCTCCTATTCCTATATCACTGTCATCTCTTGTATCTTCTGGAGGTGTTGTCACGCTTCCTGGTAGTTGGAAAAGTTCTGGAACGCAGGCAGCCACTGTGAAAAATACTAAAGTAATGGCGGATGCAATCGGGAGATTGGTGCCTACAAAGCAAGTGCAAATAAAAGTACGATATTTCAGTATTAATAACATTTTTGTATGAAATAATGCCTCATATTGTTGAATTGTAATATTTTCATACAGGATTACCCCAAAAACAGAACCAATAAATTTCTTAATTACTTTTACCAAATGAAGAATATTTAATCAACACTTAAACTTCTGTTTGTGTGTGGTTCACTGGTTGTATCCAAATATTTCAGTAATCTAGGACGCTTTGCGCAAAAGTGATGTTCTATCTAGAATATTTTTCAATGACCAGAGGTCTTTTCCTTGGGGCCCTGTATGTTAATATGATTCTCGATTTTTTGTATGTGCCTTTTATTTCAGGTGCCTGTTGTTCAAAGCCCTGGATCAAATCCGGTCATTATTATGCCACAGAAGACTCCTATGAATAACCAGCCAAAATCATTGTTCAGGTAGAATTGGGAATTTTTAGGTGTTTTTGTCTGATAATGTTGCATTGTCAGTACATGGTGACTCCTTTCCACTTTTGTCATTAGTAAGTTTATCTGATATAATAGTTTGTATGTTGTCATGTACCTATTTCCTCATTGTTGAATGAGGATAGTTATATGTTTTATGCCTCGGGCTCGCAATTCAAAGTGGTAAGAGTGCTCATAGAGGAGTTTATTTAACCACATGTCTATTCATCCTCGTGGCCGAGATATCAGTATACAGTAGTTTCCCCAAAACTGAGATAAACATTTTGCTTGCTTGGATACTCCAGTGGGATAATCAAGGTTTTTGGAAACATTTTGGTGCCAAATTGTTGGGAAATAATCTTATTTCTCTACAACTAATGAACGAGCAGATTTCAAATTTTCAATACTTGAAGATGGAAGAAGTTAGCTATTATCTCTATTTATTTTAATTTTCCCCAAATCCCACATGGCCTGATTGTTATAAATAAGTTTCTGTTGAGCAAAAATCTATTTTAATTTTCAGGTTGCTGCCTAAAGGTTGCCATCCTATACCAGTTAATCCGCAAGGAACAGTAATTACTCGAGGTCCACAATTGATGTTGCCAACAAACCAAGGCAACATAGCTGCTAAAGTACCGGTAACTCAGAAAGCAGGATTTCCAACGATCATCATGCCCAGTGATAGTATGATTAACAAGACAGGAGCTCCATTACAACAAGTTCTTGTACAAAGAGTAGGGCATCGTTCAACTGTGCCTACACCTACCTCGGGTATGTCCAGTTTCACTTCCCTGTGGTCAACTCTTCTATCAAACTGTACTGTAGTTTTACCAATGGCATTATTAAAACTGGTTTCATTGCATCCAAAGAATTACGATAACTTGAACAAAATATAAAATTATCTAATTAGAAGCAAATTTTTTTAACTTATCAGATATTATAATTTAAATTTTTCAATTGTGAAGTGTAATCTCAATTTATACATTTCTCTCCAATTAGCAATTATTCTAAGTATGTTTTCTGAATCTTTGTTTTGTACTGTTTATCTACATTTAATTATAAATTCACTTTTTCAACCCTATTTTTGCAGTCACTTGGCAAGATTTATCAAGTAGAACTCCTGCCATTCACAAACCAAGTTATGTTCCAAGAAAAAGTTATCCAAACATAAATAACGGTGTTGGATCATTTCAAAAGTTCAGGATTTTAGATGGAAAAGCACAGATTTTGTCAAAAACTCACCAAGAATCTACTCAAGGACACCCATCTGCACAAGGTTTACATTTGATAAAATAGGAATAAGAAATTATCTTCGCAAAACAAAACGTATTTGACGTATTTGAAATCAATCCAGTTATTTTATTTTTGCTTTGCTTTTTCTGCGCTTGTCTTCTGGTTACAAGTTGGATCTGGATTTCACAGAATATATGGAAATTTTGAAATATTATATTCGATCAAGAAAAACAATTCAATTCGATTCCGTAATCAGGATGTATTTTAAATCTCAGCTAGTCTTGTTAGTTTATGCGAGGATATTCTCTGCAGGAAATGAGTCTTCACCAATATCGAAAATGAACACTGATACTAATACTAGTTTTGAAATTTTGGATTCAATTTGAATGTGTGAATTTCAAGTTCATTGGCACCAGCTAAATATTAATATCGGTAATTAGATGTAGTTTTATTATTTTAATTGTTGTTCCTTCATGTTTCAGTCGGGAATCAAGATAAACCAAGAAATAGTGCTTTAAAAGCAGTGTTGACATCAAAACCTGTTGCAACCACAAGTGGAATGGTTACTTTAGCTAGACTTGTACCACCTGTACCTGGAAACAGTTTCTTTCCTATCAGAACACAAGATACTGTAACTGGTACACAAGGCTCAGTCATGGAAAAACGGTCGATAAAATTGGCAACGAACGATAGTCCTTTTATACCTGTGCCTGTCACTAAGATTTCTTCTATTTCAAATATAAGGCAATCAAGCTTGGATGAAAGCACAGATTCTATTAAACGTAGTGATACACCTGTGGATGAAGAGGTATACACATGTTTTTGTTTAAAATTTGGTCACATTGTGAGCTTTGAACAAGTCTTCAAACAACTCTTTAATGCTGGGGCTCCAGGGTTCGGAATGACTATGATTATATCTTGTGATTCGGCATAAACTATCTCCTACATGTCAAGTGGGATAATAGAGGGTGAACCAAAAAAAAAAAACCATAAATTTCTCAATTACGAAATATAGTACTTTTATGAAAATAAAGAAAGTTTATTGAACACTTGAACATCAGAACTTCTGTTTGTGTAGGATTGTACTTGCGTTAGGATGCTTTGCACGAAAGTTATGTTCGTTTCAGTATTCCAATTGACCTGGCATTTTCAGGTCACCTTATATATATCAAAACTGATTTTTTTGAGACGATATAAAATAAAAATATCTTCGTTGAAATTCCTGTTTGTTGGAGACGTTCGTCCAAATTTAAATATTTTGTGATTATATGAACATTTTATAGATTATTTAAAAAAATAGTTAAAAATGGTGTTAGGTCTTATAATGTTTCATGAATATTTGGGTATCAGTCCACTGGGTTATGAGATGCACATCATTTCATTTGAATTCATTTACTACCGCATGTGTGGAAAATTTTTTAATTTGAGATCAATTACCATTTATACAATATACTATATTGCATTTTTTTTATTGCAGGCTAAGGAGAAATTACAGTATCTTCGTAATATTGATTTAATTCCAAAATCACAAGCAAATCAAGTAAGACGTCGTAGATTCCGAAAACGAAGGGTTGCTGCGAATCCAATTTATAGTGGTGGAATGTATATAAGTAATGATCATGAACCAAAAAGACATTGTCCCGATGTTATGGCGAGTGCTTTGGAATGCATAACTGCACCTGATGTGATCGTCAAACGGCCGAGAGGTAATATATGTTTTTTCCGTGCTGTTTTGTTTGTTCTAATGAGTTAATTCAGTGAACCATTTTCCAAAGGTGACTCGTAGGAAATATCCCTGGAATCCCAAGTCATAATATTATGTTGCTAAGATTATTTAGGTTTTGGAGTAAATTTTATTTTTCATTCATTTTCGGTATTTTATTGATATATTACATTATCCTGCTGCAAAACAGATTAAAAATGAGTCAAAATTGATAGGCTAATTTCTAGACTAAATTATCATTTGGATATTAATACACTCGATATAGAATACATTAATACGCAAAATAGATGCAGAGGGGTCATAATATCTCACCTGAATCAGTTCTGTTTCATAGTTACTAACATTGAATATACCTTAATCTGATGGAAGGATTATCCAATACTATGAGTTCAACAACTTCATGGAGTTTCTGCTGTATGTTCTTGACGGTCCATGTTAGTAAGTCCTATTGAGGAAAAGCTTTTCCTTATTAAGCATATTCATCGCTATAGGTCGACCACGAGGCTCCAAAAACACGTCAACCTTAGCAGCACAAAAAGCATCTACTTCAACTAGAAATATCAGATCAAACTCGTCCACCTCACCTCTGATGCCTACTCATGTTGAGGAGATAAAGCAATTGAGAGGAATCTTAGATGTTGTGGCATCTGCCTCAGAAGCTGTGACTTCTGCTGGAATTTCTAGTGCAGACATGGAAGTGTAGGTTTTACATAGCAATATAGAAGTATTATTGTATTAATAGCTAATAATACTAATCTGTATCATGGAACTATAATAGATGACCTAGGATTGAAAACAATTTGTCAAGTTAAAATCCAAGGCCCATTAACTTTAATGTAGATATGATGAAAACCTCTCATGCATGCAAGATTGTTTGAGGATATAATTTGATTATAATATGTATTCTTGGTGCGACAAAGCCTTATTTGAAGGCGGGAAATGGCTGATTGACAATTCATTTATCGAATTGTCATGTTTAGGATTAGTTTATCTAATATATCGTTCTAACTGTGAAGACCCAAAATTCTAGATTGTGTAAATATTACCACAAGATTTGAACAAGTGATCTTTGTAATGTCATGGGCTGGTGTAATATTGAGTAGAAATCGCCAATTATATTGAATTTGCATGTTGAAGATCTATGTTGTTAATAAGGATAGCTTTTCTGTACAATGTCTCTCATGAATGTGCTATTTTCACATTCCTTGTATTCTATTTTTAGACAAGATTTATCTCGCCATCCATCTCGTCCACTACCTAATTCATCCCCATTTGTTGGACCACAGTCCCTGTCCGGAGTAAGGTCTAAATCTACAGAACTAGAAAGACCAGAAAGTCGTGTATGTTGTATATTTGAATTCTTTTTGTTTGAAATATTACATCTTACATGGCAATCTACACCTACTGCGGGAAATTTTATGTAAAAGTTCATTGATGGTTCCGCTGGATAGGAAATAAATATCTTGATAGAAAAATATTTAATTATTCAATTTGATTTTCCTATAATATTCTGATTGAGGACACTTAATGTCATGTTTTATCTTCGGACAAGGCATCTTGCAAGGCCGACTTATCTTAATTTAAGTATCTTTATGAACTTGAAGTATATTGTGCTAAAAGTATACTTGAGTTTTGAAGCTCATGATCTATACGGTAAGAAATAATATTCTATTTCTGGATTGCTACAAATGCATAAAAAAATTTATATTACAGGGTGATGAACATGAAGACCAATGTGCAATTTGTGGGAAAACAGGGGAAGTACTTATGTGTGATACTTGTTCTAGAGTCTATCATTTATCGTGTGCGACACCGCCATTATCCACTGTACCGCAAGGAATGTGGATTTGTTCGAAATGCAAAAATAACGTACGTGTTTTTATTTATTTTTTGAATCTGTTTAAAGCACAGTCACAAGCAGCAAAACTAAAAGACAAAATGCAGCAGTAGAAAAGTTCTTACTATTTTGCTCTAAAAAGCTATATGTAGATTCATTCATGTAGTGGAGATGCCCGTGAATAATATTCAAATTTTTCTGGTGTTTGAATATGAAAAAGGACTGCTTTACTGCATACTAGCAGGGTTGTACTGTGTATATATATATGCATATAAGGAATGTGTATTCCTCGTTTTTATACCGGACTTTGATGATAGGTTGATCCATGGTTCCCCAATAAATTAATCTGGTATTCTCCTAGACAATATGAAAACTTTATTACGATTTTGGTGTGACTATCCTCACCGTTCTAGTTTTTTGGAGGTCAAATATAAATACTGTGTATTAATAATAATAGTTACTTGCGATAACAAAACTTTCATTTCATCACAAAATATTCATTTCATTACACAGTTCAAGTACAACAAATCAAAAACTGCATGGTCTGGCATAGTTACTGCTGTTCATTCTTATTGGGAACATGATGAGCAAAGGGATTTAGATATTGCAAAACATCAAGATAAATTAGATGGTGTCAAAAAAGTTGTTGCTGCTCTGCAAATGCAAACAAAAAGTTTAACAAATGCAGTTATGGTATGTGAATTGATTTTTTTTTTATTAAAATCTAGAAATATTTTATTTTTCATCTATTTTTGTGCTAAGAAATATAAGCATGCGTAAACAAAATTTTAGATTCTTATATACAGAAGCTCCGATATTTGTGAGGTTTTCACTGGTTTTATAAAGGATGTCAAGCTAACCAACTCACAAGGATATAATAGAGTGGGCACTGTGGGTGGTCTACAAAGTAAAACTTCACAGTTACTATCTACAGCCTTACTATCTTAAAAAATGATCCTTGCTTGTTTATTCTTTTGAGAAATTCTTTTCGACATTGATCCCGTTTGGTATTAGAAGCTATTTGCTGACATCCTTTTTCAACAATTTCAAGTAAACCTCGCTCATAGACCTTCATCCAGAGTGTAAAAAAATGCGTAAGCTATGCAGAAGACGAAAGAGTCCAACATTTCCAAACGCATAGATCAGCAGCTGCTTGTATTGAGCCTTGTTTGCCATAAAATTTGTTTCCTAAAAATTGGTGTAGTTTTATCCTATACAATGTGCTATTGTCACAGGGTAAAGTCAACCTGCGAAGTAAAGCTATGAGAGAAAAACATAGTTTGGAAAAGGAAATAGTCGACTTCAGTACAATTTTTCAAAATGTGTGGAAATTGCAAGCACAAGGCCACACTGGATGAGACACGAATTTCATTTATTTTTATTTTACATAACCTCTTTCACTCAAGAATATGAATGCCTGGAAATTCGGAATAAAATATGCCATGTATTTGCATCAATTCAGCAATTGGAAATTAGTGGAATCAATAATGATAATTTTGTCACTAACGCTTCATTCAGTTAATTTTAAAATAAAATTTGTCTATTCTGAATGGTCATTGATGTTCGTATCTTGTCATAAATTTTTTTAATTAAATTTAAAATAGCATCTATTCTAAACTGATCTAGTTTAGTTCGACCTATCCCAGAAACTATAAATAACCACATCTGCAGTTGCCAGTTATGATAGTATCGCAATTTTCATAATTAACGCAATTTGTTTGAAAGAGTTTTTCAAAGTTTTTTCCTTTTATTTTGTGCAACAATTACATGTTTTCTTGTAAAATTATGATTTTTCTTTTAAATACTCCCTTTATTATTGAGTCTATTTTGAAAGTAAGCAGACAATGGTGGTTTCTGTTATACTTTTAACAGGAGTTTATCATCTCCCAATGATAAAAGACTGGGCGTTTTCGTTGGTCATTCTTTGAGCACTCCGTTTGCGTTGTTACTAAAACAGTCAATTGTCGCTACGTTTATTTAATCTTTTTTGGATATTCAACTTTTGAATCCCATAGACTTGTATAAAAATACTTTGGTTGTTAATGTGTGTTGTGTATAACGGCTGAAGAAGGGGTTAAGGTTTATGGGTCGTTGAGGTGCCAGTTATGTGAACTTTTGCGTGATCAGAGTGATTTTTCCTAATTACAGCTGTGCATGGGAGACCGACGCGATCCTTTGGTAAAATACGACGTGCGCTTCTTGTGGTAACGACTAGGCCAGAAAGGCCACCTAATGGTGCCTCCGTGTTTAATGGAACAATTAGATTTCGTCAGACGATACCGACTTCAATATTGGCCCAGTCGAAATAAAGTTGCTAAGTATCATATAAACCTCTCTATCAAAGTGTTTGTAGTACTAAGTACGGTAGTGTATAAGAACATTTTCCGTAAACAAAAAAAAATTCTGCTAATTGTACGTAACTTGGCCCTCAATTAGCAATGAATACTGAAACCAGCTACTCGTTCAATTTCAGATAGCATAGAACAGGGTTTCCCAAACTAGGGTAAGTGGACCCCTGGGGGTCCGTGATGACTGCACATGGGGTCCGCGACGATATTAAGAGTCTGATCAATCTTTAATGACTGATCCAAAGCCATTGCATATTTTTGTTGGAACGTTGCAGACGAAGTTGCTGTCAGAAAGGGCAATTAGAAAATCCCACATGTTTGAGGCAGCGTTTCATCTTTTACCAATTCGATGACAAAATACAGGTCGAGACTTGCCGTCGAGTCGGACTTACGAGGTTGCTTATCACAAATTACTACGACAATATCGTTCGTGTTATTGTGATGTAAATGAAACATTACCATTCCTCGTTGGTTAGGCAGGAATTTTCACGGCATAGAATGGAGTTCCGTCGGAAATTAGATTCTAAAACCGGTGTCCGCGGCTCAAAAAGTTTGGGAAACACTGGCACAGTTTCCACCAGTTTAATTATTATTTCTTTTATAGGACACCAAAATCTTAAGTGCTTAAAGCCTCTGAGAGGCATGATTCGGTCCTGGCCACCTTGTAAACAGGTTAGGGCGGTGTAAGTAAACGCGCAATAGCAATATCCTGCAAGGTTTTTCGATTGTTTCCTTGGCTGCTATTTGCTAAAAGCTAAATGGGTATTTTAGGCAGTGTTGGCCAATGGTGTGTGAAGCTTGCTTGCTGTATTTATGGCGTCCACGGAGGTTCCCGAAATATGTAGCATGGGAATTTCGCTGAATAACGGTGAAGAATACTATGACGTCATAATCAAAACATGAATATTTGCCTCCAAATACTAGAATTTATCCAATTCTTGATTAGCATTATTTTTTGAAGAGAAGGGCAGAGATGTCATGATCGCCTCGAACAGTTTCGTTTTTAGTTTGTTAGGGTAAAAGATTCTAGTTAGTCACCCGAGTGTAGTTGTCGGGTTTTAGGTTAGATAAATGTCTTTGTTTCAGAGACCTAAATTATTTTCAAAATATAACCTGGTCACGTTATGGGAGAAGTATGGGAACGGCGCCTTCGAGAACGGGGTTACAAAATCATGAGTACCCTAGGAGAAGGAGCGTATTCGAAAGTGAAACTTGCTTATTCAACTCGATTGGGCAATGATGTCGCCATCAAGTGCATAAATAAACAAGTGGCTCCCAAAGACTTTGTAGAAAAGTTTCTGCCCCGTGAATTACAAGCACTTCCACATTTACGACATGAAAATATCGTCAAAATATACGAGATTCTAGAAGCGAGCGATGGCTTCGTGTATATTGTCATGGAAGCTGCACGCAACGGTGATATGTTACGGTATGTTCAGCGCCGGGGAGCACTGCCGGAAGAGGAAATCAAAAAATATTTCTGGCAACTGGTACAAGCGATTAAATACTGCCACTCCATGAATATATGCCACAGGTTTGTAAACAATGTGAAAGGACTTTGTTTATTCATTTTATCTGATTCGCATTGACTAGTTACAATTTATCTTTGCATGAAGAGATTTAAAATGCGAAAATTTGCTGCTGGATAAAGAAAACAAACTCTTGCTGACTGATTTTGGATTCTCAAAGTCAATGATATTCAACGCTGGTAATGTAGTTCTCAGCTCTACATTCTGTGGATCGGCAGCCTACGCTGCACCAGAGATTATCCGAGGTATTTAGGATATCGAATGAATATGTGAATATAAAATTCATTATTAATTTGTGTATTCAAAAACGCCGAATATAACATCAGGCTCCGACGAATTTATCGTAAAGCATATTTATCTCAAGCTTTGCATTTATATTGACTTAACTAGTGTTGGAACTATATTAGTAGTTGTTAGTTTCTCATTTTCAATAAATACATATATAGGACATCCATATGATCCACGAATGCATGATATTTGGAGTATGGGAGTTATACTTTACATCATGGCATGCGGTCATATGCCTTTTGATGACTCAAATGTAAGGAAAATGTTGAAAGTTCAGTTAAAAAATCAAATAAGATTTCCACCGCGAGTTGCTGACATTTTGTCAGATGAGTTGAAGGTAAGAAAACAACTAATAATATATATATATATATATATACTATGTTGACATATATACTACCTAAGTATCTTGTAGAGATAGGCTATATTGTAATTTGTGTCCGATTGTCCAAACAAATTATGTGAGAGAGTTATGATTGAATTTCATTTTGTATTCTTGACTGCAATTATATATACAAAGCCGCCGCGCGAAAATTTGTCCTGAATATATCAACATACGCAAAATGGCGCCAAGTTCATAGTCTCGTTGTTTCTAATATCTCAGAACTTTTCAGTGATGCTTAGAATCTCAAATTTTTCTACCGCATATCACCTAAATATGATCTTTTCCCAGCTCATTTCAATCCCATAATGTTTTTTTTCGTTAAACACTAGGTTGAAATATTGAGTTGTGATATTATATATATATATATATGTGCAATACGAGATTAGGAATTTTTTGTTTGTATATTTACGAATCCCAATATTTATTACATATAACTTACATATAAATTTAAATTACATTCTAGCATCTCATTAAAAGAATGATTCAGCCGGATATAACAAAAAGAGCAAACATGGACGATGTTCTTGCTCATCCGTTTTTTGGTCCATTGAACGGATCCAGGTTATATTTTTTATTATTTTTGGACACGTAGTGGACATAACGATCGTTTCAATATTATGTTGTTCTTGTTGTCTGACACAGAATAACACACCTAGTGGAAATATTAAAAAAACGCTTTTCTCTTCGAATACTGGACCAATTGCTTTGAAATTTTCAGTGGTTGAAGATAAAATTTTTCCCCAGAAAGCTATTACTTTTATTCATTTTAAATATTTCTGTTAGCTCTGTGAGATTTGTTTTTGTTTTCTATGACGTCATTGAACGTCCTGCGGCTATCGGACGCCATTTTGTGTCCTACTGTACTGCTTCGCTTGGTGTGAATATATTTGTAGACTGTGATCTGACGTACGGTAAACCGTACTGTACTGCGAACAGACGTGTCCATATATTTGGTCCATATAATTGTCAAAGTTCATAATTAAAACTGTTTACCAAAATCAGAATTCGTTAGAAATGCTAACGTAGCCGTCATACTTGATTTTGATACTGATCAGTTGATACTGATTCCACTTGTAATTGTAACTTGCAACTCAATTGTAATACCACGTTCGAGATAAGTTTGTCAGAGGGCGCCAGAGAGTTGACAGATCTTCTCGGCTTCTGAGCTTATGAGTGCATACTCCACATCTCGTTTTCTCCTGGTTAACTATTTCAAAGTTTTTTTGTTTTTCCGACTATTCGATAAATCTAGCTATTTCGCAACCTTTTTCAGGCCAACAACAAGTAGCAACGTTGCTCAGCATATCTACGACTTCTTCGCTGGCCGCCCTACGACTTCATACGCCACTACCAGACCACACGGCATTCGGGCAGAATGCGGTTGCGACAAAGGTCGTCGTCCATCAACCGGATCGAAGATATCCGAAAAACGCTGCTGCAAGACTACACATGGACACGGAACTGGCCCATCAAGTCCAAAACAACACAATCGTACTTATTCCCCAACAAAGGAAAGGCACAAACGACATAAGAAAAATGATGAATGAAGATACCTTATTTTATTTTTATAATGCATCACCATATCGTACACTTTTTTTATATATTATATAATATCAGTTTTTAAATGAGATTGATTGTATAAACGTACTGAGGGGCCACACAATGTAGCTACGCAAAATGAAGTAACTTTTCCGCCCCACATTTACAATTATTTAACAAGTAACACTATTTACAATGTTTACCTGGGTAGAAATGACCATACAAGCATGAATTTTACCCACACAAATGTGTTTGTAGCTAACACAGAACGGAACAACGCATGGGAGATAATAACAAGGACAAATTAATATGATCTACAATCTATATAACAGGTATCTCACGTAAAACAGTTGGTAATTCCAAATATCGTGAAAATTTAATCTATACTTCCTCCAATGAAAGCGCAGCTTAACATATATTGTGTGCTTTAAAATTTGAAACCAAAAATTCAAGTACACTAGATGTTTGTTATCAAAATTAGAACAGAATCAAGATGTCATATCGACAATTTCGTCAAACATAACAACAATTAAAGTTTCTTTTATTATGTGTTATATCTTCGTCACCGTGGGAAAGATTCTCACCCCCAGACGACCCGACGCAAGTAATTGTTTGTCTCGCGTAATTTGTTTGTCTTATTCTAATTATGCATATTCCTAATTTTATTGCTTGGTTAAATTCCGATCTTTTAACTAATGACCTCGGATCGCGTTATGCAATTTAGTTCATTAATTGAGTTTTATGATCACCCCCTGAGGATGACAGACTATTTAACCTAAGAAATATCGTAGAAAGCCCATATTGCTTGAAATTAAATGCGTGGTAGATTGCAAAATTTGCTGACTCTAATTGTGTGTGTTGGAAGGTGATTCTGCAAGATGCAAAGAGTTTTGTTAGCTGTCGTTTTGCTGATATATTTTCAGCAGACGAGGTGAGATGATATTTGTTTCTAATTTATCTTTTACTCGTACGGCGAACCACCATTTCTAGAGTTGTCATCTTTAAAATGATGAAAAATTTAGTATAATATGGACAGTTTTGAACCATTTCTAAATTCAAAACTTCATTTACGCAACAATTTTTGCAGAAGTTTTTTTCGGGCCAATAGCCTCTTGTACGAATTATATACAGTTCTAATAAAATCAGAGCCAGATTCATAACTGTTTGTTAAATGAACGCTGCGATGATCTGTCTTTTATTTGATAAATATTATATTCAATATTACGAAGCAATCTACTTAAGCAATCAAAGCATCTAGTTAATATATATTTTTCAAAATCGTTTAAAACGAATATTCAAAAACCAAATGTCTAATTTTGTTTATAAATTAACCGTATATCTGTCGTGCCTTGTGTCTTTGTGAAATATTTTGCTTGGCAGTTTACACAACGCTTAGACTTGGCTGAAATGTTTTTTTGTAACTCAGGCTAGCCTCTGTTCTGACAAACAGTTTAGGTGTTAGGCAGTCATGCGGAAGGCCTTGAGCAACAAGTAGTTACCCCGCCATAATACATAGGCGATACATTTTTATGTATTATTATTATTATTATTATTATTTGACACTTTATTATTCTCCAAAATTAGAATATGGGAATACAGTGGAAGAAGAGCTGCCACTGTGGCGTTTTAGTGATTAGTGACAGGAGCTAGTCGTTTATTATGCAAAAAATATTTCTTGAAGACATAATATCATTACGCAAAATTTCATTATACAACACGTCATTTTTCTCCAGCTCACGATGGTGCTCAAGGAATGTTACGAAACAAATTCAAACCATGATCGGAAAAAGAGAAGAAAACTCAGTTCCCTGTTTGGATTTGTACAAATATGTTCACGATAAATGGAAATATGATGAACAGAAAATGAAGGTAAAGTATTTTTAAATTCAAATCTGTATATTATGTTGAATAAATTTGAATTGTATTGTGAGAATATGTCTTATGAACTGCATTGTTACCATTTATGAATAAAATACATTTTTAAAATATTAAAAATTTGATACTTTTTGATAAGATGACCGAAAGTTTCCACTACATGTTCAAAATAGTCGAGAATATATTGCATCATGTCGCGATGTAACCATTTTTCGTCCATTGACGCACTTCACTAACTTGAATTTAAATTTTCATTTTTTTACTCAGAACGTGTATGGAGGTTCGGATGGAGTGGCTTCGTATTTCTATACCAATACCAGCGAAGCACATTGTTTCATTTATAAAACTCCCATCAAGATCGTTAAAAATGTAACAGAACGTCATATTGAATGTTGTACCGGATGGACAGGACCGTCCTGTGAACACAGTTAGTTTTACTATTTTTCATTGATTTTTATTTATTGAGTATTTTCATAGTTTTATTAATTCACTCTACTCAACTTCATTTACTTCTATTATTTATGTTTCTCGTGTATAACAATATACAAGTTTTTCGAGGTTTACTAGTCAGCCTTACGCAACAAAACGTACGTTGAAATAAAGTATTTAAAACCATGTAAATTTTGCCGGTTAGGCTTATATTTTCTCTAAAATTGTAAGTTTGGTTTTACAGGACATATGGGCATTGGGATTTGCTATGAGGATATAAACTGCCAAATAATATCCCAAAGGACTCATTCAGTTGAACAAAAGTTTGTAACTGTAGGGGATTGCTGCACAATTATTGGTGGAAAAAGTTGGAGAACAGTTTCAGAAATTTCTAACGTTTCTGTCTGTCATACATGTAATGATGTACAACTTATTGACATGACCTCCGTCGACGTTGAAGAAAATCAAAACATAAAAGGTATGTCGATGTGAAATATCTTTCACAGTAGCTACCGACGAATAAATGGAATAATTTTTAAAAATTTGCCAATAAATATTGCATTTTAGAGAATATCATAATTGCACCAAATATGTTTCCATTAAAATAATTCATCGATTCCCATGCTTATTTACGTGTTGACCCGTTTTATTTTTTCCAAAAACAAAAATGCAATGTGATTTGATGAAAAAACCTGAAACAAATAATTGATACAGATTATCTAATTTTGTTTGCAAATATTACGACAGCTTCATGTGGAGTATTTGGAGGAAAACATTTGACTTTATTCAGTGGAAAGGTGTTACAAATTCCGACCAATTGTGCATATCAGATTGCAGTTTCAGAAGATGGAAGTTGGTAAGATTTATCACAACCAATATATTTTAATATGAAAAAGATCGATATGATTAAAAATAGAAAGTACCAGCATGGGAATATAAATATATCAAAGAACTATAGTAATCCAAGATATCTGTGGTTCACTAGCTTTGTCAGAAACTTTTGATTGTTCCAGAAAAACAGTCTCTTTTAGTTGTATACCTAATATTCTAACTTTTCATCTTTTGATTTACCAGATCCCTTGTAGCAAAATAATTTGTTTTGAAAAGCGAGAGCGATTTGAATTAGGAAAACTTTTACCTACGCACATTTTTTTGTTATGACTATTGGCCTTCCTAAACAATCACCGATGGTGTTCCCTTAACTATGACAATTAATAGCCTAGGCCCTAGGAAATTAATCTTAGAACTGGCACACTAAAAGGAGCAGTTTGGTCTGTATTTCTTACTGTAATTTTTTAGTATTTTATCATGAAAAAATGAAGCCTGATGACTCAAGGTTTGAATATCTAATTACACAAGAATGAAATTTTTTTTGTTTTTTAATTTTTAAAGGTCGCTCGAAGTCCAAAGCCATGACTGTGATTTATCATTCATAAACTGTTCTTTGGCGTTCCGGGTGACCATTGAACATGACGTCATCGTTGCATATCGTGACGTAATATCCAGTCGAGTCATCATCGAGATCAATGAAAAAACCTTGAACTTGAATGCACCCATTGTTCATAATGGTAGGTACCGCTTCCATGCATCAGTTTTTTCTGTGAGGTGTTTCTGTATTCAATATTTTATTCAATTTTTCTATATTTGATTATTCTTTTTTATTCGGTTTAATTTTCTGGTAAAATTATAAGACAAAAAATAACTATTTCATTAAAAATCTTTTGATTTTTTGGTAATTGAGCAATTTTTGCTAGTAGTGTTTGTCAATTTTGAGATACTTATAATATGGTGATTCACCAAAGCATATTAACATTATTTAAAATATGTGAAAATTCCATGTATATAATTTCATCGATTTGAGTTATATCGTGGAAGATAATAAAAACAAAAACAATAACATGAAGTGTACTAAATGGTGCCGATATTGCGTCTATTAACAAATAGTAACATATCTTTTACCAGGAGTCATTATTAAACGGATCGGTCAGAATATTCTTTTTGAAAGTTCGTTGGGGTTTTCTGTCAGATGGGATGCAAAAAATTCACTTTTTATTTACTTGGATATACCTGATAAAAATACTCCGGATACATCGGGCTTATGCGGATCGTGGAAATTTGCCGAACCATTAGGTCGTGACACTAGAAACCAATTTCACAGCTCAACATTGATGGAATGGAGAAGTAGTGGTGAGGAAAATAAGTCTGCTAATATATATAGTAGATTAATCGTCTACAGATTCTACAGAAAAAGACCATGATAAAACTTCGGCTAATAGATGAATATTTTTTAGGCATTCGTAACGTGGATGAGATGAAAAATTTACGATGTACTTCGATTGCTTCCGGTAATTGCGATGCAGATCCTCTTCTTATGGAAAATGCGCAAAGGAGATGCGACATTTCCATGAACGGTCCATTCGCAGATTGTATTGGCAAGTTGGACCCCACTGAGTATATACAGGTATTTTAGAAGTTAGGTAATACGTAACCTCGCCATTGATTGAGACCCATTTGATTTATCCTGATAACTTTCTTATTTCCAAATTGAAAAATCAAAAAAGAATTGGATTCTGTGATATACATATATGTAAATATGCGGAGACTATATAAGCAAGGTTTTATTTTTGTTGTTAAGTTGTTACCGCTTTTTCCATTTCAAAGGCTTGCTCCTCATCAGTTTGCCTCGTTCAACATACTGAGTTAGACAATGAAATGAAAAAACAAATTACATGTTCCTCAATGTCCGCTTACTCACTTAAGTGTCATTTTACTGGGATCAATGTTGGACAATGGATGAAAGAATACAATTGTGAGGACAGTTGCCCTGATGGTAATTTCATTTATGTTTTTGTTCACTTATCGGTCTATTTTCTATGAGGCAATTGTGTATTTCTGCATAATCATTTACTTCTTCTCGATCATTCAATGTCCACCCCTTCACCCCACGTATTAACCACGTTGGACATACGGCTGTTTTAAATCGAACATAATCGGTCTTAGTTTGGGATATATATGATAGATTATACGGAATGTGTCAGTTTCTTTATTCAATGAAATAAAACCAAAAAAAATCTTCTACGAGTAGTTTGAAATTGGATTAGAGAAATCTATAAGTTCAGTCTGATATATATATACTGAAAACCTTTGAAAATCATGTTTTTTTCATTTTTTTTATCAGTTAATTTATATAATTTATGGTGCACTCAAGTAACACAGAATATGGCAGTTCAAATATAGTGTTACTATTTCTGATGCGTTTCATTACCAATTTTGTTTATATCAATATTCAGGGATGATTTACAAGCAATGTGTCTCTGCGTGTCCGTTGACTTGTGAAAATTTTAGTGACAAACAGAAAAAATCTCAATGTACTCACTCGGCATGTTTTCCTGGCTGCGAGGTTTGTATTCAACTTTATTTATGATATAATGGTTGCGATTTTAATGAAGCCCAACTTGTGATTTTAAAGCTGCAATCAATGCTTTTTTATGGCAGTTATAACAAAAATACAGCAATAATGAAGTTCGTCTTTAACAGTTTCGAATTCTGGAAATGGTGGTAAACTATTGTATATATATATATATATAATTCTGTGGAATAAAGTGACTACCCTTTGCAAACAAATTTTCGAAGCCCAGTCGTATAAAGGTCGATTTCAACTCAAAATTTGCGAGTAGATAATTCACTTATATAAATTTCTAAATCAGTACTGAAACCAACACATGTTTACAGTGCGAAAATGGAAGAGTTTTGCGAATTCTTTCAAACGGTGAAACAGAATGTGTAGATCCGAATACTTGTCCCTGCAAACACAGGGGTAAAGAATATCAAATCGGACAATCTTTCACCAAACAATGTAACCTCTGTAAATGTGAATCAAGAGGAAGATGGAATTGTTCTGAAGATCATTGTGAGGGGACTTGTAACATCATAAGCGCTAGTCACGTAGTTACATTCGACGGAACAAGGTAAAAGAATTGAGCATTTTTGTAATATCGTTAACTGTATAAAAACCATGACCCTATTTGATGTTTTACTATCATGATATATATATATCTAAAATGACACCGTATTGGCTAAGAATTATCCATCATTATGCTGCATGTGGTATGAATATTTGACAATAATTGTGGGTAGTTTTGTGATGGCATGACTGGTTATATGTGGCAATCTGTAATGCATTATGTATATCACCGTCAACTATCATACGAATCTCAATAACAAGTTTTTAACGGTTTGTCCGCTTCGTATCTTTTAACATTGGTGTATATTTTATGTTCAGGTTGTCTCTTCTCAGTGGGCCTTGCAAACGACAGATTTTAGTGCGCGATCGTTTTCGACCGCGACAGCTTACTGTTAGCGTCGACATTCTTCCAGCTTCAAATGCGCATCAGAATCTTCTCAGTATATCATCACTGCTTATAGACATGAGGGGCACACAACTTAACATCAAAAATAATTTGCAAATCACAGTAAATGGGACTGAGTCAAGGATGCCGTATAGGTAGGTATATATATATCATACTAGAGCTATCTTTTTTGTATTGACTGCATCTGGTTATTTATTCAAGACTTGTATGTATTGAAATACGTTTGAAATGTAATGTAAGTATATATTGCTTTTTGTTGAATCATTGACAAAACGAATAAGTCAATAAGTTCATTATCCTGCTTATTTTGTAGTGAAAACAGGATTGAATATGTTACTACATGGATGTTCATTGCAATGAATGCCACAAATATATTTAATATTTTCTCTTCATTTTGTTTGTAGAGATTCCCAATTTTCTGTGCGTATGGCAACATCATTGGCCTTGTTGTTAAGAACACACGGTGTTAGTATCATTTGGATACCAAGCACAGATGAATTGGAACTTGTTTTGGATCCAATGTTTTCAAACAAGGTAAGTTTGTATTGCATATACCGATGACAACCCAGATTGGCAAAGTACGATTGGTGAGATAAGATGCATTTTGTTTTGTTTTTACATTCAGGTTATAGGATTGTGTGGAACATATAATTGGAATTCCAAAGATGATTTGTTAACACCACAGGGTGACATTGAACCGAATATTGTGGAATTTGCAAGATCTTATCAAGAAGAAGGTATTGTTAATATTTGTTTATTATTTAGCTATTTTGCATATCCAATCAGGGCAGTTACTGACGCAGTTATTGATTACAATTTGGGAATTGTGGTACAATTACAATATTATTCTCCTCTGCTTTAGATGGGTCGCGATGCCTGGAAAGAATGCTTGACAGTTCCGTTTCTACATCAACTGGTATTGTCAATATGAAATTATTTATTGATGATAAACTGCCAAATGCATGTACTATTCATGCCCAACGTCGGAGTCAAGCTCAGCAGTTGTGTGCGCTTCTTTCTTCTGAAATATTCGATGTGAGTAAATAAGTATCGCATTGAAAAATTTTCTGTAGTTTTAATATTTCTTACGCGGCTTATGCATATTTATTAATTACATTTTAAAACAAAATAACAATTTAAATGAAATTATTTCAATTTATTTAATTCTCACAGAATTGCCTACAATATGTGAGCACGTCTCCATACATCGAAATGTGTATGCATGATCTATGTACCAGTGATGAAACTATTAACGTCTGTCGTGTCTTCAGTGCTTATGCCCGCGCTTGTGCGAATGCCCGAGAGTCCAATAACACCACAAATCAACAAATAGATTGGAGGCAGCATGAAGATCTCGTTCAATATTGCAGTAAGTAGATATTGAAAATTTTGTTGCGCCAACATTAGGGACGAGTAACGAAAGCAACAATAAGCTCCTTTTGTGTCTTTCGTCTCAAATTTAGCATAAGACGCAATAGATTAATAAAAGATCTTCAGAAATATAATATGTCGATGAAATATTCTTGGACAATAAAAACTAGATTTTTAGCAATAGCCAGGCTGTATGCATTTTATCATACCTTTAATTACGTTCTTGTCTTTATATTTCATTTTAGACCCAACTTGTCCGCTGGGAATGGTTTTCAATGAATGTCAGCCACTTTGTTCGTCTTCATGTGACGATGTCCGACATCCCTGTCCAACGTATAGCTTTTCGAGAGCATGGAAATTCCAAACATTTGCGTATTCCCAGCCATGTCTACCTGGATGTGTTTGTCCTGATGGAATGTATTCTGAATCACTGCAATCCGTTCCGGTAATTTCAGGTGAATAGCGATTGTTTTAAACAAATTTTGCTCTATTATATTAGAACTTGTTTTGTTTAAAATAAAAAATAATTTCATGCTAATAGTTACCGACCTGTCAATACTCGAAGTTGTTTTCTTGTAGTGAAACGAGCAATACTGGAAATACCTGGCCGCTTAAACTTATTCATATGCCAAATGTTGTTAGTATATATATATGTAATGGCGGTGGAATGCGCCAAAGTTGTTTCTTCGAATAAGGCTATTCTTTATTATGCTTGTGGCTAAGTTCAGTCCTAAATTTTCTTGTTGTCAAAACCTGCAACACATACATGACATTTTGGGATGTTTACGAATATTTGTGGGCAACGCAACATATTTTCCTCTTTGATAAGCAACTGCATAATATTTTTTTTTATGAATGTTTGTTTGTTATATTATTTGAAATATGTGGTTAGCTTTATCCAGTGGTGGGATTCAAATTTTTCGTCAGCCGGTTCCCTCACAAAAGTTATATTTTTCAGCCCGTTCCGTTACAAACAGAACATTGTTAGTAACCAGTAATGCGGGTAACCAGTAACGGGTTCGCTGATCTCATAAAATTCCGTGAGATGGTTCTATAGAACTGAACCAGCTGAATCCCACCACTGGCTTTATCTGATGACAATTATAATATATATTAATTTGGTAGTATTTGAAGTGTTGAACTTTGATTGTTAAATTTTTTTGACATGTAATTGACAATTCATTTTAGGAGAACAAGTTTTGGGCTTTAAGTTTCAAAACTGCGTAAAAAAGTCACAATGTTCATGCAGTGACGGAGGATTGGTATATACAATTGGAAAACGTTTAAAAAGTGGATGCTCGGAATGGTTTGTGATTTTATTTGAAATCCATTACATCTCTATTGATTTGCATGAACAAGAAGGCATATATATTCAAGCATGAAGATGCAGGGTTCAAAATGACCATCGACGTTTCATAGTCAAATTATAGCCTACGGAGTTTTTCGGATTCTGGCTTGTAGCTTACTAGAATATAATTTTTTCTAATCGCATAGAGTACGGCATTACATTGGTCTGTCAAATATCAGATGAAATCAACCTCTCACTGTATTTGGATAACTCAGGATAGGTTGTTTTCATCACTTATTAGTCAGACACTTTGGTCATTTTTCGTATAAATGCTGGTTCATCTTAGTCGCGATACCTTTATTTAGAAGTGAATTTTTGTTAGCATCCTGTTGCGCAGAAATATTTAGTATGTAATTTACATAATTTTTAAGCTGATGCCATGAATGAATAGATATTATTTTATATTTTACGAGCCTTATTATTCAGTATCTGCAATGCCGGGAGATGGAATTGTACTTCTGAATCTTGTGACGCCACAATGAAGTGTCCGAATAACATGATATTCAGTCGACAGATGTCACTTTGCAATCAAGATACATGTGACAATGTCGTTAGAGGCGCTATTGTACTGCGATCAGAACGAAATATGGAATGTGCCAGTGAAGTCTCCTTCCAGGGTTGCACGTGTCCAAACGGGATGGTTTTAGAGGTGAACATTTTTAATTATAGCTTAAAATATTAAATTGGGAAAACATTTTATATATATATATATATCAAGTTTTAATCTTGTTCATAAAAACAGCAAGGAAAACGGGAAATTTTTATTTGGGAGGGTTGAAGTTCGAAAAATTGGGATATATTTTACATTTCGTTCTTGCAACAGGGAGGGCGGGGAATTATGAGGAGCATCAACTAAAATGAATTCCTCTCTATCGATATGCGACATTGGCCATTTCGTGTACACACACACGTCGTTGCATTTACAACGTTCCGATGCACGATTAACAAAGTTTTTTTGATCTCGCAGTGATCATAATCGAGGGTGATACTTAAATCCCAGGAATTAAACCTTTCCTTGAGTTCGAGTAAGGTATACTATCAATTCGGAAACTTGTGTTTTGCAGTAATATAGAAGTGTTGTATATAGCGTATATCTATAGTATTGTATATATGATATCTAGCACAGTTAACAATAACTGTATCTAGAACCTAGATGGTAGAAACATTTAAATATGTTGGAAGAATAAAATTCTGTGCCTACAAACATGAATAGATCACATGGGTTCCATGGTATTACGTGGCGCAGATTGCATTGAAAAAGATGAGCAGTGAAGTATCCATATTCGGTATAAAAAATACATTGTTTTTGATGATAAAGTTTTGTATTAGTGTTTGAACGAATGAATATATAAAACGTTTCAACTGTACATTCATGTTAAATTTCATTACTTAACCGTCAATGAGAATAAAAAATTCACGTATCTCGCGAAGAATCATTCGAAGAATCAAACGAGATACTATGGAAAATCTAAATTTAATCTAAAATTTTGATTTCTAAATTTTGGGCCAAAATATCAATAAGTTCGAATAAGTACGGAGAAAGATTTTATATTGCTTTGATATTAATATGTTTGTAAAGCAATATATTTTATCCCTACTTCTTCGTTGTGAAAATACTGATAGATAGTGCTTTATAGCATATACAAAGTAAAACAAATACCTAAAAATGTTGGCATCTGCTACCATTTATCATACAATTAAAACAGTCGATAAAGCTTCTATAATCCAAATATTTAAAAAAAATGCAATGTCAAAGGGCAAGCTTGAAAAGGACGGCAGTAAGGATTGACATATTGTGAATTACTTCAACAAATATGGCTTGACACGATAGATTGCTGTCATCGAATGTAAAAATATAACTCAATAGAAACTCTGTGTATCACTATTTCAGATTTGATTAAGGACAATATAAAATCTTATTTATGGATGCATGAGCTCCATGTATAAAACGTCAACCTCTTTACCCATAATATCGAGTCCCTTTCTCGGAGCCATCTAGACTTGAATCGACTAGAAAACACTCTTATATGTTATTTTGAAAAAAATCGTTCATGTTTGGTCATTCAAAATAAACTTTCACATTTTAAGTGAGGCTTCTTCTTTCAAGTCTGGTTGTTTTGTTTCGACTGTCTCTTCTTTTTGTTCAGATTGAGCTTCTTCTGGCTGAGAAGCAGATTCCTCTGTTTGACTGGAGTCCTTTTCTTGTGTGTCATCCGCTTGGCTCTTTTCTTTATCTTGTGATTCTGTTGCTTCTTCTGATACATTTTCAACTTCCGTTTCTTTTGCTGTCTTCTCTGCCGATTCCGTTTCTTGTGTGACTTGGTCTTCTTTGTCTTCATCAGAAGATTTTGTTTCGCTCTGAGTAGCGTCTGCTTGTGATTGTTCATTAGCGATATCTTCTAGTTCTTTTGTTACCTGACTGTCAGAAGTATCTGTATGATCGCTTTCTGCAACACTAGCCACTTCTTTTTCTTGTTTGTCTTGTGGTGGGGGAGGGGCATCGGGTAGTTTTTCCTCTGTTTCTACTTCCTCTTTAATATCTTCTTTTTGTTCGTCTTCTTTTTCACTCGTAACAGTTTCTTCCGTTTTCACTTCTTCCTGTACATTTTCAAGTGTTTCTTTCGTTTCTGGTACCTTTTCAGGCTCCGGTTGTTCGGAAACCTGCTCTGCCGCCGGTTCTTCTTGCTTTGGAACCTCAGCTGCGGCGGCTGCAGCACCTGCAACTACTGGAGCAGCTGGTGCTTGTGCTTTCTTTTTTTTAGCATTGCCGTTTTTGTGTTGACTTTCATCGTCTCTGTTTACTTGATACCTTTCTGTTTCTGAAATAGCGACAACTCCTTCCGTCTTTTTCTTGTCTTTTTTAGCTTTGCTTTTACTCTTTCCATTGCCGGCCAAGGAGTATTTTTTAGTTTTGAAAAAATTCATTATGATACTAATCTGTAGAATAAAATCGATTGCTTATTAAGAAATGAGTTGACAACTTTGACGCAGAATTGTAGACCAACTTCCAATATGTGGCACTCTACACGGATACCTTGGGCGGGGCTCACATTCACTATATACTTTAAGCTACGGTACTAGTATTAGCCATCGTAGTTTTATACAACGACATGTAATGAGACAGTCAAAACATTGTTCAATTCACGTGACACGACGTGAGTTGTTTTAAATAAATTCTTGTTTAGTTCATCGATGCCGGTACCGCACGTACGAATGTTAATAGGGTCACCTTTAAAGCCGGCTTGGTATTAAAAAATTTCAACTTGTAACCTTCCAAATGAAATAAATAGATATGATTAAATTAGTACTTTATAAACCGAGTCAACGTGAATATTAACAGAAATAAAAAGTTGTCGAAATATCTCATTGTAATGAAATATTACTTTCCACCCCTTGTACATTAGGAATATGATATGCCTGTGCTTAGAGACAAATTTGAAACATTCTAGAAGTAGGCTACTTCAAACTTGATCGATAGGGACTTTGCATTGATATAGATAGATAATCCTCTCCGAATTTTAAACGCGTAGTTAGACCAGTTTATGCGATAGGTCGCCAAAATGACAAACAGAATATAGATAGTGAGAAGCCTAAAAAATATTGTTCTTCCACACCTCGCTTTAAAAATTATCTGATGATATATGTTGTTATGTCGCCCGCAATGCTCTATATATATGAAATGTTTTTCGAAAAGATCTGTCTTCGTATCCCTTTCCTTTAAGTGCTCTTTGGATATTTGTACCCACTGCCCGTAACTGCCTTTCTCCTAAGACAACACCGATTACATATTCAGTACCAAATGCGAAGTTTTATCTAGACACGAACCATCTTTTCTATGATACGTTGCCAATATAACTGAATAGCTTATTCTGCACGATATATCTCTACTATATTCATCCTTCCCTCCGGCAATTGTATTTGATTCATCTCCCGCGATTTAGATAAATTACAATAACGTTAAAGACGTCGTATGATTTGGTTTCAATTTTGTGATATAAAGTTACCATTTTTATTTAAAAATCAAATTGCAAGGAAAAAAATTTCTTTTACTATCATTCTAGCGTACAAAGCATGCTATGAACATTACATACGTTTGCCAACACCTTTCTAAAAAACTAAACAGAGGCTCTGTCTTTGCCAGTTTCTAACAACTCATAAATTTTTCGATCCTAATTAAGTTAACTCGCTTAAAACTGCAGTATATTTCAAAGTTAAATACGAGCAATTATAGTCTTGTTACAGTTTGATTAGAAATGTTTATTATTAAACTGTTCCCTGTAGTTCAACAAGTAGCAAAATGAAGGTCATATTCGCACCCTCAACTATACTTTTACCATATCTAATAGTTCCCACGGAAAAACATTGTAAGCCTACATCCCTAATCCTCTTGTTTATGGGGTAAACCGGATAAACTTAGAAATGTTGAACATTCTTAGTGATTAATTATAAATAATACCATAATTAATATTTTCATCAGATTACATTTCTATAACTTCCAGCTTATAACTAATTAGTGTAACTGTTGTTCCTTGAGAAAGTAGTTGTTTGATATCACTGATCACGGCAAATAGGCCAATCAGCGAACGCGCTGCAAAAACGGGTTGATTTGTGTGGCAGATACTATTTCGGATACACCATTACTCCAAGGAAAGTTACTTGAGCTTGTAGCATTTATTTGGATACACATCAATAAAATGTCTGACTTTGTAGTTGTTAGACAACTTCTCAAACATCCCGATCGTTTTGCTGCTGAAAATGCAATACTTTATACAAAAGCTTGTTTATATCTAATCAACATCCGCGCTGCACTGACCCGCTCAAATCCACCCAAAATCGAAACGACGCTGAACTGAAACGGAAATCGTAACATTCGTATAACGTAACGGAACAAATCTTATTCCTATCTGAAATAGGTTATCAAATTTGAAATACTGGCATCAGTAATTTAGATGCTTTATAAATGTGACAATTTGTTTTTATACAATTGAAATATTATGGGAGTAAAGCAATTTTTGTCGAGACCGATTGAACAAACATTCCACAGCGATTTCGTTCAATGTTGTGACTACTAAAAATAACATTTACGTCCACTCTATTGTGATTGACAAAAAATTTAAACCACAATGAAATGGTTTGGAATAGAGTGGTATTGTTTTGCCGAATTCGTAGACTTAATTGTATCAATAAACAAATGGAAAAGCCTGTTAGGTGGTGACAGTATTCTTACCGGAAAATTGTGTACTTATCACTAACTAGAAAAGTATTTCTGGGTCAAAATGACATTTGACCAAACTGACAATAAATAAACATTCAGATAGCGGATGTCTTTACTCAATACTGCATATACAGTATTACTGATGTCAAACGTTGTTTAAGCCGCGTTTGGTACAGCAATCCTTCACCAAGTGTGTAAAAACTGTAAGCTGTTTCTGTAAGTCCGACAAAATATAGGCAGGATTTACAAATTTATTGGGCAATAGTTTGATGTTCAGCCCGAGGGTTATTTTATGTCATATATTGCAGCTCTTTAATTAAATCTGACAAAATGATTGAACCATGATACATTTCCGTAATTAAATACCACAATACGGTTGAGTAGGCAGATGGGTTTATGATCATAAAATTTACGCTATCGGTCATGCTGTTTTTATTGCCGGGCACGATGCGTTGGCAATTTAATCAATGTCTAGTGGACCGTATATTACGATCGTAAAACTTTATTTTATCCCTTGACTGCTATTATTTATGTATTCTATCTGAAAACTTCAACTGATTTTTTCAACCATTTCATATTTCAAGTTGGCAGCCAATATATCGTGTTTCTCATGCATGGGATAGCTATAGGCATACTTCCCTGTAATTTTCCCAAATACCGACTCTTACCATCATTACCAGGCTTTAATCCATTATCGTTAGATAATGTAATTCTGCAACTATATTTTTGTCGCGTTCAAAGACAACATCTTTCTGTTTGGCTAAATTCTAACACTTTAAATCTAAAGTCTATTGCCTTTAGGCTTGAGTGCTTATACTAATCACCTTGCTGACACGCTTCGAGTTAGGCCAAACCATGTCCCGTAGTCAGAAACAAATAAGAAGGGTATCTATGAATATTGAGTATTAATCTCATCTAAATTGGATAAGTTGTTGAGATTAGGATCAAAATGGATAAACCCTTATCTTATTTACATTAAAAAAGGCAAGAATAATTTTCAAAAATAATTCACGAATCTTATATATATAAGTATTGTTCTGAACGTTTCACATGCTCAGTCAGTCGATCAGATATTGTCAAACAAGTAGTTAGTCGTTAAACAGACGGATATTCTCAACCGAAAGAGACGTGATTCTTATTCAGGTTTTCGAAAACAATAATTCGCAATAATAAGTTTCGCGTTAACATTGTGCGTGAACTTGGCACTCCCTCTAATTTGATGTATGCCTTAGTCAAACAATTGTTGAAGTTCAAGGGTATAATAATGTTCGTGGGCATATATGTCAAGTCAAGCGGAATAATGACGACATAGGAATTGTTCTGGTTTCTTCTGTACCAGCGCTGATTTGAGTGTGGGTGGCAATTCAGTCAATTGTACATGTTGGAAATTGACGATATTTGTACAGGAATTCAAATATTGTTCAACTAGACGAGAAGGATCTCAACATTGATTTTCTCCAATCTAACTCTTGGGCATACTCGATAAATTACCCCATTGTATGAACACTAACATTAGCATAGTTGGACCATTAAACCACACCCTTGAACATTATCAGTCACCTCCCACGTACAAGTTATGTCATCGGATAACGCCGTCATTTGATTACTCGTTCTTTGGGCATTTTCATCTAAAAATGTCACGATTCAAGATATGAATGGAGCATTTGGAGCAAATTTTTTTCTTAAAAAGGTTCGAAATTCAACATGGAAACTTTTTTGCTCTACTATAAATACATGTAATATATGTAGCATATTATTAGTTTAGTGTGTTGCTCTTTTTACTACCTTTTGAGCTCGTAAAATAGCGATCTCCTTGAGCAAGTATGGAAATATTTACATTAGCTATGTTATTAGCAAAACCGTAGTAGACACTCCCAATAATTAAAAGCCTCAATCATTTAAATCGGACTAGACAAATAAATTATGTCTAAATCATATTTGAACTGTCTTACAATCCAATAAATCTTTCGCTTTTTGTTTCATTTATTTTATAGTATACAAAACTTATCTTTGACGATAATACGTAATACTTAATGAGTATAATTAAACTGCAACAAGCCTTAATAAAGTCCATAAATTATACACTACAACATCACCGGAATAATTATAAATGATGTTTGTAATACTTAACTTTTCGCATTCAGGACAACTAAGTTTTAGATATATATGCAATATGAATATTAAATCACTACACCTAACCCGCAGCCATCAATATTTCATGTCGAACCCGGGCAGATTGACGATCACATAAACGATTATTTCCTTTCGCATAGATATTTAAGCGTATCGGATGCCCTGAAATCAAGCCCTCAATTGTCTTTCTAAGTTTCTTTTCCTGCTTGTCCTGAAAACTTTTGACCAAAGTCATATACAATCAAGTGATCTGTTTCATGAAGTTACCAAAAAGCGGTTACTACAAACTAACGATATGTGCTAATTTTTGGGCGGTTCAGCAAGTAATCATTATCAAGCCGTAGGCTATGCGAGGTTTTGTTTTTTCCTTTTATTGGCATCGACTTCACGACGAACGTCATGATCTACGTAATGCGTCGTTTCATTTTATTGCTGAGAAATTTAATGCTCGTCGGTCACACAGCTGAAGTAGTAACTTGCGATAAATCACAACTATTACGGGGCAAACCAGTTCACGTCGACCTACTTTGTACGTGTTCTAAAGCTGTTATTTAATACTACCTTCATTACCTCTATCACCATGTTTTGGGGAATTACCATCGAATATTATCTTTATTACACACACCTATCTTCAATACTGAAAACGTTATCATTTATACTTCGTCCTATAGTGTTTCAAGGTGTGCAATGAACTGGCGATATCACTTCACCCCAATGAAATATCTAAACAAAAACTCAAGCAGCGAATGAGATCTTTTAATACGGAAATTCCACACAAAGATTGCGCATTCACTTTTGTTTCGCTGGTTAATTAAACGATCAAGTTAATCACTGACCACGCATTCTTTTCGCGCTTTAGATTCCCGATTCACGTGCGGCTACTATTTGAGTGGGTAGGATAGTATGTCTTCAGTGCATGGGAAACTCAAACCAAAGTAATTTTCTATTTGCCCGAAGGGTGGCAAATAAACATATGATATTTATGTTGTCCATTCGGCAATGATTTATCTCAGCGGGAGCGTGTTTGCGATTTCGAATAATGCAAACGAATTCTTTCCGGTAACCATGGAGCTGATGGGAGATGAGAACACAAGTGAATGAATATTTTGCCTTCTTGTGGTAATTTTCGCCAGACTGACCACAGAAAAAATTGAAAAAAAATATTAATGTCTTGAAGATAAAGTTTGCTGCACCCAAATCAAAATCTACGCATTTTGCGAGTGTTCAAACCCAAATACTATATTTTGAAAATTCTAACATTCAACGTACCAGACGACTTTGCCATAGCAAACATTAGTTTGCCCTTTCGGCCTCCGAGTAATCTGATAATTACTAGATTATATCTTGCGTTTGGTTCAGATTTATCTCATATTGACTGTATGATTGTCAGATTCGTATTTGGGCCTGAGAATTTCTAAATTCCAAATAAGTCCCTCTCCTGCCTCAAAATGAACCGCATTCCGAAACCTGTGTATTCCTATTTTTGCACCAGTTCTGAAAGGTACACGACAAGATTCAAGATCCCTAAATTCGATACGGCTTTTAAATAGTATAACATAAATATACGACAAATTCCCAGACGACTTGGGAATGACTGCAATGGAGTTCTTTCGAACCAATATCTGAAATCTCACGTTGAGAAGAATTAACGTCGGTTGTAAAATCGACAAAAGCAATAAACTACAATCGAAAACTACTAAAGAGACTTCCCAAGCACATTCCTCACGTTAAACGAATGGTTTTAATCACTCTCCGACTACACAGCTGTCATTAAAGCAATCCGATAACTGCCTACTCTGTCAAGCGTGGATCGTGGGTAAATAAACTTTCAGTAAATGGGCATATTTCATGGCCGAGTATATTCTTATTGCGTGAATATGGTAAAACTGCTTTCTGCAATTTTATCACGCGTTTTACCCAACTATCGTTTTTTACCCATATACTCCTATTGTGTAAATGGGTGTGGATATATGGTCTCAATCAGCATTTGAATTTTGGGCTCCACATTAGTACACACAAGACTGTCGTATACTGTACTGTCGCATTTTACATCCCCTTTATATTATTAAATTCACAAGGTATCTCAATCCCCAAATAGCTCATTTGCATCGATCGCTTTGACATCTGGTTATTACTACATCTGGTTAAATCAACCCTTTTAACGTGATCCAATACAATACCAAGTAAATGTACGACGGATGAGAAAAAAGATCTGTGAATTCTGTCGGTTTCTATTCAATTATTATAAAGGATTTGGGTTCCAACTACTATCTAAAATTCAAATCATTCGCAAATTTCCTAAACAACTCATTCACCAGAACGCTCAATTTTTGAAAAAAAAAAATTATGTTTATTCTGAGATCGTTGATCCACATATTCTCGAGGAGATTATTTGTGCACAATAGACTGACTATGTGATATACTGAATGACGTATATTCTGTATTTGTTAAAAAGCTTTTGATCTTTTGTCCCTGATTTTCCAGCCGTGTAGAGTTTGAAACGGGCCTTATTTGTAACACCTTTTTCAACCGTGGCCAGGCACTGAGTCGGGCATGTAAAAAGTTTTTGATTTGGGTTAAACGGTACGTTTTGTGTGCGGAAATTCAATAAGGAAATCTGAACTATACTATTCATGTGAACTTGAATATATTTGTATTTTCAAAAAATTCGTTCAATTTCACTTTAATTACTTAGCCTTCCGTAAGACAGTAATTCCGTAATGTGACTTCACTCTGATATCACAATATTTATCAACGTGTATCAACTTGGATAATATGAGACAAAATTCTGGTTTCGTCATAGACAAAACATTTTTTACGAAATATTTTAATCACCATGTCAAATATATGTGTAGGGCAAGATAAGCACATTCTAAATTTAAATGGTCCATTACTTTATGTCGCTTCATGTAAGAGCAGTTGCTATCAAATAAGTACAAGTAAATCTGTTGAATTCTGGTATCTTTTTTCGTCAATCTTTCAATTATATCTTTTATTTGAACCAGGGTGAACACTGCATAGATCCCACTGAATGTCCGTGCAAACATAACGGTCAGACTTATCAACGTAATTCGACTATCAAACGCGATTGCAATACATGGTAAGCAAAATTCAGAACTTTTCATTTGTATTAAATGTAGAATAAAACGAATTTTTATGTTCATTTCAACGGAAGAGAAAATTTCTTCAAACGTCTCAATAAGGAACAACGACCTATCATCCGATTACTAATCCCAACTACACATAATCTTTTCTACTACCAAAACCATGCTAAAACACAAAGCTGATCACATCGAACTTGTGGGTAGATCATCAGGATGTTTGTTAAATTTCCCACGTCACAGCTTTAAAAATTATACCCAACTAATTGGAAAGAATCGTGGATCATAATCACTATAGTAACTAGTAAAGCCATATATTTGAACACCAGTTGCTAATTACCTTCTCCTTATGAATTGTATTCACAATCTTTCTATTCTTTTTCTTATTGTTTATTAACTCAATCTGACAATGTTCTACAAACCAATATATATTTCAAAACAATTGTTACCTTTCCGTTATCCAACCTACAATTTCGATCATTCAAACTTGTTTTGACTTTTCTTTCACCGTCACGGTTGAACAATTATTACTTTATGCAATATTTATGACTAAATTCTCAATTTAATCTTCAATCTAACACGACCAAACGCGATCATCTCTGCGAAAGCTATTCAAGGAGCTCCACGTCAATTTTTAAGCGAAGTGTCGCTTGTTAGATGCTGTATTTACATGAAATTATTTCCTTATCGTTAGCTGGATTTTGCGCCAAACTAATGGGGTCCACGTATCTGGAACGAATAACTGGTTAACTTTTCCCCTCACCCAACATGGAGTGAAAACCGAACGAGAGACCGTAGTGCTCTATAATCTATAGGATTAAGACACCTTACCTACTGCTCTCTCACCTGGGATAAATACGAAAATTCCTATGCTCTGTGTGTTCTTTTTCGCGCCATTTCACACCAACAAATCTGTCACTCACAACTCTGTTTATAAACTGTTGGAAAAATGTCATACTAAATTTCAAACCAGCAAAAAATTTAACACATAACGTAATATAATTTACTAACTGGTAATTTATGACAGCACTTGTGATGGGAAACATTGGATTTGCACCGAAAAGGTTTGCGCAGGTATTTGCGTTGCAACTGGAGACCCTCATTACGTTACATTCGATGGAGCAACTTACTCATTTGAGGTGAGACGATCTAACTCCTATATACCTTGACTATATGAAATTAGGCGAAATTTACCTTTAGCTATGACAAATATTAATACCCTCCATATCCATACTAACTAGATTATATTAAAAAAAATTAAGATGCTATTTTATAGTGATCGCAAAGTCCCCTATTTCTGTCCATCGCGAAAGCTTATCTGCCAAAGTTTTACTTTCTGTATTATGGGTTGCCGGTACTTTTCTCTATAAACACGCACCGACAAATTGTTTTTCTACTTGATATCGATTTTAAATCCCTTCATTCAATTACAAATTCGTTTTCTCGCTAATTACTTGTTGTAATTGCCTGGTCAAAGCAAATGAAACAAAAGGAGAAAAATCCAATGAAAACAATCAATAGCCCATAATGAACGTTCTATCTTACTGTGACGTCACAAAAATCAAATTGGTTTAAGCCAATCACATGCTTCAAATAACACACTTGAAGAAGCCATGCTTGATTAGACAATCCAATTGCTTCTTACCCAAAACTGTTTACTGGTAACTGAGTGATCTTGTCCCTAGAGAATAGACCTTCATATCATACAAAAATAGTTTATTCTATTACAATTATATTACGAAATTGACCACTCACTTCGAAGAGTTTCTCATTCGTGACCCTAGAGAATTGATGAACGTTAGTTAACGTACTCATATCACCTTCTGAATAAGGTCTGCTCTAAATATAAATCTATGATGAACACTATTTACCATAAAGACTAATTAAAATGGTAGTGGAGATTAAAGTGTATTAAAATACCATAAACATAACAGAATTAGAAAATTAGTTTTCACCAAAATAGAATCTTGTCGATAAGATACAATATTTTGAATATAACCTTGATAAAATGATCTAATTTTAGTATCTTTTGCCAGTCATGTATCAAGACAAATCGTAAAACAGAAAATAACATCGTGAGTGAACTAATTCAGTACAATACTATTCCACAAGACGGTATCGTTTTTTTTTTCAAAGTATTATGCAGTGCTTCCCGAATTACAAACTCATATAGACACGTTTAAAATATTGCAATGCTTAAATTCCCTCAAATCAGGTGGTTTAAAATACTATATATGTTCCCATATATAGGATAGTTTTCCAATCATCATTACAGAGCATACCGACCACCGCGTTACTCAATTTAAACTGAAGTTAAGCATTTGGATACGGTATGCATATAGGCTGGACAGGGCCCAGAAATTGCTTGTGATGTCGCATTGTCAAATAAGAGTGGCACGCTATTATTTTGGCATTTTTGAAGACTTGACGTGCTAGTACGATTAATCGATTCGATTTTACCAATAGTATCGAAATTCAAAATTGATTCCGGTAAGCATCATTAACATTTATCCACGATTACCTTGCCCATCCCTGGTGTTTGCCTGAGCTTCCAAGATGAAGCTTTGGTCAAAAATGACTTCAATTACTGTATACTGAATTATTCCAATATATTTTTAAATACTGTCAAAATCCTATATATACCCACGTTTTAGCTGAATATTCAAATTCCAACCTAATACTGTCAATTTATGTCCAGCACGGGAGTCCAGTTTCAATCAATATCTATACTCGAACGCCCATAAATCAATAGTTTTTCTAATTATGAGCTTTACGCTATTTTATTGACATTCCTGGAAAAGGATCTAAACGCCTTACTAACTTTCAAGTACGTTACTTCTTAAATGTCCGGTCCACGTGCTTTGGAGTCGTGTCACAAACCGGAGTAAAATGATGAAACTATTTCAAATGTATGTGAATCAGTTTTGGCAAAATTTAACTAAATGGCATAAGCCCTCAATACATGGTACAGGATTAACATTACTAACTCACATGAAATGACCTTAATATAAAGTCAAGAGGCTGTTGGGTCATGTGACCGTAATAGTTATTTTTCTTCCTGCTCTAGCTGACTGATGCCTTGACGTGAACTATGGGTATATTTTGCAGTGTATAAAGGGGACATGGAATTTATTCATGTTCTATGTTTACCAGTTTTATTCCCTCTGGAATTTGGAAGGAAATGTTTACTCAAACATTAGAATTATAAGTTAACATGTTGTACTGATATTGAAAAAGAAGTAAACCCACTTGAGATGAAGAGTAATTTCCGTCCAATTAATTACACACAGCAGTTGTTCGCGAACAATTGTATTTTATTAGTGAATGCGTCACATTATGACTAGTTTAAACTAGGGATGGAATTGTGATGTTTTTTTTTAAATCCGCGTATTTTAATCATCGTCCAAAAGATTGATAAAATTTAACTACGCTAAAATGCTGCTAAGCTTTTCTTATTCTTGTGATCTGCACTTGTTTCGAATATTGGAATTCTGTATTTGCTAACCTCATTAGGCTGTTTATACTTGTTTTAAGTAGGTTTTCGATATATAAACATATCTAATGACAATTTTGTGATGACAGCATTTCTTCCTAGAGTTGGACATATTTCATATAATTATTCATATAAGCATGTCCTCAAGTTCACAAGTTGGCCAACAAAATAAACCTCAAAAAGAATTTGCAAAATAAAAGTCAATTTTGTTCTGCCCATGGTTGTCATTTATAAGTTTGCAAATTAATCTGGCTACACCGACTATAACCAAACATCAGTTGAGAAAGGGCGAATTTCTAGACAACAGCGCGATGACAAGAGCCAAAATATACCGTGTTATATACTTTAATACTCAACTAGTAATCCATGAATTGGGAAGTTCATTACAAAGTTCTGTTATAAAAAATTTGGCTCTTTGTGGCTGAAGCAGATATGAAAAATATCTGGCCCATTGGTGTTTACCTAAATATTCATTGTAGTAAATAATCCGTCGGCAAATAAATCCAACTGCCAGACATTGTGAATTTGCGTAGTATGTCTAACTGATAGTGCCAATCACAAAACTTAAATTTTATATTGAATACAACAGTTGTAATCATCAATATTATAAATTCCAGGGAGCATGTAGTTACATTCTTGCTCAAGATTCAGATGGTTTGTTCAGCGTTGAAGCAGAAAATATACCATGCGGATCAACAGGAGTTACTTGTACTAAATCAGTTTATATCAGCATTGGTAAGTTAATTGTTCTCGTAATGGGTAATGACGTGTGTTCGTAGAAGAGTTGCTAGAAGAGTCGAAACCACTTTCTGGGACCCGATTCGAAAACATGTTCATTTTGAGCTCTGGAGCGAATCGGACCAGATTTGAAATACCTTGATCGATAGTCTTTTGCGTTCGATAAGATTTGAAATGGATATTTATAAAATCCTAATGCCCACCTCAAACCTGACCCCAAAACTCCATTTCTCTTGAAACTTTTGCACATTATGAAGTTTCAACCCATACTCTCGATGCACGTTATTTATAAAAAAAAAAAACATCTCCCGCGGCAGTTCAATTGTGGTGTCATAGGAAATTAATATATCAAAGATTTCTGTTGCAAAAATGTTATAAAACCATTCAGGAAACATGGTTGTTCACTTATTGCGTGGGAAAGATATCACTGTGAATGGAGCCAGAGTTCGTCGTTTTCCTCGTAGATATGGTGCCGCGGATAAACCGATGTCAAAACTTCAGAAGTCGACAACGATGGTTCTCATCATAGATAAAGCTGGGTTGTTCGTTGTTGTCAGTGCACCTGTTCTTGGATTGTCAGTGTTGTGGGATGGAGGTACATTAAATGCATATAGTTAATACCGAAATCCCTAAAATATAAATTCGAAATTGCAAAGACTACTTCAGTTTGGGTCTTCATTCAGGAAAACATAGTTCATTGAATATTTTAATATGTTATAGCAATGACAATCACGTTTAGTCATAACAAGTGATTGGTATTCAAGATTCCCAAATTATTCATAATTACTCGCATAATTGCCACTTTACCAGCGTATGAGCAAGTATACCATATTATATCACTGACGAGAAGTTCGTGTATGTTCCTCGAATATATTCTCCATATAAATATTTGTTTTGTAATACAAATGACATGTATCGTACTTCTCAATTAAAGGAACCAGAGTATATGTTCAAGTATCTCCTGAATACCGTGGAAAAACCTCTGGGTTATGTGGGAATTATAACTTAAGAACTGACGATGATTATACAACAAGACACGGATCTGTCGAGGCGTCCGTTTCGTTGTTTGCTGACACCTGGAGACTCGCTCAATCATGTCCAGAGACGCGGGATGCGACTGACCAAGATTTGATTGATCCATGCAAGGTATTCAAATAAATAATAAGCTTGAACAATTACGGATATAAAGTGTATTTTCTAACTGCTTTGGCGTTTTTAAATAAGTTCACCCTTGTTTATTAGTTACCGAGGAAACTAATTGTATTCAGAAACAGGTAATCATGTTATTATCAGTGTATAATATAAATAATGATGTATTGGGGTACGAATTAAAATCGATATCATCCTATGTAAAAACTTGAAGATTTTTAAGCAATGCCACACGTTTGAGGGTGAAAATACACAGCCCGTTGGCAGTTTGACAACCTGAATTTTGCTTCAATAACGCCTATGTTATGATTAATTACTTGCATTGTGTCTATTCTAGCATGTATGGAATGCCGCAAAATTGTTGAATGCGCGAATAGCTTTCATGACCACATTTTTTAAAAATATACAATACAGGCCAATCCCCACAGAGAAGGTTGGGCTCGTCGGACCTGCAGTATTATAACAACAGGCTCCTTATTCGCAGCATGTCGCATTGTTGTAGGTCATTCAACATATTACGACTGGTGCGTCAGAGATTCTTGTGCTTGTGATTCGGGCGGAGATTGCGAATGTTTATGCACTGCGGTAAGCATTTTCAGACATTATAATGTTGGGGTATCATCTAATTCAATTGACCAATCTACAATCTCAAAAGCATGAAATTCCGATATTTTTAAAGTAGTATTATGAAACGGATAAGATTACCGTAAAGCAGGGGTGGGCAACTCGAGTCGGCGGGCCGGATGGGGGAAAATGAAGTCCTCGGCGGGCCGGATTATTACAAAAAATACTTCGGTATCCAATCTTTGTTAAATGCTCGACACTCTCTGTCAACTTTACGTTACTTGGGATATTCCATGGTTGATAAAACTTAATAAAAAATCTAATTTCTAAAATCTATTTATATTTAGTATCTAAATATAACTGATAACAGTAGCGGGGAATGTTTACAACGCTCTCTGCTTTGACCTTATATTGTTTGTTTAACAAGTGTGCTAACGCAATTGTTTGTTCACTAAGAAATTGTTTATTTCACCAGCTCGCACTGCCAGTGCGGTGAGAGTAGAGAGATCGGCAACTTTCAGGAATGACGCGTCAGACCATATAACAGAGTGTGGTTGGATACAGTCAGCGGGCGGGTCAAAATCTAGTCGCGGGCCGCATCCGGCCCGCGGGCCGGATGTTGTCCACCCCTGCCGTAAAGTCATGTTTATACTTCTTATTTTATCAATGTTTCCGATGCTTTTCAGATCGCAGCATTCGCTGAAGAATGCAATAGACACGGAGTTCATATACGATGGAGATCTCAGGAATTATGCCCAATGCAATGTGATGATGGAATGGAGTATAAAGCTTGTGGTCCAGTGTGCCAGTCAACTTGCAGAACAATTGGTAATATGATATAACTATAGTTTTATATGCCGGTTTGCATTTAAATTTGAAATGTCGGTTTTTTCGACTACTCGACGTTTGAATATTATTAAAGTAGGTCTAAAATATAGTTTCCAAACAAAGGTATGTCTCAAGAAACCAAATGCCGTTTGCCTTTCTAAAAAGACCTATAACAATCTATTTATATATGATTTGTCATTTGACTAAGATCCTGTTTCTCAACATTCTAATAAAATATGACTCATAATGTTGCGAATGTTCTTGCAGCAAACTTGTCACCATCAAATTGACAGTATATTCTTACTGATATAATTATGAAAATTGATTGTTCTGTTTATTCTGATGTCACTACCGGCTTAGTTTTGAGCTCATACATTTACCGGATTAAGTCTTTTAACCACACAACCTAGGATCCGAGCCAGAAGCACACTGCGGAACATTATCTTGTGTAGAAGGATGCTTCTGTCCCATTGGAACCGTACTTCATGATGGAAGGTGTGTGTCATCAATGGACTGTCCTTGCCCTATGAACAGAGGTGAATTTCCATCTGGCACTACAATGTACGACAATTGTAAAGAATGCGTTTGTAGAGGTGGAAAATGGGAATGCGAGGTAGGGTGAATTTTGTGCTACAATAGAATTGCTTAACATTGGTACAATTAATACAATGATTGTTATTGACAACATGAAATGTAGCAAACGGAGCCATGATCATGTTGACTTTTGCAACTCAATATTTTTCTTGCTTGCATTTTTTAGGGCAAACCATGTTCCGAAGCTAGGACTTGTACTGATGATCATTTTCAATGTGCTGAAGACGACAGATGTATTCCGATCGAATGGAAATGTGACATGGAAGTTGACTGCAGTCGAGGATCAGACGAAAAACTTTGTGAACATAGCAAAAATGTTCCGAAATGTGAAAGTAATGAATTTGGCTGCGGTGATGGTTTTTGCATTGCGTTTATATTTAGGTATTCTATTATTTTATTATTGATTAGTTTGAAACAAACTCAAATTTCTGGTTTTATGTGGGCCTTGTCATTCTGTGACTGAATAGGTATGCTATGGTTACAATATTATGAAAAAAGGTGTATTAAGCGAGCGCTGAGTAAACGTTGAGCTGACATATGATGATCAGAGTTCTTTCTATCTATCGCTGAAATTCCTCCCTATCATAAATTAAACCATTCGCGAATGATTTCATGGTTTCGGAATATTTATCGTCGTTGCTTGCTTGATAGAGAACATCTCTCTCTATTACATAAAACAGTGGGATTAGTATCAGAACTGTTATCGAAATTTATTCTCCAAGTCATTGTTTGCTATTTTCAGGTGTGATGGATCAAGCGATTGCTTGGATGGTTCGGACGAAATAGATTGTGAACAATTTCTTAATAAATCTATGTGCGAAGATCACGAGTTTTTATGCGATAATAGGAAATGTATTCATTCATCGTTTGTGTGTGATGGACAATTCAATTGTGGATTTGGCGATTTCGCTGATGAAATGAATTGTGCAGAGGTGAGTAATAAATTGTTCGTTAATCAAGTACGTCACACTTTTGCACATATATATATATAATTCTTTCAGGTTACAGTCCCATGTTGGTATTAAAGAATAGATAATATTGAAAAATTTTATAAAATTTTAACAACAATTTGAAACGTTGTTTCCTCGGTTTGTTTGATGAAACGATGCTAATAATGCTTGACAGCAATGACTAGAGACGACAAATTCCCAAAATGCAATCTATAGTAAAGTATAGAGTCAAAGCCCGCTGCCTCGATCAGATGGTAAATATCGGACATGGGACAGTCTTTAAAACAAAGATGTGAAATAATCCCTTACAATGCATTTGATAGAACTTTAACTACAATGTTAAAAAATAATTCGTTTACTTCCAATTCTGTATAAACCCTATCTGTGCTAAATGATTGTACGTACTATCCATAACTATTGATAGCTTTTAAATCTTCAACGTTTAGACATGTTCTCAAATCACGGAATTTGAATGTTCAAATTCGGTATGTATATCTCGATATCAACTATGTGATGGGGTACCAGATTGCATAGATAATAGTGATGAGATAGATTGTGTCTGTACTTTGAATCATTTTACGTGTGCTGATAATAATTGCATATCAAGAACTCATGTTTGTAACGGAATCAATGAGTGTTCAGATGGTGAGTGGATATATAAGTTGGTATAGAACTGGGGCGAAGTTTATGTTGGAAGACTTCGTAATATATTTGTTGAACCATTTCTGGTTGAAGCTACATTATCGGTACTCCCGTGGTATGTGTACCAGGTTGGGGTTAGGCCATAATTTTATTCCGATTTTAGTTCGGGGACTGTCTGTGCTGGTCAAGTGAGTATAGCCCATAGGCTTCCATCCCTTTACACAACTTCGTGTAATGTAGGCGAACAAAATTAGTTACGTCTATACACATGCTTCTGGAGCTCCGCATTATCTGCTAGTCTCTATGTATAATGCTAAAATATTACAATCTAAAAAACAGGAGAAGATGAACACAACTGCTACAACAGCACAACTACTTTAGCTAAACCAACTTACACAGCCGCATATAAAATATCCACAACACAATTGTCTTGTCCAGATCGTAGTTTATTATGTCCTGAATTACGCACTTGTTTGCCTCATCATATGAAATGTGATGGCGTAGTAAATTGTCCAAGTGGATTAGACGAAATCGGTTGCAATTTAGAACGAACAACTGCTACATCGACTGAAGGTAATTATATCATCTACCTTGTACGTAATTTTTCCAATATTATATTTTTTATCTTGGGAGCTCTTCGAAATAGTATAAGTAAACATTTTTGTGGGTGGTGAGGGTGATTCACAAGAAAACATATCACGAGTTAACATGTAATTTTCGTTGATACCCCACCAAGTGCTTCTACATTTAATAATTCCAAGTATATAGTTGAAACAAAAAGAAATACATTTATATGTACATTGGTAAATATATTTGTATGTTTTATCAATAACCAACATTAGAAGTTTTTGAAACATACTCTGCTAGTGTCATAATTAATTTATAATTGTATCAATTTGTTTAATGGTTTTTGTCGAAGCATGTCCTGAGTTTTCTTGTAGCAACGATACATCAACATGCGTGCGATGGAAAGAAGTATGTGATCACGTGATACATTGCCCTGACCAATCAGATGAATCAATTTACTGCTGGGAAGGATGTCCAGAGGTGCGTGAATCTTGGAATACTATTAACGGAATCTTTTTGATTTTACATTACACTTAGGGTGAGAGGTGGTGGGTATGGGATTTAAATCTTAAATTTTAGCCTTCGATGTCATAATAGTTGAGTCTAACACTTCAACCACATTTTTCCAGAATATGTTTGACTGCGACAAAGGAGTTAGATGTCTACCTTTTCATCTTGTATGTGATCAACAAGTTCATTGTATCGACCTGTCAGATGAAAGTCAGCAAGCTTGTGAACAAGTCAATATCAATCTCTGTACAAGGTATGCTTCGGGGTATTCTAATAATGTAGCTTCGAGTTGGTGCGAGTTTTTTTTGGTGAATATGCACAATTATTTAATAATTCAAAAATGTTGATGTCACTCAGTGTTCCCTCTAATGTGTGCGCGTGTGCACGCGCACACAGCTTTCAGAGGCTGCGCACACGCATAGATTTACTGCGCACACGCATAGATTTACTGCGCACAGACGTATTTCGATGTAATGTAACAATTTTCTCGGTTGGCAGGTTGAGAAAGTTTGTTGTTGGCCCACTCATTACCCGGTTAGAATGCCAAAATCTCTTCATTGGTTTTTGCACAAATATTAGCCATTTCAAAAAAAGTGCGCACACATCAAAATTTCTGCGCACACATACTACAAGAAATTAGAGGGAACATTGATGTCACTGTTTTTTTTTTAACGAATTGATGACAATCTTGATTTTTGTTAATATTTCCATTGCTATTTTTTTAAAATGGGTCACACACTATCCTGATTTATATTGATCCTTTTGTTGTCGAAATCGTAATAATTAATTCTGGGTTGGAGTGCAACAAAATCATCATAGTACAAAATTAAGTCACAATATTTGATCTGATGCGAAATTTTATTAACTAATGACATAATGTTATATATATCACTCAATTTCACTCATTTTAAACATTCACAATTTTAGGCTTGCAGTTTTGTTAAACTTTTATCTAAAGGAAAATATGATAACTGGAACCCAATAACAAGAATTGTAAATTGCACTCAATAAATTTGCTTTTAGTGGATTTCAATGTGACGACGGCCCTTGTATTAGCGGAAATATGGTTTGCGATGGAGTATTTCATTGTTCTAATGGAGAAGATGAGCTAGGATGTCCAGTTTCATCAACACGAATTCCAATTAAAACTTTGACGACTCCGGTACTTAACCCGACCACTACATCAATGGAAAGTTATGTTTGCCCTGAGTTTACATGCCCAAATGGATTTTGTTTAGAATTTAATAGGGTGAGTTATATGAGTCGGTTTTTATAAAGTAAGAGTATAATTATGGTGTTACTTTGCACAACCATGGTTGACTTAGTGCTTTTTTATGAATATTATACAGAATTTTTTATGATATTTTTTTATCCTGTGACACTCTCCAACTGAAGATGAATAAGTGTTTTTTTTTTAGTTCTGTATCATGAACGTTATGTTTTTTGTTTGAATCGTTAAAGTTCAAACAATGTGATGACGTTATAACGCACCCTAGTTAGAGTAATTTTGGTTTGTGATCAATAGGTCTATGAGATCAAGGGCGATATACGGGATCGATAGAACTTGCATTTGTAGAATGATTTGTAGAATTATTGGCATTAGATCACGAACAATTGAAAATGAAAGATATTCACGCATTCAGTTTTTTTTTCATTTCACACATTTTTTTTGTTCATCTATTCGGTCATTTCCCGAGAGGATTCAGATGGAAGAAAAGTCCACGCAAGATATTTTCAAATTATTACAGCATCCATTAATCAGGTGCTAGAAGTATATTTGTATTATTATACTTAAATTAATGCTTCCATATAGGTATGCGACGGGGTAAATGACTGCTACAATACAAACACATCAGATACAACACAATATTCAGACGAATTTGGATGTCCTGCGTGGTCAGAATGGCAAGCATGGGGTAAGTAATTAATTGGTAACCTAAACGAATACATCGGCCCTCAAATAACTAGATAATAAGATGTGAGAAATAAACTCATTTTGCGTATGGTGGCAAGAAAAAACGGAATATTGTAAGTCACATGTTAAAAGAGGAGATTGTTATTATGCTTTAGCCGCAGCATTATTTTGTCGTAATAGACTTGATACTAGCAATTTTTATTTTCTAAGGCTTTTGTAGTAAAACTTGTGGATCTGGTTTACAAACAAGAAACAGAAATTGCGAAATTACAAATACTGAAGATCCGTTACGAAAAGACTGCAAAGGAAAAGTAAATGATACAAGACCTTGTTTTGTTCGACCATGCGAAGGTTTGATAAAAATAGATTTATATTTTGTAATCTGAAAAAATATATTAAATTGATATTATAAAGATAAAACTGAAATTTCATTCCATGGCATATAACAGGGGTGGGCACAATTTTTTAGTATAAGAGCCGCATGCTGCAAGTCAGAACTTTAAAAGAGCCGCAGAATTTGTGAATTTATTAATATTATCGAAATACCATGAACAGAAAAGAAATTCACACAAGAGTCTAATAACAATAAATAGATAAACAAGGCAGCTATACTCAAATATATGCACAGTTTGAGCTCATTTAATTTGTGCTTCTTATAGCTGATTTACGAGGGTAGTCTCGTAATAGGTTTTCATGATTCGTTTCATGGTGCCGTTTAACATTGCTGACTTTATTCTGACTTTGTAGCTTATGACAGATTAAGCACAAAGGTTCATTCTCCTGACTGGTAAATGCGTATTCTTCTTCCCATTCTGACTTGACAACTCTGTTGTCATGCTTCAATACCGCCGACGCATCAATAAACATTGACCATTGTGACGAAAGACTTGACTGACTCAAATTCAAAATTCAACGCTACAGCGATTTTCATACTAAAACATAATTTGTCCTGATCATTGACGAAAACTTCTTTACGACTTTTAATAAATTAAAAGAGTTTACATTAAAGTTTTTAGTAAAAAGTTAGTTAAAATTTGGATAATAATTTATGTTAGCGAGAAGAGCCGCACAAAAAGTCTAGCGAGGCGCATACGGCTCGCGAGCCGCGTTGTGCCCACCCCTGACATATAATGTCATTTTTTGGCGGCTTCCGTCAGTTCGTAGAAATATAATAGTTCTATTGACGAGAATTTACGTTTTTCTGAAAAAAAAAACCGAACATAGAGACGCAAGCTGAATTGTAACATTATAGAACGAGTGGGGCAACGAGATATCTACTGTAGACCGACAAGAGCTCCAAATACGTATACGTAATTAGGCCAACGTCCCAACAAAGAATTATTAGAATTCTTGTGAATCGCACGTGAACGTTATTGTATTTGTTTTAGATGATCAGTTGAGTTTGCTTCCATGGTCAACATGGTCTGAATGTAGCTCAACGTGCGGCGGAGGAGTCAGTGTGAGAATGAGAGAATGTAATAGCAATCATACAAACTGCAGTAACTATTCAATAACATCTTTCGAAAATTCTCAAGTAAGATCTTGCAATGAGGAAAAATGCTTTGGAGATAACTGTGGTGGTTGGTATCTTAACTATTCTTCCTTATTCTTATTCCAATTACTTATTTTATTGTAAACCAGTATCGCTGCACAGTTTTTCTTTTTGGGAAAACCTGATGTATATTTATTTAAGAAGATAAAATATTGTCCACAAAACGAATTAAATGAGATTACATTTTATGCAATCAGATAATTAAGTCTAAGAATTAAAATCAATTTGTTTTAAGAGTAAATTTGTGAATCAAGCAAGAGTTCCCCTCAGTTAAAGAGCAGGAATGGAATATCGATTTAAAATAATGAGATTTAATTAGATCATTATTCTGTTCTTAACGAATATGCGTAAAGCATTATCGGACAGTTCATATAAAACGTTGTTAAACTAACTTTTAATTGTTCTTTCCTACTTTTTAAGATACTTACATTTGAAATTCATTGTACAATTCGATACAATTTTCACCATAACACTGCTACTCATTTTCACACATCCAGGTTCTAAAATTTACGTCAACTGTGACGGAGACGAAGATGAAACTCCAAAACTTTGTGCAATAACATGCCAACAATTGAACATTCACAACATGACTGAACAGAATTGTTCACAAAATTTTGACACTGAAAGAAAATGCATTTCTGGTTGTTATTGTCCGGATGGATACGTATATTCCGACGACACGGCAACAGAGTGCGTTCCTGTGGCGGAATGCCCTTGCTATTACAATAATGAGGTATACTTTTTCATATTGCAGTTGCACAATTTACGATATATATGTGGCATATATTCCCCAGTGATTTTATGGAAGGAGTACAGCAATCTTTAAAACTTCAAAATCTCGATTCAAGTTTTCAAGATTGAACTAAGAATGATGTAATATAATCGCATTCATCTGATTTAGGTCTTCCAACCTGGCGAACAAGTGGAATATCCAACATCTTGTGAGATATGCACTTGTAAAGGCGGGGATTATATCGGTGACTGCGAATTGAACCCAGCATGCATTCCAACACCACAGACAACTATTTCTATCGCCAAAACTACTCCAGATGAATGTGGATGGTCAAAGTGGTCAGAATGGGGACCGTGCTTTGGACCATGTGGCGTTAATGGGGTACAATGGTCATTCAGATCTCCGACTACACCAGGAAGGTAAACTTTCCTGAAAATCACATTTCTCTTTTCCGAAATGCTATACGTCTCACTTATGGTAAATACTATTCTAACAAAATATATATGCTGAGCTTTGACAGTTTAAATAAAAGGATTCGCACATATCAACATGATTTATCACATCAGTCAATTTCTATGTCGATATCAGGTACGGATCAGAGCGTCGCCATTGTCCTGGAGAAACAAGAAAATCAAGAAGATGTCCTACAGAACCATGTGAAGTTTGTACGTTTCAAATAAATGGATCACATAAAACAAAAAATGTTGGTGAACAATGGAAAGAAGGGCTTTGCAAAATCTGTTCTTGTAATTATGAAAAGGAAGTAAAGTGCCAAAAGTGAGTTTTCCTAAAGTGAAATATTTGAACTAATTCCACTTTTTAATATTTCATTGACGATTGCTAATACAGAAAACACGTCACATTTTGAAGATTCGAGAATCGACCCTTTTTCAATGCTGTCCAATTAATCACTACATAAGTTACTGAACATTCATTTTGATCTACATTTATTTTCCACATTGATTATTATTTCTTAAATGATATTAGCGGGACAATCACAAAAAAGATGTCGCTGAAAATTTGATTCTAAGTTTATCTTTTGTATTGCTATTAAATGATAATATCGAGTTATTAAGTCCATAGATAGACCAGGCTGTCTTCAGCTAATTTTCAGTTGGATGCATCGAGTGACTATTGATGGTTCATCTTGACGGAACTTTTGTTTGTGAAGTTTGCTGAAATATGAATTTTTGTTCAGTTTTTGCAAATATTCTACTAACGGTTGTCCAGATAATGGTACACTAATCATGCCAGATGAAAATGATGGCGATTCTTGTTGTCATTGCGAATCAAGATTAGTTAGAGCCACTGAACTACCATCAACAACAGTGTCGTTTTCTCAAACTTCCAAGGTGAGATAAAAATATCGATTTCGATTTTTGAAATGTCAATCTTGCGTCTAAATTTAAATATGTCAAAGTTTTTATGTTGAAATATTTACTCTTAATACTACCTACTTAGTACTACATACTTTAATCCACAACCTATTCAGTTCGCCAAACAATGAAATCTATTTTTAGGTAATTGACGTTTCCTTCACTTCATCGTCTTATGAGACAACGCCATTATATGATACAAACACAGATACAACAATGAAGTGTGGACTCGATCAGTTTCAATGCATGGAATCAAAGACGTGTATTAGCAAGTACAGCATCATTTACAGCATCAATTAATGTTTAATATTTTCCTGTATAAATATATATGATAAATCACCCATCACACCTTTACGACTTTGTCCACTAGGTGGATGTTATGTTTTGAGAATAGAATGCTTTAGCAATTACTGTGACCTTAGATGTTCTCCCGATTTTTGACCCCGAGCAAAACTTTCAAATTTTATCTCGAAAGTTTTTGCTAGTTGGCGATTACAGAATTATTAACATGTTCATATTTAATCAATTGCCATTTAAACATAAACCAGTAGTTATAGTTAAACACTATAACAGTCCAATGTTTATAACCATGCCTGCAGATCTGTCAGAGTAAAAAAATTATTCAAACTGCAAAAATTTCAATTGTACGTCACCGTTGACATCTTGCTAGTTGGCCAGTGTTACGAAAGTAACATTTTCATCACTCATCTTTACATCGATTTCAGCTCAAATGTATGCGACGGAATTGTCCAATGCATTGATGGGTCAGACGAATCAGATTGTGAAACAACAATCATAGGTTCTTATGACACCAATTGCGAGTACCAACTGTGGACTGAATGGTCGATTTGCTCCAAATCATGTGATGTCGGGAAACAGACAAGACAAAGAGGAATAATAAGTAATAGAAATGCAGACAACTTAAAGTGTTTGGGACCATTCAAACAAACCAAGTAAATTATTTTTGATACAATAGTTTTAGGATGGTATATGATAGGAAAGTCGGCGGCGAAGATTTCATCAATCCTCTCGCACATAATTATCCCACACGGGACTCGAACCTGCGAGCCTACGCAGGAAAATCAGTGATGTGGTGGCGAGCAAGCGTATTACTATCGCTGAGCACGATGCGCCACTGTATACAATGTTCTTGAGTATACGGACGGGATTATATATTTGTCTGCGAACAGTATTTACAGGAAACATTATTTCAACTAGACTAGAAGAACAGATATCCAAGAACACGAGAACGCGCAATCATAAATCCCTATTGTGATTCAAATATATAAATAGTGTGTACCATGTGCAACTAATAGAGCACCCATACATTGATCCTAATCCTTGCCGACTTTGTCCAGGTAAATTGGCGAACACTTATCCGTAAAATTGGATGGGGATTTCGTCTATGAAAACATATCGTCCCATAGAGTAGAAATTTGGGGACAATGGCGATATAAGTAATAAATATTTTTTATTTTCTGAACAGCTTTGTTTGGGTCATCAGCAGCCGGTGCTAATGTTTAATTCCAGAAATATATCAATGTACCATATACACCTGAAATGTTTCCAGGGCGTATTTTCGTTGCGATTGAAACCGTTGTACAAATTATAATTATGATAGATCGACTTTAGAAAGGAACTTCATAGAATGATTTGACACTCTGAAGAGCAAACGAATGACTAATCTTTATGAAATAAATAGCTGATAAAAAATATATTGAAAAATACAAATCAGAGACTTACTTCGATGTTCGCATCCAAAGTTGAGATTTGTGACACGATACATCCGACCAACCGCCACTGAAATGAATAGAAAAAGATTTTTATCCGGGACCGACTTCTGGTTTAGTCGACCATTCTGAACTCCGCTTTAGACCCCTAAGGTCCTCTATGTAAAAGAATTTTCCAGCTGTATGTATGCTGGGCTAACATCAGGCGCATCGAGTTTGATACGACATTTAAATGCCGAAATCACTAAATATTCAATCTGCACTTTGCGCGTCCAGATGCAATTGATACATCTTTTTGCATCATCATTAATTTTACTCACTGAAAAACGTCAACAAACAAATTAGTACGATAAATATCAATACAATACTAATAATTATACAGTAATTATACAATCAACGTGTGTGCGATCTGACGTGATCTAAATAAATGTAACAGCTAGTCATTGTTGTTGACAGGGTTCTATCTAAAACACTCTTTCAGCGGTCGAAACCGATACATACAAGTTCTTAATTAGATTGAATTCTCTATGGGGGTGAATATCAATATATTAGGATGACAAGACCAATGTTTACTTGAAATGAGATAAATTAAATAACATTAAGAATAACACATATATATAAAAAATTACAGTCGAAATAAAACCTTAAACCTCGATTGGTGAAAATTTGAAACACCCTACTGCCAAGCGACTCGCAACAAAAAAGATCGGGCTGATACCCAAAATGCTCAGGGCTTGCCGCTTACAGTTCACAGACATACAAAATTTTAGCATTTGTCACTTAATAGAATCATGATCGCTACACGCGAACCGTCTAAAGTTTGAGTCTCGACTTGAGTCTTCAAAAAATCAGTTTCAAAACTGCCAGGAACCAGGAATAATCTTATTGTTGTCTGACTAACACGAAACCTTTTTCGCACCATAAAGTTGTGATTGACGTTCCGCCACCATGCACAATAGTTTTTTTTCTATCGACTGTCAAACTGTCTATGAATCGATTTATACAAAAAGACCATTCGGTTTCCGAGGCATTTTTCTCAAAGCCAGCCAGGCCTGCCAAACTTCACTTCTATAATCAGGTTCGGTTAAATCAAGTTTGCAAGTATACATGAGAACTCAAGGCTATTAAATATAAAGTCTATAGGCCAGAGGTCGTCAGCCCATGGCCCACGGGTCAGATCCGGCCATTCGTTCGGTTTTTACTTTTATAAAAATATGTGCGGCCCGCCAAAACTTGCAACCCTTACCTCTGGCCCGCAATAGACAAAATGTTGCCGATCCCTGCATGCAGTATAGGCCTTGCAGGTTGTGTGGACATCAAGAGGTTACCCACACTTGCCCTACTTTGCCTCACTTGTCCCACACCCATCCCACTTATACACTTCTCATACTGCCCCAAGTTAGGGTATTAATAAATTGTGGGGAAATTCATTGAATCATATGAATTCCTCCTCCCCCCAAGGTCAGATCATATGAAGATCCTCCACCATTACCCTCAATCGAGTATATTTGGAGGCGAGGATCTTCATATGATTCGATTCATTTTATGTTCTGGATTAGGATAGATAAGATACTTTGCCAGAAGAGCGACATTTATACAAGTGGACACCAAATTAAAACCAAAATAACCAAAATAAAATAAACACTTTTGTGACAGGTCTTGCTTCACTACTGCGTGCAAGATAAACGGTGATTGGAGTAATTGGCAAGAATGGACTGACTGCTCCAAAACATGCGGAGGTGGCGTCAGATTCAGAGTTAGAAGTTGCGATAATCCCAGTCCTGGAAACGGCGGGATAGACTGCGATGGAGAAAACATGGAATCTTTATTGTGCGGGAGAAAACCATGTTATCCAGGTAGTGAGACTTATATTTATGAAATCAACACCTTGTATACGTTTGAACAATTTTTATTTTGGTAAAAAGTCTCTTTGGTATTTTGATATTGAAATTATTGAGTTGTATTGGTCTACATTTTTCACATAAAATTGTCTCATTTAGTCATCTGTTGTGACTTAGCTGTCTTGTTCAAACTAGTAAGAAGACTATATGAAAATCAATTAAATTTTTAATCTCTTTTCTCAGGAATTTGCACTGGTGGTAAAGTATTTGTAAAGGAGCCTGCGTGTATGGAAATAAATACTTGTGAACAGACATGTTCTGATAGAAGCAATAATGTCAAGTGCTCAACTAATTGCACTGAAGGATGTCATTGTCCTAATAACCAATTCCTGCAAGATGGAGTTTGTGTGTCAGTTTCTCAGTGCAGGTAAGGTTTTATTATGAACACGGTGTAACTAGTTGACTAGTGAATGTTTTGAATATCTTTTGTATTCATACACATGTTCTTCAACAGATTCTCATTATAATAGTTATCATGAGTATACTTATTACCTTACTTTCGGATGTAGATGTTCATTCAATTTGTACTTGAATTTGCAATTTGGTATTTAGATGCTCTTACAATGGAATTGAATACAATCCATGGGATGAATTTCATGTGAATGGATGTCCTTGTAAATGTGAAAATGGTGTTGCAGTTTGTTCTAATCAAGATTGTGTTGTAGATTGTGGATGGTCGGATTGGTCGTTATGGACAAGCTGTGATAAGTGAGTTACCATGTTATATAAAATTATTACTTTGCAAGCAAATTTAATCTGCACATTAAGAAGTCATGGTAATCAGTTATTGGAGAGAAGAGAGTACTACCGTAATTAGTCTTGATACTATTTTAGCCAGCTCATCATCATTGATATTGTACCTATTTTTTCTTCTATTTGGGCAATCAGACCTATGGCCAATCTGTATCTGTTGGCTGAATCTGTTTTTATGAAATATCCATGGGAGATAAATAGAAATTTTACATTTGTAGCTTTTGAATTTTTTGTTATTGTAGAAACCCATCTAAATGCAATTGATTATAATACGTGCCCATGAACTGGATTAAGATGATTAGTTTAAATGTTTTTAATATGATAAAAATCCATGCCTAAACTTGTATTTATACTTATCAGGACCTGTGGTACATCAGGTAGAGTATATCGATTTCGTTCCCCCACTAGCCCACCACCTTCTGGTAAAGGTGCCAAACCATGCATTGGAAAAACAACTGAATTGAGAAGATGTTTTAGAACTGATCGAATGACAGCCATGAGACCTTGTAGTCCAGTATGGTCAGCTTGGAACTCATGGACCCATTGTTCAGCAATAGAATGTGAACTTGGATCCCAAACAAGAACTCGAGATTGCACAGGTATATTGTATATTGGAAATTTTTTTAGAATAGAATGCTGAACTAAATATCCTGTTATATACAAAACTTAGATATAATATGGGTTTTTCTAATTATCCCAAAGATCCTAGAAATTTTTTTTATATCCAATATTAAGAAGCAGCATTTGCATTAAATGCTAAATGTCTATATCATGTTTTTCAGACATACCTGTCTCAAGTTACATAAACACGCGTTTTTTTTTTTGTATTTGTTTGAAATCATTTTATGTTTTTCATTTACCAGTAACTAAATTTTTATTTAGTCGAAAATAAAAAGACATCAGTAGCTCATTGTGGAAGTTTGGGACAGGAGGAAAAAAGAGTTTGCACATCAAATGGAACTTCAAACTCATCTAAATGTGAATCCTCCAACAGAATGCCAATGCATCCTTGCCCTAAAGATGCAGTTTGGGAATGTCAACAATGTCCGAAAACTTGTGCAAATTTGGCTTCACAAGGAGACAAAACAGAATGTTTAGTAGATGGTGAATGTATTTGGTCATGCTTATGCCCTGATGGACTGTTTCTTCAGGTATATTGAAAGAAGCATAACTTTTTCCCAAAGTTTTTTCAGCGTAATCCATATCCTGATATTTTTTACTTGGTTAACTTGACCCAAATCTGCATAAAACTATGATAGCCTCATTGTTAAATTCAACAGCATCTTAAAAAGAACCCATTCAAAATTCATTTTATGCTATTAACTTTCCATGTTGACTTGTATAGTTCTAATTTTTTCTTGTTTCTATCATTACTGCTGAGAGTAATCATTAGAAGTTAACCAATTCGAAAGGTTGTTGTATTCTACAGCTGCAATAATTTATTTAAATATTCTGATAGTGCCAGTTTGCATTTAGTTATTAGAGTGTCTGCAATGTCCCGGTAACATGCATATATTGAAGGCTTGGCAGTGTAGTGCATTGTGTTAAGCATTAGGAATACTCTCGCCACCGCACCTGTGATTACTCTGCGTGGGTTCGCAGGTTTGAATCCCATGTGGGATGGTTATGTGCGAGAGGATTGCTCACTATGTAGGGTGGTTTACGTAACCATTGGTTGGTTACGGCGTCCTCCACCATCAAGTCCATGCGTTCGAAAACAAATAACTTGCTAACTAATTCCATATCCATACCGGACCAGTGGCTGTGCTTCGTCATATGATTAAGCTGTCTTTACAGCTTTCCTACCCCCGTGTTAAATATGTAAAACCTATCCCCTCCTGAATGTTAATATCTCCTTTATGTCTACAATTGATTTATTTAGTACTGATGTTTTTTATGTACAGATTTTTATGCCTTTTTATGCTCTTGGCTTGATCAGCTTCTTTTTTTTAATCACAAAATATCTCAGAACAATCAATGTGTTCCAAAAACATCCTGTGATTGTACGCTACCTGATTATTACCGAAACAACACCAACATAACGACAATAGAGAATGGATCATGGATTGTTATTGAATGTCATAATTGCTCTTGTGCAAATGGCAGACTGCATTGTGAACTAAGGAAAAATGATGGTGAATGTGAAAATATTGAGAAACAAGCTTATGAATGGACTCCATGGACGGAATGGTCCAAATGTTCGAAATCATGTATTACAAGGTACTGTGTAGCCTATATTCTTTCATCCTTCACTTTTTTCATTTGGTTCAAGTTTCTCAAGTATTAAGTTAAAAATTATACTCTATATCATCGCGAGGTTGAAATTTTAGTGTTTATTTGATATCAGACAAGCTACAATAAACTGATTCAGGAGCACAAATAACGTTTCATTTTCATTTTAGATCTGTGGTTGGACATTCATTTCAACCAGTATTTGGAGTTCGGACTCGTAAAAGACAATGCCTTGGATATGAAAGCTATTTTTACAAAGAATCAAATAATAGGCCTCAATGTAACGGATCTGCCATTCAGGCAGAAAAATGTGGGAAATCGATTTGCAGTTTGAAAATAAATTGGGGAGAATGGCAAAATTGGTCTCCTTGTGACAGGTACATTACATTAGGTATATATTAGAAACATAGTTTATAAACTTAAGTTTTCTGCTTGAAAGTGTAATATTGTTACAAATACTAGATGAAATAAGTGTATATTGGATGCAACTGAGAGCAAAATTTATCTTAACGCGTTTTTAATTACAATACATATTTAACTGTACTGATATATCATTAAGATACCCATCTGATTAAATTATTAACTTTATAGATCGTGTAATGGTGGGATGCAAACTCGTAAAAGGACTGTTTTGCAAAATAATCAAGAACAAGATATTGAATATTATTATGGACCTGCCACACAAGTGAGAGAAACATTATGATACTTTGACATTGTAGAAAATAACGGATAACAATCTTTGATCAAGTATACTTTATTGAATATATTCTACAAACGTATGTAGATATATCAAAAATGCTTAAAATGCCCTTGCGGTTGTGCCTCTTGTTTCTAGATTCAAGCTTGTGCATTGGTGCCCTGCAAAGAAAGTAAATGTCCAACTGGTTCATCGTATAAAGAAACATGCTCAGATACAGATCACAGTACATGTTCTGAAGGTTGTCTTATAGATTGTATACTTTTTACTCGCATGAATGTGAAAATCGAGTTTCGTGCTGAACATATCTGAATGTTACAATACATTGGATGGGCTGTAAGCCCCATTCTCAATTGCCACTTTTAACTCTTGTGCCTTGTTTTTGATTCAGCATCCACCTGTTTTGACTTAAGTTCTGAATTATACTCATTGAACCAATGTGGCAATATCAACAAAACAAATTGTGTTGGTGAGGTGGTAAAATCTTGCCAATGTAACACAGGATTGCTATGGCAGGATGGAATCTGTGTTCCCTTGCCCAAATGCAACTGCTTTTTTATGGGACAAATTAGACGGTAGCTATCTTTATTTTTATTATTTTAACATTCGAGAAATCATTTACTTCGTTCTTCTATACTGCAAAATACACAAGACTTATATGAATAAAGTGTAGATAAACAAAAGGCGAACATATCCTAAAATAGCCTACATGACGAAGCGGACATTTCAGATATGACAAAATATTTTGATTTATTGACTACTGGTTTCCGCATCAGTTTTATATTTATTTTTTCAAATAAATTGAGAGCATGAGAACTATTGTACACTTCTGTATTTTTCTGGAATGTGCAAAAAATTGTTAGAGACAATGTTAAAACCCAAGGTCATTACGATTGTTTTATTTTTCAGATTCAATCAATCTTTCCCTGTTGGCAACTGTTTATCTTGCATGTGTTCAAATGGTACCGTTGCTTGTGAAAGTCGTTGGGATGGGATCTGCAGTGGGGAGGAACAGTCATGCGATGACGCTACGCTGGTGACTGGACCATGGTCTCAGTGGACTGCTTGTTCACAAAGCTGTGACCTCGGTCAGAGGAGAAGAATCAGGTCTGCAAATTATGGGCTAATATACCTTCACTAATTGTTATTATTGTGAACAGATGCCATGTCACTCATTTCAAATTATTGCTAGTTTTGCTCTTAAATATAGAAATGATTGGAAACATCCAGGAACATTTATAATCATTTCATATTTGCTTTCTCAGATTTTGGTTATTTCTATTGTACAGAAGCACTTGTTGCTTGTTTTACATTTCAATCCTACAAACCTTTGGACCTTCCATGATTCAAATGTTTGAAGGAACAACTTCTTTTGAATAAATAATCATTTTTGTAATTAGGTCAAAACTGGCTCATCCGTCCCTCTTGGTTTTCTTCAAGAAAGGATGTAATGATGTCGAAGTGGACATAGAAGATTGTAAAATAGGCACTTGCAATATACACGAAGAAAATACAACAAGAACAAACCAAAGAAAATGGACAAAATGGGGTGGATGCAGTGTTTCTTGTGGGAATGGCGGATGGATGAATAGATATAGAAAATGCAGTACAATGTTAAATAATAGGTAATGGCTTTATCGATTCTTGCTCCTGGGATCCACAGAATTTGCAGTTTAAATCATGTGGGGGATGTATATGTGCGATAGGATTGCTGGACTCCTTACCATTGCAGTTTGTTTTACGTAACTGCTAGTCGGTTGTGACCTCTTCCACCATCGATTCAAGGCATCTGAAACAAATAACTGGTACGGCCATGATATATTATATGATTAAGCCTTAATAGCAGCTTTCCTCTCCTTGTGATAAATATGAAAAATCTATCCTACCCTAGAAGTTGCATTGGTAATGCAGAATGACAAATAAATTACTCTGGCTGAAACAGTTACACTTGCTGTAAAAAAACTAATTGTACTCATGTATACAATACATTAGATGTCAAGAGAAAGAGGTGGAAACAAAGAAATGTGACATCCCACTTCCACCATGTTCAAGAGATGGATCTTGGGGAGAATGGCAAACATGGAGTCAATGTTCAAGTACATGTATCAGTAATACATGCACTCCCTTCCGATCTAGAGTCAGGAAATGTGATGATCCATTACCAATGGGAGAGGGTATATTAATACACGAACTTGTAAAATTACCAGAGGAAGAATCCTAGGAGTAAATAAAAAGTCATTGAACAAAGTTGCATTTAAGCAAATATATGCATATATATCTTGAAAGCAGAAAGTTATCAATAAATACTAATCTATTTTATTCAAGAGTCTTGCTGCACACTTATACAAATATATTTCTGTAACGTTTCGTTTGACCGAGGTCAGACTTCTTCACACAGGTAATTTACAACTGTGACAAGAAACGCGATTGAATGCACATAAATATCAAATCATACATTTTTTTTCAATATCATAACATTTGTTTGTCAATATTTATGCTGGAATATTACTATATCCTATATTTTAGGTGAATATTGTGCTGGTAGTGCTACAGACATAGCAGAATGCGATCATCTTCTAACCTGTAATACTTCCCATGATCAAATACAACCTGATCAATGCTACAAATTCATAAGAGGTTCAAAATATAGCGCATGTGGACCCGTATGTCCGAGAACATGTTCTGACTTGCAGGTGAAGCATGTTGAATTATTACAATTTATTCGCACAAACCAAACATTTTATTTGTAAAACCTCTGTTGAAACTTTTCCAACTGTATTCTGTTATTTGTTCGATTGTTTTTCAGTTTTGTAAACAAACCTGTGTACCTGGATGTTATTGTCCACCTGGTTTTGTGATTAACAGCAACCAAACAGAATGTATTTCTAAGGATCAATGTCAATGTTATGATCTGGGTAGTGGGAAAAAGTACAAACCAGGCGAGGTAATGATTTTTTTGATTTATTTAAAATTAGATTATATATTTTTACATATTGACAAATACTTGAAAAGTGATATATGTGTATGTTATATGTATCCAAGATTATACCCGCTACATGGTAGTATACCCTATAGCAGGGGTTCTCAAACTTTTGGTGTTGAGGAGCCTTTGGAAAGGTTGACTATCATTCACGGAGCCCCAAAATAAACGTTAAAATTGTTACTTTCCGATTAATATTCCTGAGTAAGTTAAACGTACTTTACTCAATTGAAATACTAAACCCTTCCAATGGGGGTTAATACAAGTAATAAATAAATCTAAATTTCAAAGATAAATTGTATATATTAAGGCTGTAAATTAGGGGTCGAATCTTTTCTCCTCTTGACATTTTTGGAAGACTTAAAAGTTCTCTAATAACGTGAGCGATTGCATTTTGTTACAATCGCCGATTGTTTTCGACAGCATGGCGTGTTTTTAAACCTCAAACATCTTTACGCCGGTGTTTATTCTCCCTAAATCAAAAATTTCCCTCGGCATATACATGTATTGTTCCACAATGACGACGATAAATGCTTTTTCGTTCTCGTGGGGAATTATGGGTTCAATGTGAAAAACATGTTACCATAATATAATCATCGGCGACGAACTACTACAAAATAATAGTTAATAAAGAGGTAAATCCGCAATTCAAAGTTCTTGATTGAAAAGCGGCGTTCTAAAATATTAGAACTAAAACTTAAAATGGAAGATAACACTATAAGTTTTGTTTCAGCAGACTCACATCAGAATAAAAACGCTTTTATAGACATTGTAAATCACAAAATTTGGTGTTATGTTAGGTTTTCTTCGGTTATTCATCGTAGTGACTGCGAAATTGAAACACAGTCAATTAATTATGCGCACGATGTACCATTTTTCCATTCTAAAACTACCGACGGAGCCGCATGCACCAAAATAAATTTTGCCAAGACCTTGTGATTTTTCAAACGGCGATATCTTGCTTAAAAATAATCTCGAGTGCGAAAGAACAAATCAAATTTAACAAATCCCAAGATCGCAAAAATACGACTCCAATTTATCTATAGTTGGCAGTTTATCACGCAGTTTATGTTATTTTACAATAGTATTTTTTCATTTCAGTAATCCTAATAGTAGTCTCGAACGTGAGTAACGATGAGCACAATTAAATTATTGCGACAAGACACTTTAAATGGTCGCATCGGTCATGAATTTTACGCAACAGAAATCTCGTTATCCGTTTTTTTTTAATCGCAAAGAATGTTGCGCGGAAATTTCCGATTCCAATTGTGAATCTCCTCCCTCTTAAAAATCCTGGCTGCGCTCCTGCTTATAAATAATGTCATTTTAATTCCGCCACTTTGCCATATTTCGAGGCTATATTGTTGTCAGATTTTATCAAAGCTGTCATTGCTTCTTTGAACAGTTACAAAATTAGCCAAGTCAGTATTCTGAAAAGTAATCGAATAGTTCGCGGAGCCCCTGGTTTTCTCTCGCGGAGCCCTGGGGCTCCGTACGGAGCACTTTGAGAACCTATGCCCTATAGTGAATCAGCGATGGCATTTCAGCACAAGTTTGTTGTTTTATATATTGTTAACCGATAGCAATTTTTAATTCTGTTGTAAAATCAATTGAAATAGACCACAATGACCTAACAATTTTATCCACTACATGTATGGTATATAACAAAATATGTCTGGGTTATTTTGAGCAAAGAAATATAACATGTAAGTTTTTTGTACTTTATAACTTTCAATAAAACATGCTTACTTTAATTTACATTTTTTTTTCAATATTTTATCATTTTATTCAAGGAATTTGTAAAAGGTTCGATTTGCAAGCAAAAATGCAAATGTACTGGTGGAATCATCGAATGTGATGAAGAAACATTTGATTGCATAATAAGTGGATCATGGTGCCCATGGTCTCATTGGACATCCTGTACCAGGTATATATATATATACAGATATACTTCTATCTAGAAAAATGACAGTATTCTGTTCTATTATAATTTGTAAAAGTAGGTTTTAGGAGATGTTCAGAATTTGTATAAATTTGAATATTCTATAATTTACAAACAAAATTATGTTTTTAGATCTTGTGGGGCACAGAATCGAACACGGATGCGGTCGTGTGAATGCCCTGCTCCATCAAATAATGAAGATCCAAACTTGCGATGCAAGGTTTTGAAACAAACACCAAATCAAGAAAATTTCAAACTATCATTCGATGGAATCACAGAAATCGGGCATGAGAACTGTCACATCTACCCACACTGCCCAGATTCTGTCAAACGTTTAGGATGGACAGATTGGGGTGAATGGACTCCATGCACATGCCAATCTCTGTTTAGTTCTCGGAATAGGACCTGTGAGTCGAACTGTGAAGGACCATGGCTTCAATTTAAACCATGCAGGTACCTACCTGAGTATTTGTGTCAAGTAGATGTTCTGTGGATATTGATTGTACCTTAAAAGTACAATTCTGAAATCTCTTGCTAAGTTTTTAGGTCATGTTGTACCAACCCACTGATGGTAACCTGTGTTGTCTATTTATCTATAGTAAAATCCATCCACTTCATGAGTTTTATTTATTGTATCTTCCATTCGTTGCTATTCTGTCAATTAATATTTTTGTCATGTTATGACATTACCTGTATATAAAACAATTCCCAATATTAAAATGAACAGGAGAAAAATAATCTCGTTAAAGCAAATGATATGGCTTTATTTTAAAATAAATTTATTTTTCAGATTTGATCCGCTTGAATGTGGATTCCAATGTCTACCTGGACTCATATTATCTCCATGTGGTTCTGGTGATCAACCTGACATACAGAAGCAATGCCCTGATACCTGTCTTGGTTTAAATAAAAACATCGCAGAATGTAATATGGAAGAAGATGAAATGGACATATTTAATGGTATGCATGGTCCATGGTTACTTTACCGATAACGATGCCGATCATATACCAACGAAAAGCCGCAGATACTGATACCAATATGCGAGCATTTCAAATTGCCGATATTACAGATATTCAAACACTGATTTCCAATTAACATTAATGATGTACAATATTCTTGTGTGTGCATGATGGACGAATAAAATATTTGTCTGCGAACAGTATTTACAGTGAGCATTATTTAATTAAAAAAATGCATATCCCAGAATATGAGAATGTCCAACATCAAATTTGTATTTTTGATTCAAATATATGAATCTTGCGTTACTCAGATCAAAGAGATGAATGTATCAGAAATATTGGCTTATTTTTAGCCAATACTGACACAATTACTGATTCACAAAATGGCCAATATTGATGATACCAATACCTCCACATGACTAGATGTTTCAAGCTTTGAGTCTATTTCATCTGATGTTATTATAACTGTTGGGGTATAGTGTCTGGTATCTGGACATTAATAAATTGAACACTTTACAGATCGATCTAGAAAACGACGTTGGAATGATTGCGTTCCACAATGTGCTTGTCCACATGGCTTACTACTTGACCCAGCTAATACTACTGGAAGTTTATGTGTTTCACAAATGCACTGCCCATGCTATTCCAGAGATCTGAAAGGTGGGATTATTTTTTGTATACAATACAATTTACTAGGAAAATTATATTGACCTTTGATTGTTATTTTTAGAACAGTGCAAGATATAAACATTGTATTATTAAGATTATTGTATCATAAAGTTAGAGGTTTGCTTTTACATCAAATGAGGTGACTGCAATAGAACGAATAAATGAAACGTTTCATATTTCTTAGATAACTATAAAGTAGAAATGAGATTGACATATTTGTATAATAAAACCAAAACAACATGCACATTGCACACATAAGGTGTAAAGTCAGCCTGAATCAAAAAATTGTTGAGTTGAACAAATGAGACAAAGTTTTTTTTTAGTTCTAAACTTCTGAGCTGACCTGTAAATGCAGACTGATCTACAACTAGAGTTAAATAATCGGTACTCCCGTAGTATATGTTAGATTAGGTTTGGGCCATAATCTCATCCCGATTTTCCTTATTAAATTCTATTACGAATTCGGGGACTGTTCGTGTTAGTCAAGTGAATATACCCCCTACCCATAGGCTTTCCCTCCTTTACACAACTTGATGTAAAGTAGGTGAACAAAATTAGTTAACTCCTTATTGGTACACGTACTTCTGGAGTGCCGAATAACCATAGTGATGAGTGACTGTATATGATGGTAATGTGCGCTATTCATTCAAAAAGAACATTATTTACAGAGAACATTGTTTAAGAAAACAGAGTACTTTTTGAATTTCCCCAATAAGTTTTGTTTCTCATTGTTCAGAATACAAAAACACGTCTTCACAAAATTTCATTGAAAATTGGAAACAATACAGCATTGGAATTAATAGAACTGATTTGATTGATTGTAGGAATTGTTCCTGCAAAGAAAATGGTGATATACAATGCGATCAAAAAGGTAATAAGTGTAATATATTTTCACACATTAATTTATTTCATGTTATTTTTTATTTGCAATAAAAGTAAGAATGAGTGTAGGCTGTACACCAGGCCTGCACAACATACGACCCGTGGACCGCATGTGGCCCGCTAGATATGTATGTGTGGCCCGTGGTGAAAATCTCAGGATTCAGACTGAATCACGCTTAAAAAAATCAGTATAAGAAACTGAAACTTTCAGTATAAGAAACTGGAGTTTCTTTTTTGATTCAAATTCAGGAAATAATTTCTTCATTAATGAATGATGTAGAAATTCTTGCAAAAAAGATATTGTTATTTATTAAATGTATGTTTTACCAGCCTACAATGGCAATATCCAATAATGGTAAACATGATTAAATAAATCGGCATATATATCTATATTTGGGGGCGATTATATTATAAAATAATCTAAGACAACACTTTAAAACAAATAACCAGAGCGTAGCCGAATTGAAAAGAAAATAAAAAGTTTAATGAATATTCTTCATTCCGAATAAGCTTTTTCTGAATACCCGGTAATGAAAGTGTTTCCAGGATTAGTTTCAAAACATCCAAGAAAATCGCTACCACCGGAAAAACATCTCCTGGCACCGGCACTTAGTCTGAAGGAGTAGCAAGGACGCGAAAATGGAGAAAAAATTCCCCCTTCGAGGCAAATATATTGAAAGACGGTACCGGCTCCAGTGTAGGTTTTAGCGGGATGGCTAGGATAGCCAAAATTTAGGAAAAAAATTTGCGGCCCGCAGAGTTATGCTTGCGGCCCTCGTGGTATTTTGAGTTGTGCAGGCCTGCTGTGCACTGTCAATATGATTTCTACTTCACTGATAAATTTTACATCCAATAAGATTAATATTCTGTATTATGCAATTTGATAAGAAAGTTTAAGTTAAAAACAAGATGAACCATTGTAATTTGATTACTTCGTTTATTTTTATGAGATTTATAAACTTTATTCTGAACAAGGATGTAGACAAGCAACCACTGATATATTGTTTATATTGTTTGAGAAACAAGATGTGTTCAGTTTGTTGTTACTCAACAAACTTTATTACACCGTCTGTGAGATGGTCGACAAGGGATTTATATTCTATTCCCAACCTGATCTTTTAGTCTACGAACCTAACATACTAGGGAACAACATCAACCAGTCAAATATGATCCAGTGAATCGCTTTGCGATGAAGAATCATATGATTTACAATTTTTATATAATATATATAAGAATTTCACTCGATTCCAATGAACATGTAATATTCTACACATGCAAATTGTTTTTCCATTTTTTATTTATTGACCATGTAAACATCATCATACCGATATTTTGAACAATAGTTTTATCATGATAGTCTCTGAAACAAACTTCAACTATTTACATCACAGACTCTACTGTTGGCTAATATTTTCCTTCTTAGATCAAGAATGTATCAAGCACAAGCCTCTACCAATGCGACTGGAGTGGAGCGAGTGGTCAAAATGGAGTGATTGTTCAAGTAATTATATCATTTTGATTGTCTGAGGAAGGAAATGCAATGTTGTGCCTATTTCAATTTATGCCATGATTATTACAATATTATAAGCCAAGTTTTTTATTTATAATATTTTATGTTGTTCCTTTTGTGCTTTCATATCAACAATATGTCACCTAATTCTTGGCGTAGTTACTGGGGAATTGCAGGGTTGCCTTTAGTTTTGTAGATTTTCTGAAACAAGAGAAATGACATCTCTCTATCCAAAGATAGCAGTTAACCATCGACGTACATTGCTATTTTTATCTTTTCACACTTACTGGTTATTGTATTGTTCAAGTTAATGAGATGTTCACAATGATAATCAATTTTTATACCGTTAAATCAAGGCTTATCTGAGAAGAATAGTTATTTGTGCTTCTACCAATGATTTAGTTAAAACAAACTTTTCCATATGAAGTTATTAGAAATAGACTGATATGTGTGGAAAGTATCAGCTAGTAAATCATAAAATATTGAATAATATTTATAATATGCACCCCCTAATATTGGGAGTTAAATTTAGTCTTGAAACTGTGTATGTACGAAACATGTAGAATTACTGTACTACTAATGCTTACAATAATCCCTAATAGATTTGTGATAAGGTGCGTGACTAAGCATGACACCAGTATGCCAATATCTGTTTTTCGCATTTTTAAGTTTCCAATATGTTAACATTACAGTGGCTTGCAATGGGGGTACTCAATGGAGAGCAAGACTTTGTCTGGGTGCCAACCATGATGATCTGGATTTTAACAGCATGAACACTGTATGTGAAGGAGATATGGATCAGGTAAACCAATTAAAATAGTCTAAATAGGAACTGCTATAGTTTTATTTATCTCAAATTTAAAAAGTTTAAAATAGCTCTGTTTGGATGTAATGGAAAAGAAACACTTGTCTGGGCGTATGATTTGCTTTGAAACAATTCTCTTAAAAATAGCTGAATGGCACCATGTTTTTTTACACAGATTGTTTTTGATGTGTAGTTGTGTGTTCCAAAAACCTGTAAATATTCTGATAAATCATATTTGATTCCCTGCTAACAACCTTATTCCAAAAACTCTACCAAAAACACCGAATGTTTATATTGATCTGACCATCCTATACTGCAGTAAAAATAAAATCAACAATTGTGATTTGTGTTAATAGGAAAGGCCATGCAAAAGCAACATAAGTTGTACAATGCTACCATGGCAAGGTTGGAGTGAATGCAGTGTATCATGTGGGATGGGTACTCATACTAGAACCAGGATATGTAGAGATAATGCAAGGTGTTTGCCAGCTGAATTAAAACAAATGAAGCAATGCACAGGGTTTGTTTCTTTATTTTTAAGAGAAAAAAAACAGGCTTTTACATGGATTTTCTGACATTTTGATAGTGTTTAATATTGAACTTGTGAATTATATGTGTACAGTATTTTTAAACTTTTGATGCCTGGGCAGTTAGCACATTGGGCTAATCGTTGGGAGTGCGCTTCCCATCGCATTCGAACCCAGTTGGGGATAATTATGTGCGAGAGTTTTTCTAGACACCTCAATGCCATAACGTGATATATAAACACTATTTTGTTATGGCTTCCTCCACCATCAAGTCCATGAATCTGAAACAAATAACTGGTTAACTATTCACATAACCAAGATGGGCTCGTAACCGGACAAGAGGCCATGGTTTGCTATAGCAATAGGCTATCCTGTTGACTTCCCACTCTTGTGGATAAATATGAAAATCGTGTTATTTTCGAATTTTTTGCAATTTTACACATTACAAGTCATGGTTGTTGTGCGAGAGGTTATTTTCTTTATCTTTTATTTTATGAATGGTCAGTCAGCAAATGTCATTGTATTCCAGAAAACCCTGTCCACCTCATTGGTCAAGTTGGTCAAAGTGGAGCAATTGTAATGTAACATGTGGAACAGGAATTCAGACAAGAGAAAGATTGTGTACAAACATTACAACACAGTACGTAATATTATATCTTTGTTAAAACAGCAAAATATGCTGTTAAAGTGGAGGGAAAGTAATTGACAATAACATATTGCCACCATTAAATAAAAAATGCACAAAATTATCCCAATTTCACAAAATGAAAAGAAATTTGAATATAGTGTTGCCAGATGACAATTCAAATTATATTCCCATATTATAAAGTGCCATCTTATTTCTAGATTTTTAAAATCAACCTGTGCTGATCAGAATTCCGTTAACATTTTGCCAACTACCAATCACTCAGAAAGCATTGAGCTGGAATCAAAATCATGCAAGGCGAAACGACCATGTAACAAACCAGGACATCCGGGATATAAAAATCCTTCTGTTTTTCTTCCTGGCTTGCAATGGTCAGCATGGTCACCATGGTCTGGTTGCTCAGTATCTTGTGGAGGTGGTATATGTGTAAGGAAGAGAAAATGTGAAGTTGTAATGACAAATACAGGTGATGAAGATTCTTCAGATATATTGAATAAAGATGCATTTATTACTGCGGACATTGGATGTACAGGTTAGTATTGAAATCATTTTTTTAAATTTGTTTAAGGTACTTAAAGATTGCTTCCACACTAATCAAAGTTTACCCTATTACACTTTACGGTAATAATATCTCAAAATCTCAAAACAGCAGTGGATCTGCATTATGCACATAGCATTTTTAATCATTGCTCAGAACTAACGTGCTCTATCCACAATTAATTTGCTTCTCAATTGGGTGTTAATAGGCGAGCCATAACGTCTTTGTTTCAAGCTAATTCAAATGAATTAAATTTACATATATCGGGTTCACGAAATTGGTGGAATTCTTTATATATGCATGATATCTTGTAATTTGCTTCATTTATTTGATTAAGCTTTAGTATTTACTTTGGTTTAAAAATTCTTTTTTTCTTTCATTCACATCTGCATTGCTTCAATCTTCAGGAGAAACAAATCAGTCAATATCTTGTCATGAAGCACCCTGTCCTGTCAATGGTCGATGTCCTGAAGGAATGGAATGGAAGACATGCCAACAATTATGTGGTGATGTAACAAGACATCCCGACCAATCAAATGTTAAAAATGATGAACTTGTAAGAAGACCTGTGTCTTGTAGTGAACTATCAAGTGGTACGTGTGTACTGTATCTTGAGACTAAAGTGAATAAAATAATAACAAAAAGTTCCTTTTTTGCCAGTTATAAATTAGGAGTGCATTATTGGTGCAGTAATGAAAACGACCTTTGACCATGTTCAATGTCATGATTACAACTTGCCAAATTACTTACCAATAAATTTGGTATTATTTGTGAAAACGAAAATTTGAACTGAAGCGAATTAGGAACCGTAAGTAACAAATATATTATAATGACATGAAAACGACTAAAATGAAGCTTCTGTTGAATATGAGAAGACGAATTTATTGTAAGACAATTGCATGGAGTTTAACTATATCTGATAGTAACTGGAAGTTCATTCATCTGCAACAATTACTGGTTGACAATTTCCATATGCCACATTCACTGGTAACTGGACGAAAGGCCAGGGTTTGCCATATCACAGGCCGCCTTATCACTTCCCTTTCCCCTGGAATAAATATGAAAAATACTATTCTAAGATTGTTAATAATGGATAAAATAATCCTTTAATAATATATTCCTGGCTTCACTTTGCTCAATACATTACCTATTGTTAATAATAAGTCATAATTTTGTGGAAAACATAGTCTTGATACCTCCTATGGATGATAAAATAACTATTACAGGCTCTGGAGAATTCTGCTCTGACCTTAAATCTTGCACGAATGCTTGTGTATGTGAAAACGGTGGATATTTACAGCGAGATGGAAGATGTGTTCCATCTGATGAGTGTGAATGTATGGATGACAAGGGGAGATTGTGGCCACCTTTGATGCAGTGGGAAGAAACTGGTTTAGATGGGTGCAAGTGAGTTTCAAAATTGTCAAATATTAATGTGTCTGTCTTGTTACCAAAGGAAATTTGTTGTCAATTTTTGTTCTAGATCGAACTGCAGTTGTACACATGGCCGTGTGCTCTGTCACAAGACTATTGATGAAAACGGGAAATGTGTGAGAGATGATCCAGAATTTAATTCCTGTTACTGGACGCTATGGACACCGTGGACAGCTTGCAATACTACATGCAAAGGTAAGTAAAAATAGTGCATGCACTTTTTCGGACCTCCTGAAGTATGCGCACCAAGATGGTGCACAATCTGAACTGAAGGTTGTGTACCAGGTTAGGGTTCGGGTTATGCGACATCTTGGTGCGCATACTTCATTTTTTCTCTTACAGTCAACTGCAGTGAGTTTGAATATGAATATATATCTGATATATATCTGATATCATGATCCACCATTTGTTTGCTTTGCACATCAATTAATTACATGTAATTATTGCTTAAATGAATAACCTGACTGTAACAAGTTTGTGCCCGGCTCACTATCAAAATGTTGATCGTTTTTTAAACTAGTGTGTGTGTGCCTCGCTTTTCTATGGAATGAAACGCCCGATAAGCCTATTTACAAATGTTTTTTATGCAAACGAGCACGTAGCATATAACATACCCGATATGGACTGGTAACCGGACAAGAGGCGGTGGTTCGCCATATGATTTCGCCGTATTATTATCCTTCCTCTCCCCTGGGATGAATATGTAAATCCTAACCTATCTTACTTTTTAGATGAGTTTACATCCTCAGTACACTTTCGTTTTCGATCTCATTTAAACATGAAAAACACTGATGATGAGACTTTATGTCAAGGCGGTACAGATATGCAAACAAAACCTTGTGGGAGTCTGCCACCATGTCATTGCAAAAACGGTATAAAAGTGGGAGAGGTAAGAGTTTCTAATAAAAAGTAATAAATTTAAACACCCGTGCGTCTTTGCGTCATCATACATTATTATAGCGTTTGATATATATATATCATAAAAATAAGAAATTATCTTACCTATCTTATCACATAAAAACATATTTTTTCATAGATATGGAAGGAAAGTGAATGTTTATCATGTCAATGTTCAAATGAAGGAGAAATTTCATGTCAAGATATATGCTGGAGCGATTGGTCATCTTGGAGTTCGTGCTCATCCACGTGTGGCACTAGTAAGTTTGTTGTCTGTCTACCTGGCTTCTTATTGACCACAGTGCAATATGTTTCATTGAGTGTTGTTTTTTGATATTTTTCAGATGGCATTGAAAAGAGATTACGTACCTGCATAAAGACAGGATTTTGTGAAGGTGAAGGGAATTTTACAGAGGAAGTTCGAAAATGTCAGATTAGTTATGGACCCTGCACAAGAAGTAAGTCTGGATTAGGATCATTCTTCATTCAAAACTTCGAATAAAAAAGTAATTAAGTCTTGTGGCATGCATATACTCGTTAGCACAAATAGATGGCAATCGCAGCACTTTACTGTAGATAAATCTAGCTAGTCTGATACACTCAGGAAACAAATTATATATAACAATTTCATACAAAATGAATCCTAAACTGTTTGACTTTCCAAATTGCTATTATTAAAGAGCCAAATGCGACTTGTTTTGAGAAACATGTTGTTGCGTTATGGATGGAAGTTTCTGATTAGACTTTAAAATATATAAATTGTGATGAAGATTCGACCATTTGTGAAAATGCTAGTTTATTTATTTATGTTGATTTAATCGAACGTCGTGATTTTGTAGAGTCTGGTTGTAATATCGAAAATTGCCCAGAGATTGATTGCCGAAATGGCCAAGTAGAAATTGAGGTAGATGGCGAATGTTGTCCACGGTGTGTCAACAAAACAGGTATGGATCGAATGAATTCAAAATTTTATTTGTAGCAATGCCATATGCTACTGAACAAGTCTCCGTGAAATATATGTATATATGTATGTTTCATTCAAATGCAAAAGTTTATTCATTTTATTTTGATCACTTCAGAAATCAATGGCAGTGAAGACATAGGATGTATGTTGAAAACAGAAACACGAAACATAACCATAAATGGTTGTACTGCGGCTGATGTCAATCTCAGATATTGTTCTGGTACATGTAGATCAGCCGTTCATATTGTTGCCATGGTCAGTATACAATATTTATGTTCTTGAACTTATTCTTTTGGTGGATTTTTGAGGGCGGTACCCCGCTTGAATTTTACTATTCCGGTTCGATTCTACATTGTGAACGTATGCTTAAAAAAAGACAAAAACGTATGTTTATTTTTTGGCCTAACGTTTACTGCAGATGATCCTGTATGCGTTTTATAAATACTCGTGATCGATGCCTCTGGTTCATTTCTCCTTTGTCTAACAGTTGTTTACATAATTTTAATGACTATTTTCGAGTTACTAGAATTGACCGCAGTTTCTATGCCACAGGATCCATTTATTCATTCAAGATGCGAATGCTGCTCTCATGTTATTGACAAAAATGAACCATTCATAGCCTTGACCTTGTACTGTGACTCTGCCGAAAACACGAGAATCAACTTGCCGAATATATCTGATTGCAAATGTTCAACATGTTCAGGTAACTTCCCTAATTTTATACCTGATAAATTAAATATTGCATTATTGAACAAGAATTTTTCCTAGTATAGATCATTTTGCAAAATAGTTGTTGTTCTTGCCGCAAAAATATCGCTTTTCTTTGCAACTAACTAATGGATCAATCGATTTCAAATTCCTGGTACATTAAGATTTCTTACGTTGATAGAAAGCCACTTTTCAACGTTCCAATATAGATGTCTTTTCAAATTTCTCTGCTTTTTGTAATTCCTGGAACAATGCGGTAGCCATTTGTGCCCTTATATTGGGTTTTATTTTTTACGCAAGTTCATCCAAGTATCAAGTCTTTACTGAATTCAGTTTGATATTAGATTCAGATTCAAATATTTATTTTTGTCATGCAAAAAACATTGTACATTTGAACAAACAATAAATCTCAGATAAATTCATTGGAAAAAGCGTACAATATTTAATCTTGAAATCCAGATTTTCAACATAATTTCAATTTTTCAGGCACTGGACTGTTACGCGCGGAACCATAACATTACTTTACGAAGAATGGATTTGCCAAAATCCTAATATTCTTAATCTGTTGTGCGGTCCGCACTGTTATTGGAACGATTCATTTTCGTGTATAAGTGATGTACTCTGTTGTATATGGTGCCGTAATGGCTGGCATATGATTAATTCAGATATTGAATGAAATTTTTGATGAAATTATGTACAATATGTGGAATATATCATATATTTGTTCTCGTGCACTTGTTTGTCCTTTTTATTTACTGCAATAAATCATAACGCAACATATTATTAGTTGCAAATAGTTGTGTTGCGTTGTTATTAGTAGCTCGAATAACTAGCTGAAGAATATAACCAGACCAGTTGGGTAACGACTTTTGGGTGTATGACAGATAATTTGACACGTTTAGTGGACATAACGATCGTTTTGTTGTTATGTTGTTCTTTGACACGTTTTGAAGAAATCGCTTTTCTCTTCGATTACTGGGCTAATTTTACTCCAGAAGGCTATTACTCTTATTTTTTGCTATGACGTCATCAAAATTTATGTGGCGCTACGTGTCCATATATTAGAGCATGGCTCTCTTGTAATTATATTCAAATTCTATAAACTAACTGCTTGATAACCTCATCCTTATATATATATCTTCACTGCTCGTATGACGCATTCGGCAAGCCGACGACCGATTAGATCAGGGGTCACCAAACTACGGCCCGCGGGCCAGATCCGGCCCGTGGCGTCCTTTCATCTGCCCTGCAATAACACGAAAAAATGGCGAATTTTTTTCCAAGGAATGATCTCCGAGCATCGACTTCCTTGTTTCTTTCGTTACATTGGCCAATCAGCAAGATGCAAAAAGTGACGTAACAATAGACCGCAATTGTCACTCGGGCAGGTTTTTAGTCCAGGTTTCAAACAATACCACGTTTTCGCGATATTGAATGCTATTCGTTAGTTTTTGGTCGTGATTCCGAAATTGAATCGAATAAGTCAATTATCATTTTTTCTTCTTAGAAGTTGCAGTTTAATTTCAGTAAATAAAAACTGTCTGGAAATAGCTGTGATAAAATAGGCTAAAATTCTCGAGCGGTAGGCCTACGTAACGTTTTCTGCGAAGAATGCACTCGTACACTCGTGGTGCGTGCTTTCGGCGAAACTGTTGCTATGTACGTTTTTCGTGCTAAAATGAACGTCGAACGTTAACTTTTGTACTGCTTACATGCTGATAATCATGACAAAAATTGTTTTGCCAACAGCTAACCTCAGGATAGTTGTCGGGAAATCTTATATAATTATTTGTTATGCTATGATGTTCTCGATCTATATTCTTCGATATAGAATTTAATATTCAATATCGAAGAAAATAGAATTTAATATTCGTCAGAAATGTAGAATTTATATTGTTGAATAAATTGAATAGATTTCCCGACATTTGGGAATTTAATGTATTGCATTGACAAAAATATTTGTCCGGCCCGTCTCAACACAGTTTGAGTCATACCTGGCCCGCGAGCAAAAAAGTTTGGTGACCCCTGGATTAGATGATCGAATGGTGTTAGGCGTAGTAGCATGTTAACTTAATATTATCGTACATCGACTAAATATTTCATCAAATTACCCAGAAAAGTGAGAAAGCAGACCACAGAATCAGACGCCCAACCCAATGCTGTCAATACCTTACGTTTATCCGTGTTTGTTATATTATTTTGTGTCACTGACTGCTGTAGGTTGAAGTGATAGAGTTTTTCAAAGTTATACAAACAAATTTATTCGATCACATTTCAATTTTCGCAAGGTGGTTTCATCGCAGCAGGGTCGTTCGCGTAATGGCTTATCAGCTGCGTCTTACTGCGCCAACCACTGAACCACAGCTTGAGAAGGTGTGCATGAGCCTCTATCGATATTTGTGGCGTTTTGAGAGATTTATTGCAAATAAGAAGCGCTTGGCAAGTTTTTTCATTCATTTTTCTTCAACCTATTTAATACAAAAAACATAGCACAGCCATTTTGAACAAAACAGGCAAAAAAACTTGATTTGAAACAATTGTTTTAAAACATTTCTTTTTGAACAAATCCCTAGTTGCGGACATTCTTGGACATCGGAATAGTGAAGCTGGCCGCGCCATCATATCTCTCTCTGTATATACTCCAATAGACTTTCCAGTTAACTTGTATAATTTGCTTGCTTGCTTTATTTATGTATTAAAGGCAAACACTACATTTGATGACGAGGATAAACAAAGCGTTTACATGTACAGTTCTATTCTACATTAAATTATTGTTTTACTCTTTATCAACTGCGCAACAACCAACGAACTAGAATGAAATACAAGAAAAACGGCATATTACCGCACTTGGGTATTCAACGTGAATTCAAGTTGTGGATTTTGTTCAAGTACTACGTCACCATCACCAACAGCCGATTCCTTATCGCATTGGAATCTTGCTGAAGTAGTTTTTGAAAATTCATATTCAGAAAATAAGTCGGCTTTACAAAACAATAAATGTTGAAAACTGATCTTTGATCTTTCTTTGATGAAGGACAAAATTACGAATCAAAGTTGTTCAACTATTTTGTTCTGATTCGCAGCGAATATTCATTCCAGCGCGGTTATTATATTAAAATCCATGCAACCTCAGGCTCCAAGGCCCAAAACAACAATATCTCTCACTTTGCATGTGGAGTTGGTACTAAAAAAGCCATTACTGTTGTTTTATTTCTTCTACTTCGCTTTGTATGGGTAGCTCCTGATATGTGAAATTTGTTTGTTTGTATGTTTGGGAAAGCAGAAACTTTTGACCATGGTGCTAGAAGTTGCAATCCTGTGTGTGAAATATTAGTCTTATGTTGGAAGTGCGAATTTCATATTTTGCCCAGCCATGCCCCATCACCACTCCACGAATTCTTGGTACATGTCAAGCTTAAAAAAACAAAAACAGATCACATATTCGTAATAGTTTCTCACACATTGATTCTAAATTTGTGGTATCGGCATGCTATTTTGAGAACGAAAACGTTGAGGCATAGGCTATTGACCAAAATCTGGATGGTCAATAATGCATTCAACCCCAATTCTACGCTGTGTAGCGTGTGGTTTCCACACTCGAATTCAATAACAGTGACAGGCCTGATAGGTATTTGATTATATATATTTAAACAATGTATATACATATATTGTAATAGACACTCGGATTTAAATGGGAACTGCGGATCTCCGGTCGAAAATCATTGTTATATTCTGTATCTGATGCAAACAGAAGTCAGGGAATATTAATTTTAAGGTTTTAAGGATAAGATTTACATATTTATCCCAGAGGATAGGAAAGCCGTTAAGACGGCTTAACTATATGGCGAATCACGGCCTCTCGTCCGGTTACCATTCCATGTCGGGTATGGGATTAATTAGTTACTTGTTTTCGGAAGCATGGACTTGATGGTGGAGGAAGCCGTAACCGACCAGCGGTTACGTGAACCACCCTACGACGGCGAGGAGTCCAGCAATCCCCTTCGAATTCCGCATGGAGTCGAACCTGCGAAACCACGTAGGGTAATTAGAGGTGCGGTGGTTCGAATATTGACAATTTTGTAAAAATTGAAAATTTTGATAAAGTAATTGAATTTTTCCTGATGTGGCCCAATTAGATGGACCGTGGCGCCGACCCATGTGCCGTAGAGGAGTCACCACTTCTGTAGCACACCAAAGAGCTAAGCATACCTTTACCTACTGACTTATAAATATGGCCTCTCGTGCAAGATGGAGATAGGTCACAAAAAGAAAAAAGAACCGGCGCGCTTGTGATATTGATCACGTGATTAGCCAGACAAGCCTGTCTGCCATTGTGTGAGGGCGTACGAGATTTTTGTATCGGGGCTTATTATTTCTTTTTTGCGTCGTGTAGATTATACTTTTTTGTTTCCACCTTGAGGTACATTAAGGTAGAATAGCCTAAGAAACTGGTTTTGATTTTTAAAGGTGTTTGACAAGTCATAACGATAGTTTTTAAAGCGTGGAGTGCGTCCTGCTAAAATATCAGGTCTGGTTGTACAGTCTTCGACAAACGCCTATTTTATACTAAAACCATCAATTCTGTGCAGCGTAAAGTGATAAGAGAATACGATTGAACATGGCAGATACGGTATGTACTTGAAATTTCATTCACCTAGTTAATTATATGGCGGATGTATTTGGATAAAATAAACAAAACTGATTCTTCGATTTTTGCATTCAAAATGGCGGCCATACAATTTTCAATTATGTTGTGTGTTGTTATTATGTCAGTATGTCGCTTCATTATAACACATTGGTAGTTTTAATTCTGAAAAATATTCATAATTTTAGAATGGTGATAATGAGTATGAAGAGCCCGAGCAGCAAAGAAAGCTGTTCATTGGAGGATTGAATTTTGACACAACAGATGACAGTTTAAGAGAATATTTTACACAGTTTGGTGAAATAACTGGTGAGCTGCTGCTATTCGTCTACCGTGATCATTAACTTGCATGGCTTACAGGATATTCATGTTATATGAATATGGATGTTGAAATGAATGTATTTTGATAACTCAAAGCAACACTTGTCACCTACAAACCCACCTTTTTCACAAAATCTGGACGAAATTTCCCCCAATATCATTGAAGTTATAGCATAAATTACTGACAAATGACAGCGATAAAAAAACGACACAAATAATCTGAATTGCAAACTGAGAACCTATATGCTGATATGTCACTGTGTTAGACTACTTTAAAAAAAAGTTGACTGCAATGAGCTGTGCAGTTGAAGTAGACTAATATAACTTTTGAACATCTTCGGAGTTTCGAGCCTTAAGCACAGAATTTTTATCACTATCGGACTATTCTGATATCTTTTGATATCTGATTTTGCAGTCACTATAATTCAAAATGGAGTGATGATTTTTTTTTCATGAGACCTGCCTATGGCATTTATAGTCTTGATGCAGTCTATATTATCAAAGCTCTGAAATGTTATTCCGCAAATCTTGTTTAATCGCAAATACAGACTCTGAATGGGCATATAATTTTAACCCTTCGATATAGTAAGTTTTTCCGTGCCATCTTCTTGTAGTTTATTGCAAAAGTTTGAAGTAACGGTATCAATTTTCTTTTCAAGAACTTGACGGTGTGCCCATTTTGTTTTGTAACTAGCTGGTAATAATAATCTCAAATTAGATATAACATATTTTGTAAGAAAATTTCTCTGAAAAGGCTCAACTTGAAGTACTTTTAGGTTTGCTATATGTACTCATGTAGTATGCGAACCAATATGGCGGACACCGGAACACTGTAAGTGTACCAGGTTAGGGTTAGGCCATAATTTCATGTACAAATACCATTCCAGTCACTTGGCTAGTCCCTGAACTCGTAATACAACTAAAATAAGGAAAATTTGAATAAAATTATGGCCCAACCGAACCTGGTACACATACTAAGTTCAGTGTCCACCATCTCGGTTCGCATACTACACCTTGCTATGTTGGTTTACTTGTGGCGACCAAAAACTTTATCTAAGATTGTATAATGTATATATGTGACCTAACTTACCTACTTCTTTTTCCCCAGATTGCATTGTAATGAAAGATGCCATTTCTAAAAAATCTAGAGGATTTGGATTCGTCACGTTCAAAAAAATTTGTATGGTTTGTATCATCTTTTTTGCATAAATTTATTCTAATAATCCATGAATTTTTTTATTTATGTTACTTTAATCTTGTGTTTTTAACCGTTCAGGTTGATCGTGCGATGGATAAAAGACCTCACAAACTGGATGGAAGAACAGTTACGCCTAAAAGAGCAGTTTCTAAAGAAGTAAAAAATAATTGTATATATTAATAGTAAAAATGTACATGAATACATTATTTTTTTTATACATTTGACTTACATACGTACATTTTGATCAAAATTGTTTTCTTCATCTTCTGATTGAAGTTGTGTTATCTTTTTTAGGATTCTGAAAAACCAGGTGCTCATGCTACAGTCAAAAAAATATTTGTTGGTGGAATAAAAGACGACACAAACGAAGAAGATTTGAAGGATTATTTTCTCAAATTTGGTCCTGTCGAACTTGTTGAGGTATTTTTCATTAGACCTATTTATGAGATAGGCACCTAAAATGTGTGATGTGTGAATATATATACAATTCTTCTTTCAAAAGGTAATGATGGATAGAGTCAGCGGAAATAAGAGGGGTTTTGCATTCGTCACATTTGCAGATCATGACGCTGTTGATAAGATTGTTGGTAAGTTTAATTATGGTAATTAATGTGCCAAATATCTTCGCACCATTTGGCAGTAAACTTGATCAATACTTTCCTGCACGCCATTTCACTAGGAAGAAGAATGAAAATGATCACAAAAATATACATTACTATTTTGGATTTGAGAATAACCGTGTCTTATTGATAGGCTTGCACGTAATTGACAAAAATCAATTCCGTAATTACGGCAAAATCAATTACGAAATAACCCCGTAATTGCGATATTTTTTCACGCATTTAAATCTATCATAACAACCAATTGAATCCACTTCTTTTCCGAATGGGACATTGAAGTTGGGTTTTCATATTCTTGGCAGTACTACACGCCGGCGGCAGATGTTAAAGACAAGATCAAGGAGTGAATTCAAATTAATTTTATTCTGATTTTTATCTTTTGTGTTAGCTTTGGTTTTCCTTTATCACCTTCGCAAATTAACCGTCCCATTTTTATGCGATCAATTTTATCATTACCGACACTGGTATACGGATATTTATGGAAACGATAGTTTTTTAAAATCGACTTTCGTACTGAATAAAACTTACGAGTTTCTAATTTATTAACCAACGACGAGAGTATTCTCCCGTTTGATTATACTTGCGATTTCCTCGCGACGAAGACTTGTTTTTGCAGCGTTTTCTGCATTATCCGACATTACTGCCTTGTTAGAATTTTATAATAATAATTATTGATGTCGACTTATTGACGATATTCCGATTACCATGCTTCATTTTACATTTAATCATTTCGCGGACTGAATGTTTATAACGTTATTTGCGATAAATTTAGATCAAATATTATTTATTTGCGTATAATTTAAATACCGAACTTATATGATATGCATTCTCCGAAAATACTATGTTATATCGCAAAACAATGCATTTTGTGACATTTATTTCACACTCACGACATTTATTTGCTAACTCAAGCCGGCGTTCCTATCGGCCAAGATTGACACAAGTTTGGTCGAGTGCCGGTGGTATTCACGTCGACGATAAATCAAAATAAGTTGCCGCATTTGGTAAGACAGTTAATCATATATGGCCGAAATATTGCGAGGAATTGTGAAAAACATCATGAGCAAGGCCAAGTCCGGACTGATATCTAACGATAAAACCGTTAACAGAACATCAAGATTTTGTAATAGAAAATGGATCTCGCACAGAATAAACACACTGGCTCATATTTGATTATATATGATAGCAGTTAAATTTTTAGCAGTCCGCGAGGAATCCTTCGTTTTGTTGTTTCTCTGCCATCTCAATCGCTTTACCGATGCCGAAAAGACGAAGTTGCGTTGGTTCATTACGTAATCTCTCTTTTGTCGTCATATTGCTATTTGATAAGCGCGACATCAATTATCACGGCGTTGTATTGGCGCGAGTGATCAATCGCTCTTTTCGCTATATTTGGTTCCAGTTCGTCGCGAAAGCTCTTCGTTAAATTTCACAAGATCGTCGTGTTGAAAGGTTATGGATATTTTTCTGTTTATACCCCAAGTCTGAAATAAAACAGCCAAAAACAGTATGATATTCCATGTTCATATATCAAGTGTTGATATTAAAAATAAAGAATGGTTAAGCATTGCTAATCCACACTTGGTGGGGAATTCCCACTATTTAAACGTGTGACTATAAAATAGAAACGGAACATATATACCATAAGTAACGGAAAACTGAAACAAGTAAATAATAAATAAAAGTAAAATGGATACAAATGTTTGATAGACCTTATTTGATAGATTGATCTCCTGCGTTCATTAGTCATTTCACCCGAAGAAGTTGAAACCGGGCGTGTTAGCGTCCATCGGTCTTAACACAATTCTTCCCCCTATCTACAGTTATTATGTACATTGGCCATGGCCATGCTAGATAAGATGCGAGAGAAGTTGAAACCAGGTGTGTCGGCATCAATCGGTCTCAACGCAATTCTATCCCTTATCTACGGTTAAGTTGCGGGAGAAGTTAAAACCAGGTGTGTTGGCGTCAAACGGCCCTACTCAGTTCTTCCCCCTAACTACGTTAATAATTTACATTGGCCATGCCAGATAAGTTGATAATAGGTTAGTAAATGGCAACGCGTCATGCCTTCCTTCACCTACGTAACGAGAGAGAAACGAGAGAAAAACGGCTGCGAATACCGGAACTCTAACTTCTTCTACTTGTTGAGCTTTCATTTTTCGCATTCGACGAAATTGACTGCTTTGAAGAAAGCTCGTTTCAATGCAATAATTACGACTTTACGTAATTCGTAACTTCCCTTCCGTAACTCCAAATAATTACGTAATTCCGTAAATCCGTAAATTACGTGCAAGCCTACTTATTGATGTACTACTCAAATGTTTAATAAATTGAAATTTTTAAGTTTCAAATGGAAAAGATGAATTAATATAAAATATAAAGATTTCGAACACTGTTTTATTTTACATGGTTTATTCATAGGTAAAAAATTTCACAAAATTAACAACCACAACTGTGAAGTGAGAAAAGCATTACCAAAAGCAGAATTAGACAAGTCGAAAGCAAAGCAAGAGAGAAGCAGAGGTTTGTCTTTTCAATAATAACTTTTAGTCATGTTATGTGAATGTTATTAAGACTTACTAATGCTATGATTTAACAGAAGGACGTGATCGCTATCCCCCACCGCCTGAATATCGGGACAGGGAATACTATGACAGATATGGACCACCTAGTAAGTTGTTCTACTGAAATAAGTTGTTAAAATTGTGATGTGTCGCAATTAAATTAACCAGACAAAGTCAGCATACATACGGTTTGCATGTTGGGTAGTAAGTTTGGATCATTATGCTTTTTAACATAAATTAAAATTGGGAAGCTCATTGAATAAGGAACATTTAGAGGCAGATATTTATCACGAAGCCAATATAATTGAATTTATGTTGTAATTTATTTTTTGATTATTGTTCTGATTATACCATGTATTCATTCACAGGAGAAAGATCACCTCCTCCACCTCGTGAGTCTATTTTGTTTATTTTCACAACTTAGAACCTATGACATGGCCAGCTACCTTGTGTGTTCATAGTGTCTACATAACTAGAACGATATCCAATCTAGATTTAGTTACTACATTTCCACAAAATTTTGATTTTTCTCATTATTAATTTCATCACCTGCGATATTTCTATTTTTAGGGTATTATGACAGAGCCTATGATTCAGGTAATAAATGTCTTATTAAATATTTTGGCCATTCCTGTATTTTTTTTTTACGGTGATTTTATTATAAATGTGCCACAGGTGGCTCAAGCCGTCCGTTTCTTCATTGTTGCTTACTTTCACTGTGCTTTTATGTGTCTCGTATAGTTAGTAATTATGCCAAGCATTGAATTACTATCTTGTAAGGCACTCTATTGGGGGGAGATTATGGGAAATCGAACATAAAATAGGTTTTTTGCTTTGTATGTTCCAGTAATATTTAATCTTATTTAATCATGTAATTTATTTTCTAGCTTATGAAAGACCGGGTGAGTAGTATCTTGAATCATATTTCTGCTCTGACATTTTATTCTGTTGAAAATTTTACTTGCAAAAATTGGCATCTTATATTTATTATTAGTGTTGTATATATTCTAGTTGATTAATAAAAAATATTTAAATTTATAGGTTACGATAGATATCCACCAAGTAGTCATGATCGTTATCCTCCACCACGTGGTAAGATTAATATGTTTATATTGAATTTTTTCTATTTATTTTCCTATATTTGAAATTCGGGGAATTCCATCTCACGTTCCACAATGCAATAGCCATTAATTAATACTCATTTTAATTTCAGAATATGACAGATACGGACCTCCTCCTGATAGATATGCACCACCTCCCAGTGAATATGGTAAGTTGAAGGACAAATTTGTATTCCCTTGTATTTAGGTCTGTAAAATGAGTACCGGTAGCTCTGTAGATTTACCTAATATCGTGTCATATTTGTGATACATGTACAAATTCATTTTGTTCTTCAATCCTATTACTTAATTATTGTATTTGAGCTTCTTGGTCGTCTTAGGTCTTCAATTTGTTGTTTTTTTCTAGATCGCTACCGTGAATACAGCAGCAGCAGCAGCAGCAGAGACTACCCACCCAGAGGTAATTTTTATCAGCTCAAAATGCATGTTGTTAAAATGCAACTCAATGGTAGCTTGCGTGTAACAAATTTTGGAATATAACAATTGTATTACTTAGCCGAACTGAGTGTTATCAGTAATAGGTTCTTTTACATGCAGTTTACATGTCACCCACATTACCCCAATATCATACCGCAAATTTAGAGGACTGGGTTTTCATTTTTTAATACACATAATTGAAAAACCTTAATTGTAAGACCTTTTTGTTATTTTTTAGAATATTCCTCATCTCGATCAAGCGTGGATTATTACAGAAGAGAAGGTATATTGCTCGTGAATTATATTTAAAACTGTTTAAGATTCGTGTTGACAATATCATTACATTCATTTGTATCAAAGAGGATGTTATAACTTATATCTATCAATGATGTGATGATTTTTAACTTGCATCAGTTTTGGCATGTTCTTAGTAACTGTTATTGTGATGTAGTAGGTGAATAAATTGTCAGCTTCAATATTTGGTACACAGCTATTTATAGCAGCCACACTCTCACCTATGCATCAAGATGTTTCGCATTTATTCGATCTGCACATCTTTACAAACCCATAGCAGTATTAGTAAAGTGAGTGTTACCGATCACCCAAGGATAATATCAAGTATTAGTATCCAGTTTGGAATGATATTTCAGGTGATGACTACGACGACTATAATTACCGATACAGGAGTAGATCCCTCGATAGATCATATTCACGAAACACAAATGATGTTTACAGTTCCACATTTTACAAGAGTTTTGTCAGATCATACAAAAGAAGATCAAATGCTACTCGTTCAGATTCTGAAAGTCCGCCTATGCTGTTAGCATTGCCAGGTAGAGGCAAGGAGTATTTCAGGCAGGAACTTGGAAATACAGATTAGGATTTTGTACATACACAACAGCCTGTCAAATTTAATGCTTTTTAAGTCGAGATGTGGTCTCTTTTTGCACATTCACTGTTTTTGTATCGAGTAAGACTTGTTATCAAAACAGGATTGTCATATTTCACTGGTATTATAAAATAAACTGAAAATATGAAAAATATATTATAAATCTTATCAAGTGATAAAGACAGTTTTTATACCAGCACTATAACCCCAACATTTTTTTCTATATATTTGAAAAGTTTAGAATAGAATATTTATGTATTCATAAAAAATGTTGAGTACTTGAATAGTTGAGAATACAGACATACAGTTTTTACTTTTTAATGTCGGCACTGTTAGTTATTTACTGTATTGTCCACTAGACATGCTAGAATAGGATGGTTTGAACAATTTTGTAAACTTTTATCAACTCAGCACCTGAATATCAAGATGAGAAATCTAGTTCCAAAAGTAGTGGTTACATGTCAAGATATGGTTCTGATTCCACACCGAGAAATAGTCAGGATAGTACAGGAAGATCAGTTGTAAAATCTAGGATTGATTGCACATTTTCCGGGAGTTCAGGAGAAATTCTCGAGTATTTTATGCAGAAAGGTAATTTGTTTTGGAAATGTTCACTAAACAAGCATTGAATTAGTTAGTTGGCAAGGGTTACCAAATTTACCCGTGTGAGTGGCTATTTAGAAGTTTCAACAAGGATTTTTAGAATCCTATAATTTGCATGAACTGATGCATTGTCGCAGAATCGACCATCTAACCATTTTTTATTTGATCAATAGATGTCTTTTTATTACTAATTTTTTCTCGGATTAGCTTTCTAACAAATTTCATTATATTTATTTCATCAGGATATTCCAGTGAGAGACCACCATCATACGATACATATCCACCCCGAGAAAGTGAGTATGAAAATGCTCTTTTTGCAGCTATGAATAATCGGGTCTTGTTCCAAACACTCATATCTTAGTAGCTTTGTGTTTTCTATCATTTGTCAAGTTATTTGGATTTTTGAATATTACTGGGCCTATTCTGCATGAGAATCATGCTGTGCGATTGTTTTTTTGAACTTATCCAAACTAAATTATCTGAACAACCACTAATTAATGTGAGGGTTAGTGCGAGCAGTATTTTTTATTGCATTCCTTTTTTACGCTAAAGGTGAACGTGATCGTTATCCTCCTCCATCATCATCTACTGAACGTTCTTCATCATCTGCTGCTTATGCTGAACGTAGTCCTTACAGCAGTTCTCAACCATCAGCCTATGAAAGGTACAGATAAGTCTATTCGATTATGTATTTTGGTTGTCCTATGATGAAAAATAAGCATTTCGTCACTGAATCTAACTGTGGACATATGGGTAATTCTGAGGACAACTAGTTTGTTAGGTTTTTTTAATATCTGTACTACAATACTGCGCAGTCATTCATTCAAGCCTCTTCTTTCAATTACTTAGTCATTACTTCTATGTTCTTGCATTGTTTACTAGACTTCAAAACCAGGAAAATGAGAGCTGAATTAATTACAAAATTTGTTTCATAACTTACAGTAGTAGCAGAGATCCTCGTGATAGCCGTGAGTCGAGAGATCCCTATGCTCGTCCCTCAAGTTCTGCCTACAGTTCATCAACTTCAGCTCCACCTCCTTCGGCATATGATAGTTACAGCAGAGCTAAAGCTGAACCACCAGTGGGTTATGATAGCTACTCTCGTTCTAAAGCTGAGCCGCCAAGTGAGTTGCATGGTCAGTCATCATTTATTGGAATATTTGTAACAGCACATTCATTAAATTTATATTTTTTTGTATTGTTTTATAGACCCCATAATAGCTTATCATCGATGTTGGCAAGTATCTATCATTCACTCAATGATGGGTAGGCCTGATATATGTTAGATTGAACTTATTTATAACAATTTTCTTCGCCATCATAGCATGAACTTTATTAGTTTATATACATATACTGATGTCTATCACATTTTTTTGTTTACAGGTTCAAGTAGTCCTTATGATTATGCAGCATATGCACAAAGCAGCAGCAGTTATGGACCAGTGAAAAGCAGCAGCTCATACAGTAGCAGATCATCAGGACCTTATGGAGGTATGTAAATAGGTAGACATAATGAATAACCCAAAAATACTTGGCAACTGGTGTTTAAAACAACATTTTATTAATGGTAATGTGAGAAAAAAACCATTCCCGTACTTGAACCTGTGATTGAAAATTATGTGCCATCTTATTTTTTTGCATTTGGCTTGACAATTCTTTATACCTCATTGATTCTATTCAATTTTGGGCTTGAAATCAACTGATTATTCCTTTTTAGGTGGATATGGGACATCAAGTACCGCAGCAAATGGTTCGAGCTCTGCACCAAGTCGTTATTAGTTCCGTAAGTATAAGGCAGATTATGTCAGTTTATTTATGTAAGCAAGAATTACGCATGGCAGTGCGGAGGAGTTATGAGAGTGTGTGCAGTCGATGCAAATTTCGGAGAATAATATCACCAGCCTTTCTGCGATACTTTAGTAAAATAGTTTGAAAGGTGCACACAAAAGGTAGTCCCTTTCACTTATGCTGACAGACTTGATTGTAAATGGAAATAATGTGAGAAATGTGGCAAATATGTGAGAATATCAATTTCCGAATAGATTGAAATATTCCCTTCCCCATTCAATTCGACCTTGCAATGGCAAATGCTTCATTTTCGAATATGCTAGATTTTGCCAATAAATAATTAGTTAAGGTATGCCAACATTCTTCGTAAAGTTTAACATGAATTAACATTTAAACAAAATCAAAAATAATACCTGAACAATGGTTTCGGTATTAGTATTTTTAAGAAAAATCTTGATGTCTCAATTTTAAATTTTGTTATAATCAAGCCAGACAGCAAGTGGCAACTACAAAGCCCAGATTTGTGATAGAAAAAGGGACTTTCGTACTCAGCGTACAGTCCTTCATTTAGGCCCGTTTTAATATCAGATTTGGTCAAATGGTTTTGGTAGTAGTAGCGGGGGTATCCACATTTATTTCTTTGCAATATGTTGTAGCCATACCAACCTCTGATAGATGCTGTAGGTGATAGTGGCCTCCTAAATTGCAGCACCCACGAGCTCATCTTCTAAACTTTGTTATATTTTTGCTCCTGCCAGCTCAGATTCTTGCATTTCTCATAGTTTGAGTATCCAATATTAGTGCTAACTTTATTGTACTGAGTTTACTGTAAAGACTTATTTGTATTGGAGCGAGTTTATAAAACATGTCAAGTTTGTAGAAATACTTGCCATATAGGATCAATTATTACTAACAACCTCAGATTCACTGGCAAATTCATAGGGAAATGCACCTGTCAAAAGAGATTTCACACTCTTCACCATATCTGTGCGGCATTAGCGAAATCTGATATTCATTCGACCAAGTACCATATTGTGTATAACTGTATTGTGAAACACTAAAATGGGGATTACTTTTCAAGTAAAAAAAGTCCCTAATTGAAATGAAAAACGTCTTTATTTATAATGTATTTAAATTAAGGCCAGCTTCGATAATGCCACATGGATGCATTTATTATGGGTAGCCTACATAGTCTAGTATCGCTGCTCCAAATCTGAAAGCTTCATTGTTAATTTTATATTTGTTAGCATAGTTCTCATCAATGTAATCAACCAGTTAGAATTCAGGATTTTTCGTCACTGAAAATCTTCTGGTGGCAAATCGTACAATGTTCCTTCCTTTTTCCTAGCTTTCATTGTTAAAATTTTATTTAACAGAAAAAGGAAGGCAGACTTGAGTGAGAGCAGCGAGAATTTCCAAATCAACTTGTAAATATTTTTTTTATGGTCTTCTTCCCCGTTGTAAATATTGAAGGTGTCAGTGAGAATCATGAACTTACCCAATTTCCTGAATGCAACAAACTACAGTTTAGAAAAAGATGGATTATTGAGAACATTCCCAAATGCCTTAGGCAAAGACTCTTTACATTGGAAAGGATATAATACCCATTGGCGAGATGTCATGCAATACTTTATACTATACTATGTCCGAAAGAAATTGAAGAAATGCAAAAGGCAGCGGCATCTCGTTTTCTCGAACGAAGGTACCTCAGCAAGTTATTGTTTACCTTTGTGCTTTTAAAGTCTGGAGGAAAGATATCTTGTAGTCCCTGTCTCTGGCAGCATTTTTAAGTAAACGGAGACACAAGTTTTTTTTTCAATTTCCCATTGAGTGGAGAATTTGCCCCGTCTTTCATTAATCACATGGTAAGACAGTGGAACTACACAAATATGGCAGGCAGCTTCTGACTTGGTCGATGCAGATGTGTAGCCACTCTAAAGGTGATTTCGTTTATGACCTCTCAAATTTTTAATGTGAATTCAGTTTAGTGTTTAACAACAAGACTCAATTTTCACTCTGTAAGGCTTCCTTACAGTTCGACTGCACAAATATAGCAGGCAGCTTCTGAGTTGGTTGTGTGTAGAAGTGTAGCCATCCGAGAGGTGATATGTGCGTTTCTGGCCCTTTTTTAAAATTTTAATGTATTTTCGATTTAATTTGTAATCTGATGAAATTGATTCAAGTTTCTGCTGAAGCTATTTTGTGGTAGAATTTAAAATCCATGTGCACAGTCACTGTTATACGCGATGAAAGTCATTATCGCAATTAATTGGGAGTGTCCAATGTGTATATTGAATAGAAACTTAGGATCAATACTTTAATTTTAAAGTGTAGCCTAGAAGTGATTCTTGATCTTATTTATCGCACTGCCAAGTACAGATGTAGTCCCAGGCTCCAGAATGAGGGAGATTTGTTGGTGGCAGGTTGGTCCTGCCACCTTTGTTTTTAATCTAACCTTGTATTCAGCAGGTCTAAATGGTGTAGAAACGTCTCCGGATCCGATGCATTCTTATCTAACATATAAAATTTTCTAAGTCAAATGAAGTTTCTTTTTATTTTACAACATTTTGAATCGATCACGATTACTTTTGCAAAATGGATGAAATTTCTCAATGAAATGGTTTTTATCTTAATTTTTCATGATCAAGTAAAGTGTGTCCAGGCCATTTGATTGTAATAAACCATGAATTATTTTATTTCCTGAATCTTGATGTTTTGACAGATTGTTTCATGATCATTATTGTATGTTTCAGGTCATTCAGAGTTTTGAGAGAAGTAGCTTGAAGAATGCTTTGTGTAGTCATCAGGTTCAGTTCATTGCAGTCTGTTTGAAATAAGTGATTTAGATGATTTTGTCAGATTTCAGTTCAGGATTTCTTTCATTTAAACTTGCAGATCAGGTACAATACACTACACTCGTTAAATGTTAGCGTAGAGTTGTGTTCTCTGGTTAATACTGGTTTTCAGGTAGTGATTTAGTACTCGCTTGTGGGTTGTTACCAGTGGAAGCGGTGGGTGTTTATTTGAAAAGTGTAAGTACCGTATGTATGATTTCACTTGCGGCGTAGCAGTGTCCAGTGTTGTTAGTTCCCTATGGCTAACAATGATATTCGAATGGCGTTTCACTGTCTGGATATCTAGTAGACTACACGTGACCTACAGAGTCAAACGCTTTAATCCCACAAAAGTTGGCCAGCGGAGTCGACGAAATGGGAGTATTCAACTTGTAACTGGATTTCTGAAGATTTTAGAGAGAATTGTCTTTTTACCACGTTCCGGACTAATATGAGGTCGCAGGTATCATTTGTATGTCGGTATGTAGGCTATCACAAGGATGTACACAAATCCTCGCAAAGCAGTCTTCCTAAAATACGTTCCGGGCTAATATGAGGTCGCAGGTATCATTTGTATGTCGGTATGTAACACAAGGATGTACACAAATCCTCGCAAAGCAGTCTTCGTCAAATACCCACCGCTTTCTGACGACACAAGATTTTTCAATCTGTGATAGCGGGAACTCTCTGGTAAGGATCAAGTGATTAACACCCGAGTCGAATATCGATTCTTATTCCATCTTTGTTGACAGCAGGGGTCTCAAACTCGCGGGCCAATTGCGGCCCGCAGGAGATGAAAGTTTAATGTTAGTGCGGCCCGTAAGTCACTCGGCTCAGTAAGAATGATTGATGCATTTATTATATGATCAGGACAAGTAGAGCAAAACAAAATATTTCATAATCTATCCCCCGAAAGGAATATGCGGTACGGTAACCTACTAGTACCGTGCCTATAGACATCATATTCGATGGACCTTTGACCCCGAAGAAAAATTTCTTATACCCTACCATTGCAAATCAATGACATTAAACAACATGATAGGCAACTCTGACGTCACTCCATAAGACCACAGGCAAAACATTGTATTTCATGATACGCTCCAATGCCCATATTTCTCGTCGCCTTTCGCGTCCGTTTTCCGCTCGCTTTTGCTACTCGGCGTCTTTTTTACGTGTAGTACCTGCCTTTTTGCGCCTGTAACGAAACAAAATATTCTCTATATCTAAGAAGTTTTGTTTACTTGGAAAGCTGGAATAACAGGCAAGCTGTAAAGAGCAATTCTCGACATCATAGACGTTTTTTTTTTATCAGAGAAGATTACAAACGCGATAGCGGAAAGATTTGTGTGGAACATTTTGCAGATAATGACAAAGTTCAAAGTTAGTAATTTTAATGTTTGCGCTTAATCATTGAAATTTCATTTAAAGAGGGTGTCATACAAAACTGTGCTGCGATACAATTCCATAACACAAAGTTTGCACCTATCGAACTTGCTTTTGTAGGTGAATTTATTAGACATATTACATATTCAGTTAATCGTAGGTAACATTGCTGGTACATAATGCATCGTAGATAGGTTTGTTTAAATTTAGGAATTTAGCTCATAGCCCACTAATTAATATTATCTTCTATGCAGGAGGTTGCAGGGCTGAATTCAACTTGCAGCCTTACCGATCACCTGACGATGCTCATTTAGTTTGGCTCGAGCAAGTCTTCTTGAAATGCTTGTGTGAATGGAAACTACCTATATTTTTTGCCTTCCTCCGATTTTAGACAAATTTATTCTGAGGGATTTCGCATATAATTCTCACTGATTGTTGGCTGTTTATAATTCCTATTGATTGTGAATTCTGATTATAACAATGAGTTGAAAATTTTTTTACCTAATTTACTGGCACCTTTTTCTTGTCAATACTCCAAGCTGAGGTAATAAACATGACAATACATTTATGTCATCTGGAAGAAAAATATGCACACAAATTAATAGTTTGGCACATTGAGATAATACATCATGACAGAAAAATACAAGTTAAAGATATGTATGACCATCACATGGTAATTAAAATTAAAAAAAATTAATAGGGGCTGTGGAGTATGGAAAGTTCAAGACAAAGAAAAGAACAAATGTTCATAGCTCATGAACTCTCAATTTTGCCTCCATTGCTTTGTGAAGGCCAATATATTTCGAGTGGCTGAATTGGTTTACCTTTATGATAGCAACGATTTTGTATTTAATATAGCGAGATTATTTCAATTTAATTGAAGTGATATAATTTCCCAAAGCAATGCTTGAATCGTCTAGAATAGATCAGTGGTGTCAAACTCATGGGTTTTCGAGAGCCGCATTGCATTTTGAAAATTGTAAAAAGAGCCGCAAACAGTTTTTGATAATGTATACTTAAAAGATATTTTTAAGATAGTTTTAGTTTGTGACATATATTGTGATGCAACTAAACAGTTGGATTAAGTTTTATTATTTTCTTCAATTTCAAATGCAATTACATATTAATATTTGCATTCCACTATTATTGCAACATTTGCAAGTTACAGTATTTATTATAAAAAATCGTAAAATTCTATGTACAACCATCAAAATCATTTTTGAACAAGCTTTGAATAAGGAAAGAATAATACATACACTAAAAATAACTTAATCTAAATATATGAACCTAAAATTAACAAAAATACTACAGTATAAACTCAATGTTTTAATAATTACATTCGTCCTGGCGTTTGGCATCTTTTTTGTGTCACCAGCATACTAAGGCCAGTCTGAAATGATTTTATAGTACCAACTCTAACTAACGAGGCCACATGATTATGGGTTTATCTGGATCTTTACGAATGTTTAATTAATTCCAGTAATGCAAAAAAGTTACTTTTATCATTTCATGTATAGATCAGTAAAAAAACAAATGACAGATTTTTTCGACAAGACATTTCGCACTACATTGCGTGTCATAGGATTGCTTGAATTATTATTGATATTGATTTTTAGTAACTAAGTCGTTGTATAATTATATTAATATACAAACACATGGAAATTTTCTGTTCGAAGTTGGTCTTCGAATTTGTCATATTGACTGCTGAGCTTATTGTGTTTTTTGATTGTATTGATGGAAATATGACAAATTAAACAATGTGCTTCAGAATTTTGTGAAGAGCAGAAATGTTACAACTCCCATTTTCTTCGAAAATGCCACCTTCTTCGTGTACTTTGCGTTTAATTTAATTACTCGAGTGTTTTATTCAAGTATTCTTTTGCTAGCTTGATGTGTATTCTTAATTGGGTCAAAATGTGGACAAAAAAAATTAATATTCCAAAACTACTTTCAGTAAATTGTTTTCTGTGTGAATAATCAATTTCACTTTAGAAGGTTTGAAAAATCTATTACATTTAGATAAAAAAAAAACTTCCAAAATACTATTACAATTATTGTTAAGCGTTCGAGGGCCGCACTGGAAGTTCTCTGGGGCCGCGAGTTTGAGATCCCTGGTCTAGATTGAAGTTGTTCAAAAAATATATGATAGTATTTTATCATGAATGATGATTATACCCCTTCCGGAATTTCTTCTATAGTACTACCAAAAGTTGATGAACCAAATATAACACAGGTGCAGTGAGGTACCCGTAATCCTCATTTCCAAAGCTGTTTTAAGTATGTCTGGCGTGTTTTGTGCCTTTTTACAAATAAGACCGCCTATGCAATCTTACGCTTTGGAATTTTTAGTTATTTTCCTCAAGCCCTGCAGGATGTGGGGGCCATACACAACTCTTCCGGAGGGTCAAATGTCTTTGCATGCCTCCATAGGTTGTTTTTCTATTGCAATTTTCAATTGCATTATATTTCTTGGAATCACACTGTCACTGATATGTCGCCAGACTTCTGATATCTCCCCGTCTGCTATAGTTGTCCTGTGAATAAATAATAGGAAATTGAGATTAGACGAATAGTTGAAAGTTTTGCTTTATGTCGGCTTAATTTCTTGATTGATATACTTACTATTTCTGCTATTGCCTCTTGTGCTGCAAGAGTCTCACAATGCTTAGACAGGTTTTGGCCACAACTCTCACATCTGAAGAATGAGAGGAGATTTATTAATTTTCGTTAAGAATAAATAAAGCAGTCTATATGATTCAGAATGGAAAAGCTAATAAATCCAATATCTCATGTTTTATTTAAAAAATATTTTACTGAATTTTGGAAAATAAACCAACTAATAAAAGGGTTTAGTCAGAAAATTACAAGCATTCGTGGCTCCAAATACTTGAGAAATCAGACTATACAATATAGACCGGTATGAGTGAAATGTTAGGTGAACTTGTTAACACTTTGATTCAATACGCAAATAAAAGTGAATGCGTAATAGTATGTTACAATGAGCAGCAATCAACAATGAGTATATATCCTCACTGATTAAAAAAATCTAACTGGAGGTGCATGAACTATTTGAAACCATAAGGAGTAAGTAAATATGTAATTTCGGCAAATGGGCAACTACGTACCGTACTGAATTAATAACTTCGTAGTATTTGACAAAGGCTGGCTTTCCCACATGTACTTAACAGTGCGATGCCCGGGTGTGATATACAACAATAGTATTCACCTTACCTTTTACCGATTTTTTTTTACCCCAACTTTCAAAAAATTCATTAAAATCGACAACAACTGTCAAAGCAGGCACGAACACCATTCGTGCTACGCCTTGAAAGCAGCACACATCCGCTCGTTTTCGTCTCGTCAAGTATGTGCATTGGAGCGTGCTATCGAATACGATCTTCGGACAAAAATGCCGGAGTTGCGCATCATGTTGTTTAATGTCATTGTGCAAATTCTTGGTGCTTATTTTAGAGGTGGCTTCGCGAGTTGAAGCCTATAAACTGCGGTATATGTTTCACGTCATCATTTTGATTCAAAACATTCAACAACCTGTTTTTCAACAGTACGGTACCGGTAGAGAAGTTTAGCCTAGTTGATCACAGCTATTTCTGGACTAATTTTTTATTACGGCATTTAAGCTACGACGCCCAAGCAATCAGAATGATCATTGAGCTCTTTGATTCATACTTGAATTGCTGAAACATAACCCAAAACAAACAAATAGCATGCAAAAACGAGGTAATGTTTACAAACATGCCTGAAAATCTTTCTGAGTGACAAGTGTCTGAGCGTTTGCGAAAAAGTCTATTGTTACGTCACTTTTTGCATCTTGCTGATTAGCCCATGTTACGGAATAAACAAGGAAGTAGATGCTCGGGGAATAGTTTCATCGCGGAATTACTTACATTTAGGTTTTTGACATGTTTTGCGTATAAAAAAAACAGTGAAAAAGATTTACCTTAAAGTTTAATGTTTTTATGTGGAAAACCGGATGCGGCCCGGACTCACTAAGGCTCCGTCTCGGCGGCCCCCAGGTAAATTGAGTTTGAGACCCCCAGTTTACAGTGATCTAGTAAATATTGGGAGTTCTTTCACCATACTGCCGGATTGAAATTTTTGGTTTGAGTTTATTCGTATTTAGATGTTACTCCTGGCCATAAACTTCCATCGTTTTGTAATTCAATGTAGGCTACTCATCAAGTACCAACTGTTATGCCTAATTGAGGCTTGCGTCATACACTTGTTTGCAGACGGTTGGGTACGAAAGGAGATTGGGAATACCTTTGAATCAGTCGTTTAATGATTGCGCTAGAGCTGAATGGACTGGAGCACATGCATTATGTATTTACACACGCTTGTGAGAATTATTTAAACACATTTTCACTAATATATATCTATATAGTCTTAATGACACCGATCACTTGTTGAAAATTGTAGGTCGAAGTCAATTCATACCTTGTTGGTGACTAAAATAAACCCGAAATCTTACGTCATACTCATTTTGAACTCAAATGCGGTCTGCTACCAACAATATGGAAAGAGGAACCAGTATTTTGGCAAAGCTCATGCCTAATCATCGTTTGCCGTCGTGTTGCTAGGACTGGCGTAGTTTTAGGTGGCCACAACTTTTCATTGCAGGAGTTGGTTCAGCGGCACCGAGTTTTTGATCAGCTGATCACAGTCGGTCATCGATTGTCCCAAAGTCCAGAAAGAATGCTGCATGCTCATCCCCATTTGATCTAAAAGTAACCCTCCCCGAAGACAAAATGACTATGTCATTGGACAAAAAATGGATCTATGGACCATTTCGGCATCATATTGTTGCTTGTTGGTGTTTTTCTTCATGTTATGAAAAAATCGCCTTTCTCTTTAGTTACTGTTACTTCTCCTGCACTTTTCAACCTGGTGACTCCAACTTTAACATATATAAAATTATATATGCTCAGGGCAAACTTTCTCCAATTATTTCTACGAGTGTAAAACTAGTATCATAGAAACAAGAGAGCTACGCCCAAATATATGGACACGTCTGTTCGCAGTACAGTACGGTTTACCGTACCGTCAGATCACAGTCTACAAATATATTCACACCAAGCGAAGCAGCATAGTGGGACACAAAATGGCGTCCGATGTTCGCAGAACGTTTAATGACGTCATAGCAAACAAAAACAAACCTCACAGAGCTAACAGAAATATTTAAAATGAATAAAAGTAAAAGCCTTCTGGGGAAAAATTTTATCTTCAACCACTGAAAATTTTAAAGCAATTGGTCCAGTATTCGAAGAGAAAAGCGTTTTTTTAAAAATGATGGAGACAAATAACAATAACAACAAAATTTTGAAACGATCGTTATGTCCACTACGTGTCAAAAAAATACATAATTGCTCGCTGAGAAATAGAATATATTCGAAGATTTCGTCTCATAATGCAACTGAAAACAAACCGACAATACAAACTAGAACTCTTGCTAGTCCCACACAAACGTGTATATACAAAGAATTCAAACTTTATCCACTCCTATTGGCTACAGATTTTCGGAATTCGCTTTGTACACACGAGGTTATAAATATCATACTGTTGTGCCGAGTCGATCATAAATCCGATGAGCTTCAGGAATTATGTCTTAATGCGGCCAGCATCGAGTGTCTTCACAGCACCTTCTTTTATTCATAATTTCTGTTAACTGAAAACGAGCAGATACATATTTACTTCGTTAACTTATGCATCGCATGTTTACATTGAAATAGACTAGAAGGGTAACGTTGTTCAAAATATCTAAACGGTCGATTTCAGGTTTTAATTAAATTACTTTACGTCGTAGCCTGGCGATTTACATACCTTTAATCTCATGTCTTCTCTCATAAATGCATATAAAATTGGATTCATGCAACTATGGATCCATGCCAAACATGTTGTGAACATATGTACGTAGTAATGTATCAGATCCGGAGGGTTCGGTGCACCTGGAAGACACACGCCAAATCAGCATGTCATGGTTTGTATTTTTGTGATCATGTTGATACGTATAATTTAGATACTTACGTATTAAATTCAGGCTCTGTATAAAATAGATGAAATTTGAAAACTGATTCGGCAACCAACAAACAAGAAACACGGTAGTCACAACCAGAACCATTCGTGTTGCTCGATCCTAAATATACAATTTGCCGTTAATCAAAGCTATGGGGGGGAATAGTGTGCAGGATTGAAACCCTGAATTTTATAACGTTTAATTTTTATTGTTGACTCTTTCAGAAAGATAAATTATATGCGGATTCCGAAGTTTCATGTAATATTTGAATTATTTACTATTCCTTTGAATTTCAATTATAAAAGATTCCACTTTGTTTTGGCCTGTGATTGGCTACTAACAGGTTACATTTTGTGTGTTTAACAATGCTTTAATATTAGTCCCGTGTAAGTTAAAGATCTACTTTAGGAATATATGAAAAAACAACCTGGCATTGTGCTGTCAGTTTACCCTTCGCTTCTCTTGTTTGCAAAAAGAATGCTATCATAGAATAACTGATGACGATGATAATTGTCGGTATAACAAATCCCACAAAAGATCTAAAACGAATGAAACCACCAATCTTTGATAAAAGAACTGATTGCTGTAGTGGCAGATTTATTTTGACAATGATTCCAAGGGCCCCACATTTGCATGCGTAGGTGTTCGGTAGTGCCTTGTATGCCAACTTCAAATTAACCGTCATGGAGTTTTATAAAAAAGCAAATTTTTTTCAACTTTCTAAAATTAGCTCTAGTACAAGATGGAAGCGACGAAAAATGCCTACGACTTATATAAAATGACAGCTAATTCACATTTTCCTTGAAGTTTTTGTTAAATAACTTTATTTATATATATATATATATATATATATACTTTGAAATTGATTCGAAAATTCACCGGTGTCTTCTAAGGCCGTGCCTAATTTAATTGTGACACTCAAATTGGCCAAGGCAATAAAGAGGTTGCAGTTTGTGATCCAAATTATTGAGCTACATATTGGAGCATGAATATAGTACAGCAACGAAACAGAGTATGAAATATTGCACAAAAAATTGCATCGATTTGTATAAGGAAAAGATGCTCGACACAATTTTCAATGTCTTGAATTATATGTAATTATATGTAGTAAAAACATGCAAAAAGGTATCCAACTAACCTACTCACAAAATATACAATGAACCAATTATGATGAGATTTATTCTCTGATTCAAAAGTCCAATCGCATTTCCGAACGCCTGAAAATATATAATCGTAATTGATAGATATTTTAACAAGTGGAGGTCATGTATATATCAATACAATGTTGTTGTTGTTTTTTTCATTTGAAGACCTGCCATCGTTTTTCCAAAAAAGTCAAAGTTTGATTAATAGAAAGAAGATGGCATAAAAATTGCTGGTCGGGTTAAAAAGTAACTAAGTTTTGGTACAATTGGTGAGGTTCTACTTTAAAGAAAAATACAATCCAATTGAACGAAAATTGTTGAGTAAATCATAACCTTCGGTTTCGTGCTCCACAACGTTCCTGAAATACAAAGGTAGGAGTCCGAGACCTGTTGATACCATCCAAATGATAATAACAAGAACAGTAGCATTGAATTTTGTCCTGCACAGAAAAAAAAAAAAAATTTTCATGTAAATATTTGAATTATATAAATTTTATAAAATATAATAGCTGTGAAGATAACAATTCTGCTCTTAAAGTAATTTACACGGCGGTTTCAATCTACACAAATTAATATTCGAAGCGTTGGCTGTATAGTAGCATGGTCGGATTTTTCTAATCGATATGTTGTCGGAATCTCTTCAAGCCGGAGCTTGAATTTAATTTAATTCCGAATCATTAGTTTTACGTAATAGGTCGAAAATACTGTCAAAGATAATTACCGCTGTCCAATTTATTCGACCATAGAGTGGATTTCATCAGAGTTTAAATTAACATACCAGTATTTGACGGGCCAGATCGTGTATTTTCAGATTGAGGCGTGGCTTTAAAGAAATATAATTACACACCATGGTGGTAAAAATAATAAATGGTATATTTTTAATGTTGTAAGGTTCTGAAAGGTTTGAGTACTTCTTGGTGGAAATGGAAACCGCGAATGTGTATGAAATTTAATGATTGAATACCTCTTGATAGTATTGTGCATGACGACTGCAAAAAATCGATCGACTGACATAGCTGTGAGAAAGAATACACTCGCATACAAATGAAAATATGTGCATCCGCTTGCCAACTTGCATATCGCTTGACCGAATATCCATCTGTGATAAAAGGGAATGTCATGTCAAAAGGAATATTGTATTGGGCATACCAATATCATTGTAATTATGCGAATTAAACAAGTATAAAATATTATTTCGGGGTGGGCATTATTAAAAATTTGGAAAATTGAGATTCATTTTGGCGAAAATAACTAGTTTTACCAGTACGTAAAAATTAGACAAATGTGTTGTGTCTGGAAATTTGTAGTACATTGTTTTCATTTTTTCAACATAAATATGAATAGGAGGTACATGGGAACGATGTTATAATCCTTTGGTCTCACCTCCTAAAATTATATTGATTTAATCTAGCGAGAAACCAATGCATGAATATTTAATAATAATTCGATATCTTGTGATGTGATATATATAATGAAAATGAGACTGTTCACAAATGTTTCTGTTCAATCAGCGGTTGTTTCTTTTATATAGTTGAATAATCTTTATGGGTACATGGTATCCTTCTTCGCAACGATGATGATAGAACTAATCGTGTTTTGATTTTAATATATATACTAACCTTTTTAAAGCAACGCTTGTAGTCCAGACAGGCATCATCGCAACAAATATAAAATCTGCGATAGCCAAGTTCAGAATATAGATGTCCGTGATGTTTCTACTCTGTTTCTGAAAAAATAAAAGCGTCCAAATATTTCTGAAAACTACTGTTTTATTTTGATAAAAATCTGATATCGATATCTTATCTCAAAATATTATTTTCGTTTTTCTGTGTATGTCTCTCTGTATGTACAGATTTTAATGTAACTGATGTTGTAGAATATAGCGCTCTCTATCGAAGGCTTTGCATAATTTTGCTTCTCCGATTACCTGTTTAAACAAACTCCTTCAGAATAGTAATATTTGGGATGCCTCATTTTTACCATTCTAAACGATGATAAAAACGATGCATTCGGTTTATATTCCAATTTCACTAATTTTGCTACTGATCGAGCCAATTAGGATTCGTTTGAGTACTTTACTTCAAACTATATTTATGTTTATTTACGGTATATATCAAATATATATAGAAATAGAGGTTCGAAATATCAAGTTATGGAATTTGGACACAAGATTCAATAATATTATAAAACATTCATGAATATATATACATTATATTTTGTTCAATTTCGTAATGTTGATAAGTATCGCAGCATGAAAACCATTTGAGGTCCCTTGCGACTCCTGTCACACAATTAAAGTTAGTTTCCTTTTGTTAGCTGTAATGTTCATTCGTATAATACTTTATATTGTGTTAAAGAATTGACATTGACTTGACATTGATTGATAATTGATTATTCCCTAGTAATATACGTAGTTTTTAATTCACTGATCTCTACTTGTTCGTCATGTAATAGGTTAACAGTTAACTTCTAACATCCATATATCTACATCACTGTCGCATTCATTTCGTCTTGACTGTGAAAATAGAGATATAAATTTTATACAACATTTTTAATTAATGATTGAAGATATGTGCAATAAACTTGATTATTCGAGTTACAGGCTAACTTTGAAGAAATAAAGCTTTGGAGCCTATTTTCTGGATTCGCTAAAGCTGTTACAATTATGATGCTGTCAGCAATGACCACTTGACATAATATATCAGAAGGTGGTATGATATTTCAGTCAACATCGATTTGAGTCATGTAACGGTGGAATAGAATATCATTCAACAAACTTTGGATAAAAACCAAACTTCTAATAACAAAAGCTATTAAGCACTTTCTTGAAACGCAAGATTCAAAACGATATTCATTGCCTTGTTATTATGGTTGGGGTCAGCCTCAGGTAATCGCGTCAGAGTGTACGTGTAACTAACAGCAAATCGTTATATATTCTAAATAACAAATCCATTAACGCATTTTTTATCCCAAAATTTGACAGTTTTTTGTAATAAATTGATGAAAATAACTATAAAAATACTTCATCGCTTCTTGATTAAACTGCTATTTAACGTTCAGGAGAGAGAAGCAGTATTTCGCAGACTAAACATTCTCGGAATAATAGACTTTTTACATTCAATGTGTTCAATACCCATCATGCATGCTTTGACTTCACTAAATAACTGAAATAGGGTGTACGAAAAGAACAAATATGTATATAATTTAAATAAAATTAGAGTTAATTTACTCATTAATTTATATCATATGAAAGTGTCTACGGTCGATACTGTTTTCTCCGAAAAATAAAACAACACATAAGCGAGTAGGAATCCTAACGCGAATATTTCAATTGATGAGTTACAAAATTCGAGATTTTTAGATTGTCATGGGATATTAATATATTCGATTATGTGGTAACTAAACTAAAAGTACATCTACTGCGACAGGATATAAATAATCAATCTTCTATAGCCCACATTCAAATTAGCGCTATAACAAGAATTTCGGATGTGCTTGCAAACAAAATTGAATTATCAATTATTGATCTTGCTTTTCTCAATGTCAAGTGTCATGGGGTAACAATATAGTCAATTATGTGGTAACTAAATCCAAAGTACATCTATTGCGACAAGGGATAGACAGTCAACCCTCTGGCCCACGTTCAAATTAGCGCTATAGCAAGAATTTTGGATGTGCTTTCTAGAGTAAGTACTATAATTTATTGCTTGTATGACTCCGGATTTGAAACAAAATTGAATTATCAAATATTGATCTTGTGTTTTTTCATGTCAAGTGCGAGTAAGAAATTGTTCGTGCCACAATGATTTAAATATTTATCTGTATTCTGGCTGATTAAAATAATCAAAAGCAATAACCAGTAATCTTAAAACTTAGAATTGATGTTATTTCAATTGTTCCTCCATGTATTGTTTACGAACTAAAGTTTCACTGCAGAGAATTTCCTTTCAAACAAACAGTCTAACAACGCATTAATCGCTGGGCCTTCGCACCCACCAAATTGAGTTATCAACTAACAGAGAATTTAATTATTGCAATCACCCTTTTTATATAATAAATACATATAATATTGAATTAAATAATCAGTCTTCGGCCTTTCTTATCCAGTTATATTTTCTGCAGTTGGTGATGTGCCTTTGGGTTCAGGTTGTCTAATTTTGGATTGCATATATACTCCTATGTATATATAAACTATTGTTATCGAATGATTTGGGAGTTTGCTAATTAAATACAGCAAACAAAATTTTAGCAAAAAATAGCCAAAATCTAGAATAAATTTCAGGACATGTGCATGTCGATCTTATTAAATTTAATCAAATTAATTAATCCTCTTTATGTGGTTATGTAAATGTGTATCGATTTTCTGTACCAACGCTTCAGACTTGAATTGTGATTGAATGTGATTTCAATTTTCCTGATGTATACTGGTGAAGATAAATAGGGCATTTCTGAAGTTCTCTCCTTGGTGTGTTATTTATTATTCAATATGTGAAGCTGATTGCCTCAGTTATTAAGCAAATATTCCACATAAAAACAATTGTACTTTTAAATTGTATACCTTAATTTTACTTACCTTCAAATACATTATATAAATTACAAGTCCATTGCCCAACAACCCAACAATGCAGACGAATGTATAGAGTATTGGCAACACGACGGAATTGAATTCTTCAGATGATTCAGCGTGCGCATGATCTGTGTCGTTCATAGAAGTAGAAGAATTTGCACCAAAACTTTTTGTTAGATTCAGAACAGTATTATTCATTGTGCTTACTGAACAAATAAATGCCTTATTTCTTTTAGTATATACTGTTGAAATAAAAGTAAATAATTATTCACATTTTTTTTCAAAACTTGTTCATAATGCACCTGGTATTATATATTATAGAGGACAAAATATTCATCGATAAAAGTATGCAATAATTAGTCATAGAAATCGAAGTTATTTTGTTGATTTTGATGAGGTACAATGCCATCCATGTTTGAAATAATTCTTTAAATAAGACAGTATTAGAAATTTCTTTTAGAAATATTCAAGTTTTCATATATTCACAGGTCCTACCTACAGTTAGAGTTGAAAGTTACAAATTATTTGACCGCTGAAAAATAATGGCACACTTTTAGCAAATCTAAAACGGTTTAATAAATAAACATCATCGTATACCATAATCGGTTTAATGTACGCTGTATAGTGGTCTTTACACTACATGTCAAAATATCACTTAAAGACATTGTATTTTCTCGAGATTTGCACCAGATAAAATACCACACACTTTTCACCCTGCAATGACCTCCATTTGGCTTGAATATTTTTAGAACAGACAACGTTCACAAGTTTCCAAGTCGCTAATGGTTTTCAGTTTATGTTTTGTTTGTCGAATCTGGGTCGTATGAGACGGAAACACGCTGGTTGGTGCTGATGTTGATAATCACTGTAATGGCACTGATGACATAAAATGTTTTCTAAGTAAATTATATTTTCCGCTTCCTCGATAAATGCCAACTATATAGATTTAATATACTAGTTAGAGTATATATATTGTTGTTAAGATACCCTACACATAGTTAAGACTAGATCGTTTGAAAGAGAGTTTGAAATTTTAAACAATATACGGCTCATACAGCTGTATATAATATTTATTTCCTGATAAGACTATATTATTATTTGAAACCTATGTTGATAAGCCACTCCAATCTGTCCTACAAAATCACTGAAAACATTTTTTAAATAAAGTTCCTCAATCTTTTATATTGGAAGAGCTAGCCTATATCGTGGATTGATTTAAATTGCTTCTGGAAAACACGAATTGCTAGTTTTCAAATTTCTTTCTTCTTCTGCTTTCTTCAGATTAATGTTCTTTTGTACTAATCAGCTAATGATAGACAAATGAGGAGCATAGTGGGGCTTGCATCCTTATGAATAAAACATATTTATTGATATAATTACGCATCATACAAATACCCGAACCTATTTTCTAGATGGTATCGATTACAGTATTTTACATAGCGCCAACACAAACTTTCATAACAAATAACTATCTTCATTTTTTTATTATGTAACATTATTATGGGAACATATTGTGATACATTGCTCACTTTTTTTTTTTAACTGCACAAGCATACAATGGAATCGATTAGATTTGGAATGACCGAAGATCATACGAACTCTGCACAGCTTCTTATCTCCTGGGAAGAATACCATTGAGTCCTCTTATTTTGAGGATTAAAGTTTATTACAGATATCCAATCTAGAATATTGATTCAAATGCCGTTTTTACCTTTTTTAATTTAATAATTTGACATGCTGCTGGGCGTATTCTACAGTATTTACTGAAGCTTGTGACGAAGATGCAATCGTGAGCAGAGTCTTTCTAAGTTAAACTCAATCGATAGTTGTTTTATTCGTACCAGAGCGTATTGAAGAATTAAATCATACATAAAATTATTCAATAAAATACGTGTCCAATTCCATAGAAATTGATTTATTCTATCAAGCATACTGATGAAATTTCTACATTTCTTGAAATTTCTTTCTAAAAAACTCCTTGTAACTTCAATTTCAATAGCCCCCACGTTCCCTAAGAAGACACTGAAAAACAGCAACACCACATCGCGGTATATAAAGTATCATTCTGAAAAAAATGGCACGAAAGTTTGCTATCGGAACAGTCGTGTTTTGTTCTTTCGAGCCAGTGTTACATTACAATTTAATCGTATTCAGCACAGTATTCCCATTTGCATTGGCATTTATATAAAAATATTCCATTTCAATACTGTATACATAAACAGGGGTGTCAATGTACCAACACGGTACACACAAGTGAAAATAAATGTGGACGAAAGAGCGAACTCAGTTGGTACTCGGACAGCCGGCATGTCCAATTTTTTCCAAATCATCGCTAATTCTCGCATCGCCTAGCCTCATCACCAACATACTGTATTATTTCATCGCAAAACAAGAGAAGAAAACTCCTATCTCACAAATTTGCGCTGAAACTTATCACACGATAAGGGTCATTTCCGTCATTTGATGAGAAGGATGATATGACAAGTATTTATGAATTATGCATTACTTATCTGCCAATCTTCTACTAACACGGACAATATGCTAAGAGAAATGATCCCCATTCAAATCACAGTTGATTTAACCAAGAATAAGTATTTGGAAACAATCCACGTTGCATGATCTCGACCGATTTAATTAAATAATTTTTTCATCCATTCAAATGTTGCATAATTGGACACAAATTTATAAATTTTGCCGCTATCATCAATATATTAATATTTATGTTTCATTTAGCCCGGTAATACATAAAAGTCGAAATAGCGTTTTTAAGATTTGAATATTAGACGACTCATAGTGATCAGAAAATAAAACTTTTCATATGTATTTACCCGTTTTACTTTCCAAATTCTAATATCAGATTACAATTTTTAGCCAACACAAACAAAACAAATATTTGTGAGGTTGAAAAGTTAAATAAGTTATCTCAATTATTATAGTTCTGAAAAAACTATTATGTGGTAGTTTTAGGTTTGGGAGTACCGGAATATTCCATGTTCAGATATTGATTGCACCCTTCACGACGCGTCAAACAATAGAAATTCGCGAGGAAACACTTATCCACATAAATAAATTATATAGGCTAGAAAACTTGTGATCCCTTGGTAAAATATCATAGACCAGAAAACGATAAAAATAAATAAAAAATTGATTTAACGAACTGCATCATATATTGTTGGTTTGGTCTGTGGAGCAGGGGTTTGCATGAACTTCAAACGTGATTTATTAGGCTGAAATGGACGCTTCAAATTAGAGGCAATATGTGAGTTCGAGAAATCAGAACGGGTTAGTTGAACAAATTTGATGCATTGTTTTCTACTCGTTACATGCTTAGTAAATATGGCGCTCCAGAAGTGTGTGTACCAATATGGAGGTAACTATTTTTGTTTGCCTATTTTACATCAAGTTGAGTACTGAAACCCATTTGCAGGGGTTATATTCACACAAACAGTCCCCGAACTCGGTATAGAACTATAATAAGAAAATTTGGAATAATATTATGGCCTAACCCTAACCTGGTACACATACTACAGGAGTACAGATTTTAATATATATATAGTAGTCAATATACCGGCGATGCAATCATAGACTGATTACAGAATCAGAAAAGATTAAAATCTAGATGATTTGAAATAAAAGAAATAGCCTAAATTCGTTCAAAACCTCATTACAAAAGTCAATTAAATTTTCGTGTGCAAGGTCCGGTTAACAATATGTTCCAAGTATTAGTCATTTATGATTTTATTCCAGCTTTGTGTAAGATAATCAATATTCGGAAGTTTAAAAATCTAGATTTACTGGTACAGGAGGCCTATCGTAACACCAATAGAACTTAGTCAACCACGCAGGCAGTAGGCTACGATATGGTTATTAAAAAAAATTGCTAATGGTGTAATATGATCTATCTGAGAGTGTGGAATCAATCAATCAATCATCATTTATTCGTCAACACAATTTAAACATGGTATGATATATAAAAAAATAATTACAAATACAAGTGGAAACTAACTTAAATTGTGTGACAGGAGTCGCGAGGGACCTCAAGAGGTCTTCAGGCAGCGACACCTAAAACGCTTGTTGATTCAGGTTAATAGCTTAAAAAGTTAATGAAACACCAAAACATTTCAAAATAAATATTTTGAAGAAAAAAAGAACATTTTCAAAAAACAAAAAATACCAAATATCCATCATAAGTATTTAAAATAAAAAAAACATAACATCCTGGTTACGAGCATGTTTTTTTATTATTTAAATCAGTGACCAAATTCATAAAAGATGAAATACACTGTATGAATTAAACGGTTGCACGAAAAGACATAAAATATGTTATATATCGATGTGGAGTAAAAAAAATATAACGATAAACTATAATTCCCTTTAGACTGAATCTTTCAGTATCCCCTGACATGATGTACGCAAGGTCTTTAACCAAAATTTGGTTTTCAAAAATTACGACTCCACGCACATCTGATTCGTTCGCAGAGCTGCGCTTTGTTTGGCAGAGTAGAATAACGGTACGTTATTGATACGTTGCGACCAAAGTGACTATAACACTTTATAGTCAATTTGGCTGCGACAGAGTAAAGGGACAGGATTCGAATATTTAACCCAGCGGACAGGTAAGCCGATGACATGGCTTAATAATATAGACTTAATCAAGTACTCGGGTCAGTTGCAAAGAAGCGCAGTACCGTACCGTATACAGGAGAGTTTGCTTTGTATAATTTACAGAGATAAATGACTGTATTTACATAATGTCACGGATCAAACTACAGTAAGGACCACCTTGACTTTAATACTAATTACAGCTTTAGACTCAAGCCTTGCTATATCGGGCCTATTGCATTGCGCATTATCGCCACACAATAAATATTCTGTTCTTTACCGCAGTGTGTTGTATTGAAATTAATCTTAATGGTATAGTTGTTACGAGTCGTTTAATGGGAACTACATTGAGTTTCCGTCGTCGTTGTATTGCAACTTCACTTTGTAATTGATGTCACTGGCAGTTATGTATCGTTTCAATTTTTTGACTACGATTGGCAATGGATATTTCAATATTCAAATTCGAATAAGCAAGTAGAAAGTTGCACATATGACTTAGGTCATAATGCTACTACCGGGTTTCCTCGAAAATGAGTCTAAATTTGAAAAAATGATTTTAATATAAACCCTCCCCATAAAATAAGACCTAGGGAATAGCGCGAAACACGGTAGGTTTTAAAAATC